ACTCAAATCTGACATAAATAGATTTCATGCCATTTTCCAAACAATGTTGCTTCGTGAAACGTGTAGTCATTGAAGTCATTAATATACATTTGAAAGCGTATTACTTCTAATTCAGGGAAAAAGAAACCAATCATATTTACACAGCTTATAGTTTGTTTACAATATGTTTGTTTGCTGTTTTGTCTTTTCTGGGATGCACTGTATATATAAATGTTTTTAAGTTTGTTTACCGATACTAAATTACTGTTTGATCAGCCAGCCTTTAGACCACATTATAACTTGCCTTCAAGCCCAATGTTCAGTGGACCGCAGCAATAACTCCTCAAACTCCAATGTTCAGGACAAGCATTCAGAGTCTAATTTCCACAATATCATTCACTTACTTCTTCACACACAGCAATATTTCATTTCAGTTTTCTCTAGAGTTGATTTTGGTAGCTTTAAAACTAAAAATAAAAGCAATAATTCTGATTTAATATCAGAATTATCAAGTTATTTAGATGATTTCAGGAAATGTATTACAAAATTGCATCACACAGCCAAAAACAAGACACATTCTACACAACAATTAAAAAAAAAATGCAAAGAAGTCCTTTGTACATGAGTTTAACATTCATTCATACATTTATTCCATGATATATAATATCTGTTACATACACTAACCAACCATAAACAATTTCTTGTCAATGTGGGATACATACCTTTAAGGATATATTAACTATTTTCTAAATAAACCCAAAACAAAGAATAACATTTTTCTTATCGGAATTTTAAAGAATAAATGTTTGAATTTTCAACTAATCACTTTAATAGTACAAGTAAACAGAATAACACAAAATGGCTTTTCTTTACACATTTGCACATGCTTTATTCCAAACTAAGTAATGGAATGATTAATACCTGCACATTAAGTGCAATGAACACTTTGTACATTTATGGATTAAAATGGTGACAAGATCATAGTTATTAGGTGCTACATGTAATAAATTACAATACATCATCTTACACATTTTGTCAAATAATATGGCATGTTAAACTTACAAATCCATCTATTTCTAAGAGATTCTATTATGACACATGTTTTTCTCAGAGAAATACATGAACATAATAATGGACAAAAGAGTGCAGTCAACACAGTACTGATTGTCCCGTTGTCTATCAAACAACATCATTTACTTCATGTATAATGCTTAAATGGATTTTTTTCACCAGACACACAATGTACCTTCTTATATTATACATTGCAATAACACTTGTTACTACACAAAAGGAGACAACTTCATCGACCCAAAATAACTACTCATAGTAAGACATGTACAATAAGATTTTTGAACCCATATTGCTGCATGTTCTCACAATACACGTACCGGTACGCCAGGCATACTACATTATCTACTCTAGTACATATTACATGTCCAGTCAAGCCCGGTCCAGGAATCGCCTGATTTCAGTAGAAGCAGAACAATCAGAAAGATGGATTTTTTCTTAAGTTTGAGAGAAATCGGACAACGGATAAGTTAAACGAAAAGCCATGGAAAAATATAAAAATCACTAGACAAATTGGCCATGTGATAACATCATTCCCTCATAACTACCGATAACCAAATCATTTTCTTGTATTGATAATAAAAATTCTGGTTGTTGTTTTTTGGCCAAAAATATTATTCCCCCATAACTTGAAGCAAGCTGTTTGTAGTGTGGTAACGGTTTTTTCTGATTCTCTGCTTCTATTAAAATCAAGTAATTCTTGGACTGGAAGTTCCCATTACCTTCTCCTTGCTGCGTTGATCTGCCTTTAGTTCTCATTTCCATGCTTGCAATATACAGCAGTTCCCATTGTATCCATGTACATGAGCTCTCACCAAATTATCAAACCTTACTTACAATATTTTCAATCCTTGATATTGGGTTCTGTTTGAATGTACATGTATTTATAAGATTTTCACAAGAACATATTTATGCCTTTGGCTTCTTAGAATGCAATAATACCTAGCTAGGTGTAACATTAATTCATCTTGAACTACAATTCATGATACTCAAACCATAATATTGGCCAAAAAAGGTAGGGGTTGAAAATGTCTTCAAGTGGGAAAATAACGTCTATTAGTTGTCAAATCGACTTAGGAGCTACAGAGCCAATAAGTAAAAGTCTTGATTTTCAGACCATTGTACCGTATGGTCATACGTTTTAGCTACGCAAAGATTTAATCAGTTTAATTTTGGCCATCACAAGACTGGGTTATTGATGTAGACAAATGCTCATGTACCCTTTACAGCTCATTTAATGTATGTTATTACCAAAGAAGAAAAAGCCAGTCAGTCACTAAATAGTGTCTGACAGTGAAGTCTAGCAAGTAAACGGGTTTCCTTGCATAATTTGAATATTAGGACACTGCTAAGGTTTAAGTTTCACAAATAGGACATACATGACATATTTATAATTCCTGCAAAGTTCTACAGAATTTGAGGTTGGCTGCAAAAGGGACATAGTACCTTAACAAAAATGTTTGTAGTATGTATAGAAAATTGGGTGAATTACGATTTCTTTTGATGGAAATTAACCTTGACATATTTCAGAAACATGACTATCTCAAACTACACATGATAATCTGATATACACTATTCCGACGGGAAAGAGCAGATGGTCGCCTTGGAGGCGGTGTTTGTATTTATGCAAAAAGCACATTATCATGTATTGAAAGTTATAATCTCAGTGACACCTCATTGGAGGCAATATGAATTGAGTTAAGGTTACCTTCATCTGAGAAAATATTATTATGTTGTCTTCATTGACCACCTGACTCGAATATTGAGTACTGTAACATGCTAGATGTATTTGAAAAAGCAACTGATGAAACATCTAATACACTGATCATATAGGAATTTAATATTGATTATAAAATGGACGAATCATTCAATGAAAATTAAATTGATCTCATAGAAAACCTATTCCTCCTAACACAAATGATACACAAGCCAACTAATTAACTACTTCATCATCAACTTGTACAGACCATTTGTTAACTTCGATCCCCAGAAGCACCTCCTATGTGATATAGCAAAAAAATTCCATGAGTGATCATTATATGATTTATACATGTATTAACCTTATCATTGAAAGAAAACGACATAAACTCGTCATTTTCGTCATTTGATCTATTAATCATTTGATGAAAATCGACTTATTGCTTCCATAAAAACAGTTAAAATATTTCAAATAGCTGACGATGGTTCAGTTGAAGTAACATGGAATGTTTTTGGGAAAACGTGTTTGAAATAAGTAACGAACATGCACCTATCAAAACAACTAGGCTAAAAAAACAAAAAATTCCCTGGATGACTACAGAAATTGTAAAACTCATGTACACTAGATATTTTTTTTAAAGAAGGTCCGTGTCTTAATATAATACAATATATGTATATATTATCTGTCTTTTACGAACACGAAAACCGGAATACTTCCGGGATGTACATAATCAACATAAAAAATAATTTAAAGAAATTATGGGCAGAATTGAATAAGATTTCTCGAGGGACAACGTCCAAGGAGCTAAGCTGTAATATTGAATGTAATTAAATGAACGATTTTTGGATTAATACAGGTTTAATATCTTTAAATCATTTGTTAAAGAAAAATCGAAATAGAATCATCCACATTGCATTTATGATTTTTTTTTCTCAATCATTTGATAGTTCCAAAATTCTAAAAACACATTACTAACTTGGCTTCAAATAGCAACTTAAATTTTTTAGACTTTGACCCTAAATTACTTAAATTAGCTGCCCCGTATACTGATCAATCACTGTGTGGCATTTCAATGCAACATAACATAAATGAAACCAAAACAATGCTAGTAAAATCAAGATCCTCTGATATATCAGAAATATTCATTAAAGATGTACGAATCGAACAGGAGGCGCGATAGCTCAGTCGGAAGAGCAGTGGTGTCGTAATCCGGTGACCCGGGTTCGAAACCGAGTCGATGCGCTAGTGCCCTTTGGTAAGGCATTAATCCTCATTACCAGGTCCCTCGGAGAGGATCTAAAGCCGTCGAACGTTTGGTTGCTTACTAACCAACATTTATGCTTTCTTAGCAGTCACGTAAAATAACCACCAACACCACAAAATCTATAAGATATTTAGGTATAGTGATTGATGAAAACTTGAGGTGAAATGTACAGTGCGTCCCAGAAGAAAAGGAAACCAAGATTTATCGATGTTTTATCATAACTTAATCACAACTATAATTTATAAATGACACATATTTGTAAACCTTCGATCCTCCTCTTCATTTGATGCAACTCATATGATGCATATTTCACGCATGAGTAATTTAAAAACAATTTGAAGCAAGGGCACCAAAAAGTCATTTTGCGGACGGTATCTGAATTTCAAAGGGAAATTAGTGTAGAAAGTTCATTTTATGCATGACACCTCAATCAGAAAAAATGAAAAATTAACTAATTTTATTTAACGAATTCGTTTTCACTGGCTGCATGCCGTAGCAACAAACAGAATTGACGAAAGACTTAACTCCGTTTCGTTGACAACCAGACATGCATGCAGTAGTTCTTCTATGGCTGATCGTGTTAAAGAATGTTTTAATAATTAAATCGATAAATTAAAACAATTGTGTCATATCATGCCAAAATGTGGATTTATCGGATATTTTATACAAATGATCTTGTTCAATTTGTTGTCATGAGGTGTCAAAATAAAGGATAAACATCAAACTCTGCATAATACATTGCGCCCATTAGTAAATCCACTGCTTTACTACAAGTAAACAAGTTTACACGTACCTGGTATTTCTACATGAATGAATGAGCAAGGTGTTAAAAGCTAATGGGTTAATTTCTTTGCCCTGCTATCCACTTTATTGCGAGAGACTTGATGAAAGACTAACATCATGGATTTTAATAGTTCCGGGTACAAATGGTATACAGACGGCATCTGATCGGGAAGTTGTTTGTGGTTATTTACACTGAATGATGGATGGGGGTCCATGGTATACGGAAGACAGTTAATTGAGAGTACGTTTTAACAGTCGGAGTTTGGGATGTGGATGTTGCGGAGAATACTGGCGAAAATGGCATCATTAAAAGTGCTGAAACTGTTTTTATTAACTCTGTCACCTTTCGTCTGTTTTCCGTTATTGATTCAAGGTAGGTAGCTATCATCCATTCAATTGATTCAAATCCATATTGGTGGGTGATTGTTTGCTTATTGGGGTGATCACGACTGAGTCGATGGTTTTATGATAATGTCTTCATGGTCATGCGAGCATATATATATATAATAATAATAATAATAATAATATTCAGCTTTTATATAGCGCAAATCACAATAAGTCTCTAAGCGCTTCCAAACTTGGATATATATATATATATATATATATATATATATAAGTGCGAGAAATCTCAACTTTTGACGCCTATATATATATATATATATGTGGCTCCTCTTTTAAGGGGCGGTTTACCTGAGAATTGTCAACAAAGTATATTTTCCGTTTTTACGCCCAACCTCTTACGGCGTGTACAGGTGACTAAACAACAGAAAAAAAAGTTTATGAATTTTAGCTCTAACATGCCTGTCATTTGGGAATAGGCAACAATATTCTTTACATATTAATATATATGTCTATTTATTTATTTATTGCACCCGACTTTCAAAAATTCAAAAATTAAAAGTTTTTACACTTTTAACCATCTGCAGTTTTTTATATTCATATTTATTTATTTTTATTCATCATTTAAAAAATGCATTTTAGCAAAATGTAACCGAAATATTGACTTTGCATGAAATCTTAAGAAAAATACCCCACATGCTTTTTGGCATAAGATGTCGTCACCTCTCCTGCAAAAATATTTATCACAATACAGAAGTTATCACAGAATATCGGTGTCATCAGCAAATTATGCCATATCCTACCAAAATGCATTCTTATCACATTGTATAATACTTTAGTCCTACCCTACTTATCATACTGTAATGTCGTATGGGCTAATACATATTTTTCCAATTGGAAGCACTTTTTATATTGCAAAAGAGATTTGTAAGAATAGCTTCATCATCTACATACTTAGCACATACTAAACCCTTATTCATAAAGTTAAGCATACTGAATATTTATAAATTAAATAATTATTTCAATGCAATACTACTTTTTAAACACAAGCTTGGTTTATTACCCAATAATGTATGCAATATGTTAACTTTAAACCGTTCAGTTAATAATTATAATACTCGAAATAGAATGAAATATTATTTATCTGCTATTACAAAACAATATGAATTACACTCTTTTAGACATAAAGCTCTTTCTGTATGGAATTCTTTACCGTTAGACATTACTTCTAGTTTGAACTCATTTAAAAGAAAGCTTAAATTATATCTTTTTTCCAATAATCTTATATCGTAAAAACACTCACTTACTCCACGTGCAAATTTGTTTAGGGTTGTGCGGTCTACATGCATGTTTTTGTTTTTGCTTATGTTCTACTTTGTTTTTTTTGTTTTTTTAATTGTTTATTCAAGTACCATTTATCATTTTGTATGATTCCTATACTAGTTTTCTGTTTCTGGTGGCCGTCCAGACAAACCCTCTTCTAGGGTTTTTATACGGCAACCTAATTCCTATTTGTTTGTTTTTACTGTCAATATTGTACTATGTTAATAATAATTATGTAAAAGTAATATTTTGATGTTACTATTTTTACTATGGAATTCAATAAATACTGAACTTGAACTTGAACATGAACTTAAACATGAACAAGATTACAACCAATTGATGATATCTGCAAACTAATTAGAGAAATAATTCCAAAATTAATAAAGGTTCAAAATTTGATGCTTCATACGCTGGCACTGTTCATTTAGCTGAAACTATGAATTTAGCCTTGAGCCTGGAAGGATTATAAAAAGCGCCTTATATATATGTAATACCGTATAAAGTTATTTATTTGATAGGAGAATATTTGTTTACAATTATTATATTTAAGATGAAGAATAACAGGTCCCGCTCCGCGAAGTCACGATTTCTGAAACATTTCTTCTCGTTGCTCTAAATCGAAATTTCAAAAAGGATTTCGCTTAAACTGAACCATTAGTAACAGATATATGTAGGGTTGCTAAAACGTTATTCCGTATTATTGCATATAAACTTGAGTGAGACTATTATCTATCGTTCACATTCTCAAACTAACCTGGATACATATGAGCTGAGAAATATTTCTGTTCAAATATCGAAACTTACTATACCATTTATACTATACTACATCTTAACCTAGGAATCATTGTTTTGATGACGATTTCTAAGTAGGCCGGTATGTGCATATAATATTACGATATGCTTCCAAACTGTACAATGTACATGTACATTATAGTTGCCTTCTGTACGTGCACGAGTACCCTCACTGGTTTTGTTGAATAGAATTGAAACTATAAATTCAATGAACATGCTTCTCAAAAGGAATCGTTCGTCGTACTTTGCCCTAATAAAAATAATACATAAGATTTGTCGATCAAATGCTCAATGCGCGATTGTGATTTACATCGATTGTGTAGGGGGTCAATTACAGTATGCTTACTATTGTCCTTGGAAGAAGACAAAATGTGCAATGCTTGAAGGGACAACATTTCGGTCCTTTTCAACTTAAACACATCTCATTTCCTATTCAAAAGTATATTAATGTATATATTTGGTGGTGTCCCCATTTTTATGTTTTATTTGATCAGGGTATTAATGGGAATATTGAGACTTTTTGCTCAGGTCCTACACTCCCTCGCATTAAATATCAACATCTACTAACCAGACGCAAGATAAAACTTTGCGAATCATATTTTCCGCGATTATCACAGACTGGGTTTTGACGTTTTTATTACAATTTGGGAAAGATCTTCTTTTAATCCCATAAAACGTATTACCGATGTTGGTTGGGCGATAAAAAGGGTAGACCAGTAGCCCCTACAAACATGTCAGGAAATATTTAAATCAAAAAGTAAATTCAACTTTTGTTGTTATTACGTAAAAAAGCTCTGTACTATTCATCTATGCAAAATACATGTAGTTTTTGTGCCTATGCTTGTGCCTATGAAATCTAAAATGCTGACTTAAAAATATCTAATGAAAATATTTTCTTTCTCGGCCATTGTCCTTCTTCGGAAGGAAATATTATTTCAGCTTAGAGATACGATAGAACGAAACGATTCAATATAACAGAGTGCAAATCTTATGTTATTTTTTAAGGGAGGGATCTCCGAAATGTTGACGATTGGGGGCGTGGGGTTTGGGTTCTGCAGCAATGTTTGGTTAACCATCACCTCACATTCGGGCAGTGAGGTGGTCTATTTGTAAGTTTTGTTTCTCATATACTATATTTTCAATATCAATTATATTACATATCCTTCTAAAGTTGTCCCTACGATTGTATATTATGATTTTAATGCTGGTTCTTTTTTCCCCATGAACTTGTGTACACATTTTTCTAAAAGAGAGATTGAAGAGTATGACAGTTTTACATATACCTTTAAAATTATCAAGGAAGTGTGTCATTTGAATGTTATTGGTAAGGAATTCCCTATTTAGGATAAGGAATGTTGGTATCTTGAGTGAATGCAGCTGGTTCTAGTGAATGCAAAAACTGTCTTCTCATGTAAGAGCATGAAACAAATGAAGCTTGCTCTACCCTGAATATCATGCCTTAGAAAATCGTGTAGGTAATGTGGTTTCTGAAAGCAGAAAGAAGTAAAATGCATTCGCCGTTTAATTAATTATCAGTTCAGAGAATTTAAACAAATTATTGCGTCACTGTAATAAAGCGAATAAATAAAGATAGAAGGAATTCTTAATGAAGCTCAAACATGAACATGAACTGATTTAATAAGAGTGTAATTATACCAAAACAAAATCATTTTCTAGTGAAGAATCCTTAAAAATACAATGATATTTGATTAACTATGCGTTTATATATTCGTAGTCGAGTGGCTTAAAAACATGACTGGAGATGGGAAACTCGTGGGTTCGAGACCTTTTGGAAAGACGTTAATCTGCTTTTGCCACTTTTCTCCCAAGTGTTCAATGGGTGCCGGTAGAAAGTAATTTCTTGAATGCTGTGAGCACCGGAATCTGTAGTCTAGCCGGGGTATACATGAGCGCATAGAGCACCTTGCGTGGTGGATCTGTGCATGCCTTATACAATCTGCAATGTTGTTTAAAAAAAATTGAAATAATAATTTTGCAAAGGGGCCTACCCTCACACAGTCCTTAGGCCCACCAAATGATTTAGATTCTGATCATTCCACAGTTGTGTTATTGTTTAAGTGACATATTGCCATACAGTACATATATAACTTACTAGATGGTTTGAAGTCCAAAATGCATGGGAAAAAGGAATATCAGTATAGACTTGAACTGTAACAAAAATCTATTTTCTCTCGGTATTTCAGGTGAGGTTGTTCATATCACAGTGCTGGCCATAGGATACACCAATGTAGATACGGATAGCAATCCGCAGTTTCAATGTTACCGTAGTGAACCAGATAGAAATGCTTCACTATCATTTGATCGATCAGCACCAATAACAACAGATAGATCACCACCAGTACATGAGCCACACTCAGATGAACAATTATTCTTGAGAGTGGTCAGGTTCCCCGAAGGAGATGGGTGGGATAGTGATGGATTCGGTCCTTTCTACTGTGAGGCTTCTAAACATGATCGAGATGTTACAAGGGTTACCACATTTTTCCAACGAAATGATGGTAAGATTATTATTCCATTCATAATAATAAGTATAGAATTTCCTTTTTTTTAACATTAATTTTATTCTTCAATTGTAGACTGTACCTGATGCACTGTAACAGCAGAAATAGGGTATCTTTGGCAATGAAATTGTATGTGTGGTTTCTTCTGACATACTTCATTTATAATCGGTATTGAAAACGATGCGACACTTTGGAAATATTTTACGTGCATCAGAGAGGCTCATACCGCAAAACGGTTTACTGAGGATCAGGAGCGAGAGTGAGTCAATAAAATTGCTCCGCTTATGACGATTTCATACTCGTTGAAGATTTTAATGCTTGAAAATGGCTATATTGCAAAGGCTTGATATGTCACATGTATAATGTCAATGAATCTAGTGAATCTAGGGTAGAATACTGTTAATAGGTTTAAGACTTAAATAGCTCAAAGTTGGTATCATATGCAAAGCATGCGCGGTGTGGATTTGAGCCTGAAACAAGCCCACTTGTGTTGATGCTGTTTATGTACATTCCAATGGCCAAAGGAAATTCCAAATAGATTTTGACATGCAACATACTATTTGCCATGTTATAATCTTAGAAATGGTTTTAACTTGTAATTGAAAAATATAAACAGTGAAATAAATGTATGCAAAGTCCTATAAATCCTTATGGTTTCCTTAAGTAAGTAAATAGCTACAGTGCGCGTGACTTGTAGGTGCTACATGTAATGCATTAAAGTATTTTTTAATTTGTTTAACTTATCATCCCTTTTATTAGCGAAATTCATATCGAGTGATGACTTGTTTACAAAGACAGTTAATGTGAATGACACTGGGGTGATGTTCAGCATGACTAGTCGTTCTAATCCTGATGAGAGTGACAACGTGATTACTTGGATGAAAGATGGAAGTGAGGTTCTTACGTCATTTGATGGGCAGACTCAGATCAGCTTCCCAAACCCAATCCAGACATCAGACCAAGGAATCTATGAGATCTACTATGATAACGAGAGGAATCAAAATAGAGGAGGACTATACAGACTCATCGTCAGAGGTATATTTACATGTGTTTTCCTGCTTCATTCAGATAGGGCTTCTTGAAAGGTGTCATTTGTTCTCCAAGATATTAAGAGTGGTGAGGTGTGACGTCATCAATAAATCTATTTTATGAATTTCTCTTTTTTTTTCTTTATTTCCCGAAAGACCACCAAAAATAATGTCCAAATGTCGAAAACCAATTGAATATGTTAAGTATTGGTTGAGACATGACCATCTGAATAAAAAGATTGCCTATGGAAACTCAGTGTTATATTGCTCTGGTTCATAACATTACGAGCCAGAGCAATATAACACTGAGTTCCCATAGGCAACCTTTTTTATTCAGATGGTCATATCTCAGCCAATACTTAACATATTCAATTGGTTTTCGACGTTTAAACATTATTTGTGATGCTCTTTCAGAAAATGAAGATAAAATTGAGAAATTCCAAAAATTGATTTTTTTTTTTTATGATGTCACAGCTTCGGTACTCATGTAAAAGAATTGCTTCATACTTTGCCAAGAAATCTTTTTTTTAGATTCATTGGATTAGGGAAGTTACATGTGGATAAGGATCTTTACATATTCATTTATAATTCATCATTAATGTTCAAATGAATGTGAACATTTCTGAAAAATTATAGTTCAGGTTATTCTTGTAAAAATGGTCGGAATTTGATTTTGGGGAATGGCATATTACCGTACGATAAACAGCTATTTCCCTTTACAAATTTTATTCCATAATATTTATGAAAATTCAAATGATAACATTTAGGTGATAGCTAATCAAGATCAGTGATGGGATTTGTACAAACGAGTAGTACAAAATTACCCGTATGTATATTCAGAATGTGACAAAGCCAATGACATACACTTTAGTTCTACCTTTGAAAACATTATTGTGTATCAAACTTTTCAATTGTCTACTCCCATTTTATTTCACTCTGCTTATCTTTTGTCTATTCTCAACTTTTTTATGATGTCATCTTTATATCTTTTTATATAATCAGATTTCTCTCTCCCCATCTCATATTAGAATGCCCTGCTGGTAAGTGGGGTCCCCCTGAGTGTTATGGTATCTGTGATAAATGCTACAATGGTGGAGTCTGTGACGACAAGTCTGGTCTATGTATCTGTCCTAACAACTTCAAGGGACCGAATTGTTTAGAAAGTAAGTAGGCCTGATGAAATTCATGTGGAATGGTGTTGTTGTTTTTTAAACTCTTAATAGATGAATTGAAGAAAATATGTATTGTCTAATTCCATTGAAAATGAACAGAGTAATGTAAATTTATTTTACATGTTCTTTTCCAAAATGTCTTTCTTCTACCTGACGAGGAGATAGAGAACTCAGAATATTATTATACATCATGTCTTTCGTACTTTTGAATCTTCATTTTACAAGGAATCGTTTGCAAGAATAATGTTGAATTATCATTCATTATTCCGTTAACAACAAGTAGATTTCTTATCGTTTATGATGTATTATATGTCATGTATTTTTAACAGCTCTTTTCTTCATGAGCCTGGTTCTTTATTACGGCTCTCAATCTGAAACTTCAAAATTTGGAATTACGTGCTTAAAAAAATAGTCTTTCAACTTTTTTATTCTCCTATATGTAGCTTTCCCTATTTTGAATAGCCACACTGTGACAAAATTGTTTTTGTATATGCACTTTACAGGAAAGAATAGTTCGATACCTGTACAATTACATTCAGGATATATCCTGCGAGTCTCTACTATCTGAACTACAGTGTACATGTATAATACAGAAAGAGAGAAAAAAAATTGTCATGAATTACTGGGAATGCTATCCTGCATACACTTGTAAAATACACAACATTGTCATAAATATACTTCCGTAGGTCAAATTCAAATCCCCAACTTTGTGTTGTTGTTTTTTCTTTCTAACCAAATGAAGAAAAAAAAATCTTTCCTCGTCTTCCTCTATTGTTTGTACATAATCATGCTTTTTTTCTTGTCTGAAGATTCCAATACCTTTTCCTGCCGTTGTTTGTTTCCAAATAGAAACATAATAAACCCAACCAACAATACCGACAATTGTTGGCCTATTTCCAATACATAGGAATTTCTTACTGATGCCATTAACCATAAAATAACACAAGTGCATCTGTCAATGACAAAAAGTGCATCTGTCAATGATAAAAAGTTTATAAAAATTTGTCGTATACTCATTTCCTTTACCGATAATAAATCCATCTTCTCTTTCCTTGCGCTGTTGAATGATCAATCCTACAAATTTAAATCAAATCAAATAGATAGGAGTTGCATCTCAACAACAACAAAATATCCACTCCATAGCTTTGTGTTGTTATAAAAATTTAAAAAATACATAATGGAACCATCTCTTGTTTTTTGTTTGTTAACAGTACCAATTTTCTAAAATATATATCGGTACAAAGGCAAATTAACATTTCCGCACAAATTGTTGAACTGTTGCCAATTTACAGATTTATACCTAGCTCAGTGTTTGGAGAAAAAAATACTGATACTTTGTGACCAAACATCATGAATCAATAAAAATAAGAAATAAATAAATATAGCGTTTTTCCTTTTTAAATACCTTTCCTTATCATTAACAATATTATTAGTGCTAAAAATACCACAATCCGTGTATATACTCTGTATATGTGCAGAACACGATAAGTCACACAGAAATGAAACTGACAAAAATCAGTTTTCTTCTTTTTTTTCTTTTTTTTTGTTGTCTTTTTTCAGACATAACAATTTAAGTTTCTAACACAAGAAATACACACCTAATGATGAACAATGTCAGCTTAGGGACATTAAATTTGCACTTTTAAACATAGGAGCCATTGTATATATTTTCTTCCTACAATTCTAGGTAAGCCCTGTCTATTTAAAATAAATCATCCTTTTTTTTCCATATTCAGTTCCAGTTGAACTATCTTGCACAGATTCACATTATTACTCCAAATAAAAAATATAGTAATAAAAATTAATATACTGGATCTATGAAAAGTACTGCAAATTCATTGCCCTACAAACATCATTCATATACACAATCGCGATACTTAGAAGGTTTCTGAACTAGGCGACCAGATCTCGTTCTCAACTGTGGCTGGCCTTCTCTGTCAGGGGGTAGAGCATCTCCGTCCCGGGGTAGAGCATCTCCGCCCGGGGGTAGAGCATCTTCGTCCGGGGGTAGAGCATCTCCGTCAGGGGGTAGAGCATCTCCGTCCGGGGGTAGAGCATCTCCGTCCAGGGGTAGAGCATCTACGTCCGGTGGTAGAGCATCTCCATCAGGGGGTAACTGAAGTCCCTCAGGATGGTGATTCATCTGACCTCCACTCCATAATGGTGGGAGTGAGCCAGACAAAAGCGTGATGAGAGGTCCCAACGGCAGATCATATGACGTGGGTGTTTGCTGGTTCCACTCAGACCGATATGGTTTGATGCGGTTCTTGTGCACTACCATCTCTTTCCTGTCGTCGTCAAACAGACTCTGAATTTTGACTGTGAGCTGAGATGGTGCTGAAGAAAGAACTCTGTAAGGCCCTTTCCAATTAGGCGCCAACTTGCTTCTGCTCATTGCTGGATTGTTGACCCAGATCAGATCTCCTGGTTGGTACTGTACATCTCGTTCTTTCTTGTCGTAAGTAGCCTTCTGTATAGCTCAAGCCTTATCGTTACATGAGGTAGCATGCTGGAAGGCTCGATGTAACCGGGAACGTAGGTCTTGTACATACTGGTAAGGATTGTTAGCTGATCTCAAGTCACGGTGAGGTAGAGAATGAGGCAGACGTGCCTCTCTTCCATATAGCATGAAGAAGGAAGTATACCCAGTTGACGAGTGTACGGTTGTATTGTATGCCAACTCGACCTGTTTGAGATGTTGATCCCATTCACCTCCTCTTTCCACCATGTATTTAGCAAGCTGGTCTTTGATGACACGATGAGTCCTCTCCAATATACCAGCACCTTGGGGTGATATGGAGATAAGCAAGTTTTCTTGAAACCAAGCTGTTTGCAAAGTTGATGAACAAGAGTAGACTCAAATTGACGGCCCTGAACGGCATGCAGCACGTCTGGTAGTCCATGTTCTCTGACATAGTCTTCAAACAGGTGTTTTGACACAGTTGCAGCTGTCTGATCCTTCATGGCATACATATTGATGAATTTCGTAAAGTGGTCTACAACCACAAGGATGTAGCAAAAGCCACTAGAAGAAGAAGGGAGCATTGCAATGTCAGCAAACACCATCTGGAATGGGTAAGATGTGGAGACGCTTTGCAGGGGTGCTTGGTGACCTGGTGTAGGATTTCTGAACGCCTCGCAAGCTGTGCCTGTCTCACAGTGGTCCATAACATCCCGATGCATGAATGGCCAGTACATATCATTCTCAGCTCTGGGAAATGCTCTCTGTGCACTGAAATGGCCAGAAGTAGGGTGAGTGTGGAGCAGTCGGAGAACTTCATGTACCAAACTTCGAGGGATAACTGCCCGGTACAAAGTGGTTGACTTCCGTCTGTCTGTCTTTGTGCGATAGAGGATGCCATCTCGTGTGGTAAACCGATTCAATTGCCACAAGAAGCGTCGCATTCTTGGTGAGTGCCGACGAATTTCTTTGGGACTGAATTTGACGTTGTTCTCCACCATGTGTTTGATGGCCTGTATATCCTCATCTTGTTGTTGGTGATGGAAAATCTTGGGTAGTAGACCCTCACTAGCAACGTCTGACGTTGAAGAAGGAAGGGATGGTACATTGACAGACCTTGCTGAGTTTGAGGATTCTGGCTTACGTCTAGTTGACTCGGTTTGTGTACTAGTGGAACTTGTAGGTCCAGTGGCAATCAGGGAGCACAGATGCGGAGATGTCGAAGAAGGGAGACGTGCGTCACCCTCAGAAGGTGATGGATGACAAGACAATGCATCTGCGTTAGTGTGAGATCTGCCACGGCGATGTATGATCGAAATGAGTATGAGTGCAGTTCCACCATCCAGCGAGCTCTTCTTCCAGTTGTGTCATCTTGAATGGAAAGTTTCTTGTAGCTTAGCAGGGGTTGGTGGTCTGTGACAACAGTGAAGTGCTGACCTCTAAGGTAATGTCTAAAATGCCGGACAGCAGAGACAATGGCCCATAGCTCACGATCAAATGTTGACCATCTTCTTTGTGTCTGAGTGAGTGTAGAACTATAGTAAGCAATTACTCTCTCTCTGTTGTCGTGGTCTTGTGATAGGATGGCCCCAACAGCGTCATTTGAAGCATCAGTAGCTAGTCTGAATTCCTTCCCAAAGTCTGGATAGGCAAGGAGTAGTGGACTGACCAGTGCCAACTTGAGCTGGTGAAAGGACTTTTCATCAGACCAGACGAAGGGAGTATTCTTCTGAGTTAGTCTGTTAAGTGGTGCGGCAACTTGCGAAAATCCAGTAATGAAACGTCTGTAAAATGACGCTAAACCCCAAAAGGCTCGAACTTGTGTTGCTGTTCTGGGTGTAGGCCAGTTCTGGACTTTTGCTGTGTTGCTCGGGGCAGGTAGAAGACAATCTGGGTTAATGCAGTGGCCAAGGTAAGTGACCTCCTTGCTGAAGAACTGACATTTACTTGGCTTGAGCTTCAGTCCAGCCAAGCGGAAACGTTCTAGGACTTCTACTAGGTTCTTCAGGTGTTCATCAAAATCTCTGCCGGTGACAATGCAGTCATCAAGGTAAATGAGACATTTCGACCAATGTAGGCCATGCAGGGCGACTTCCATTAGCCTCTGGAAGGTCATCGGTGCATTATCCAGTCCAAATGGCATCACATTAAAATGATAAAGGCTGGTTCCTGTTGTAAATGCAGTTTTCTCCTTGTCATTTGGATGGAGAGGAACTTGCCAATAACCACTAGAAAGGTCCATCGCACTGAAGAAGGAAGATGAATTCAAGGCATCTAAGGAGTCATCTTGTCTTGGAATAGGGTGAGAGTCCCTTATCGTAATAGCGTTGAGCTTCCGATAGTCGATACAGAAACGAAAGGTGTTTTCTTTTTTGCGGACCAGTACAATAGGACTTGACCACGGGCTGTGGCTCTCTTGGATTATGTTCCTGTCAAGTTAGTCATCCACTTGGCATTGAATCTCAACCTTAGTAGCAGGTGATGTACGTTACGCCCGTTGTCGTATTGGAGTCTCAGTACTTGTGATGATGCGATGATAAGCTAAGTGTGTGCTACCAATATCATCAGAAGAGGTGCTGAACACGTCAGAATAATCCGAAAGTATCTGTTCTGCTCGTCGATACTGTTCCTGTGTAAGATCAGAAGAAGGGAGAATGTCAGTGACCTTGTATGGAACACTGGATGCTGAAGCCACTTCTGGTTCAATCAGTTGGTATTCTTCTTGGTGCTTGCCTGTCACAGAATGAAATTGGCCCAAATGTGAATCCGCTGGGAGTTGAACACTGTTTCCTGATGGGTTAATGAGACAGACCATGATATGTCCATTCTGAACAGTACATAAGGACCTTGCAGCTGCAGCAGAAAGATGCTCTCGAATTTGGGGCTCAAACATTCCTTCGTAACCATCGGGGGTAACACCATGTTGAGAAAATATTTGAGCTTGAACATTAATCTCACACATCGATGGAATGGTTACTCTGTCAACCAGTAATGCATTGCATCGTAGTGGAGTTGTTGCTGCCTTGTCTGCTAATGGAATTGACGTTCCAGGCATGTCAAAAGTTGCTGTTACTGATGATATAGAAGCCTGATGTTGCCAAAAGAAATCCCAACCTAGGATGAGTGAGTGACTTATGTTTCTTGCCACATGGAATTGATGCTGAACGCTTCTGTTGCCAAGATGGAGGGAGAGTGATGCAAGTCCCACTATGTCAATGCTCTCTCTCGTTACAGAAGTCGCCGTGTAGAGGATTGTCTGAATAGGTCCTCGTTGAGTATTGGGTATATCAGACCAAAGTTGATGGCTGATGAGTGAAATGAAAGAACCGGTATCAAGGCTGGCCATGGTGTAATTGGACTCCACGATGACCGGGATGTAAGGAAGAATCTCATTCTTGGGTTGAACTTGGCCTTGCTTAATAATAGGAGCTGTAGGTGGAGAAGTTGGTGGTTGCCCCTTGTCACCAACTAGTAGCGGTTTTCCTGATCCTGGGAGAAATGTACTCTGCGAGGATCGTAGGAACTGGAGAAGGAGGGGGAATCAGACCGTGAATTATCGACTCCTGGGGGTAATGGGACCTCCGGTCTGGGCTTGGCGATCACCGGCGGTAACCGTCAGCATAATGTTGCGACATATCGTGCCTGTAATCTGGACTTGGCGAACCAGGATGAGAACGATGTGGTGAATGATTGCGATGTGAAGAAGGATGTTGCCATGTATCTCGTCTACGTTCTGGGGTAGGTGAACGATGTCGAGAAGAAGGATGTTGCCATGTGTCTTGTCTACGTTCTGGGGTAGGTGAACGATGTCGAGAAGAGGGGCGTTGCCATGTATCTCGTCGACGTTCTGGGGTAGGTGAGCGATGTCGAGAAGAAGGGTGTTGCCATGTGTCCTGTCGACGTTCTGGGGGAGGTGAGCGATGTCACGAAGTAGGGTTTCGCCATCCATCGTATCGCTGGTCTGAGGTAGGTGAACGAGAGCGAGAGGGAGAAGGATGAAGATGGATGGTTTTAAACGTCTTCTCCATTTCTTCCAGTCGAAGAAGGATGCACTTCAGGACATCTGACTCCTGGACAGTGGCAACCGTAGTATGCGAAGCCAAATTCTGGGTGGATTGCCCCATGACATGAGCTCTTTCAACCCGGATAGCAATGTCAACTGCTTCCTGAAATGCCTTGGCCCTTAACTCGTGAACGCGGACTTGAAGAAAAGGACTGAAGCCCGCGACAAACCTCCTAAACTTCTCTCCTTCTTTGGCAGAGCTGCCATAAGAAGGGAATGCCTCCTCCACCAATGTCGTGATGGCAGCAGCATACACTGCAATTGGCTCCTCGGGCTTCCTTGGTCTGGCATTAATACATGTCTGAAAAGATGCCAGATAATCCGACCGACCAAATACCGCAGACAACTTCTTCTTCATTGACTGAAAATCCTTCTGCTCACTAGGGGGGGGACTCTCCCAAACCGTGAAGCCGGATAATCGGGACGGCATTAGAGTATGCAGCTTGTCAGCAACACTGGAATCCGCTGCAGCAGCTATCTCAAACCTTTTGACCCATTGTCCAAAGTCCTTCCCATCCTCCCCAGTAAAAAGTTCTGGCAATTCAATGCGGAACATTGTGAAGCAAGTAACATCAAAACAGGCTAAAGAAAAAATAAAGGAGGGTGATACTAGCTCGGGTATCTATAGCACTGGGGGAAAAAAACAACAGCAAAATCCGTTCACACCACTGAATTACTGTAGCCGAAATATAATCTACCAAATGACGTAGGGTGAAACAGGTTATAAACTGACAGACCTACAACGATGGAGGTAAACCACCAGTAAGTAGCAGGTAGTAACAACAGCACTCAGCAGAGCTTACTCGACAACCGATGTAATACAGCTGTACTGAAACCTATCTAACACTACAATCACACCATACAAAAAACAGCAATGTTGAACTTGAACTTGAAGGGAGACAGTAGTCTAGAAATAGCTAACAAATATCACAACAGCAGAACTTACTCACCAAAGAATGAAGGGCGATACAGCTTAACTAATATGTACATGTAACTATGCTGACTACACAGGAGAGGTAAAGAAGGACGAAATGAAGCTTGCAAATTCACACCTAGTAGACCGAGGGGAATACAGATGAAGGGCGAAAGCAAAGCGGCAGTGAAACAAGTGCAAGGGTGTGCAGCAAGAAAATCAAAGATGGCGAAGGTGATTCAAAATTTCTGGGTAGGACACAGAAACACCGCTGCCACCAGTGTAAACTAATAATTTAATCTCTTGACAATCAATCACAACACCAATCTTCCAAATCACTGCCTATCTCACAAGTCCTCTCTCCTCTAAAGTCTCTCCTTCTTTTGCCCACAGAGCTCTAAAATAACACGTCTGACACAGTGTAAGTCCAGTCCAGCTTTATTATCCCAGGCTGTACATGTGCTCCATGCAAATTATATTCAAATATAGCACAATAGAATTTAAGAATAAAACTGAATATTCATAAGAAAAAGAAGAAGAGAACCAATGATAAGGAAGAAGTGGAAATATGCAAATGAGAAGAGAACATACCACCTGTTCTAGCTTGAAGAGTTGGTATGTGGTGGAGATGAAAGGTAGAGATGAATGGATGAAATGAATATGCAAATGAGGTGAAATGAATATGTATGGGGTAGAAGAGACTAGAGAAACAAATAGTAATTGTGACAAACAAAAGTAGGGAATGAGTCTAATTTTAACTCTTACACACGTAAGACATAAAACGACTTTGTAAATATTTTGTAAAGTGACCCTCTCTACCAGAGATGCGGGTCATTTTACATGAACATGTAAAGACACTAGTACTGTACATCAAGTAAATCAATTATAAAATGCATAAAATATAAGATACAGCAGGGGAAATGATTTTTTTTTTGTATTATTATTCCTTAATACCATATGACATGTGTACATACTGTCTGAATACAATATGTCCGAATAACATTAATTGTGGTGATCGACGGCCATTGCTATCCATAGTATAATAATAATAATAATAATAATAATAATAATAATAATAATAATAATAATAATAATAATAACAGTGGGATTTTGTATAGCGCTAATGTCTGTCAGACTTGATATTCCTGGCTCTCCCGAGAGGGGGATCATTGTAGTAAAAACTATTATTTTTGTAGAGCATTATACACCATTAGTAATTTGCGAAGGAGATTACAGGAAAGCAACCATATATGAAATTTATCTCATGAAATTGAATTTCTTATGCAAGTCTATAAGGATTTGATTCAATAATGCAACTATTTTGTTTTCAGTTTGTAGAACTAGCGGTGGAAATCGCTTTGGATTGAACTGTGAGTTTCGATGTTCATATTTCGGTGATGCTCCCACACAATGTCATGGGTTTCTGTTTTGCCTTCCTGATCCTTACGGATGTTCATGTGGCGTCGGTGCCCGTGGTCTTGCATGTATAACACGTAAGTCTTCTGATAGTTAATTAATTGTGCTCAAATTCTGATAGTGAATATACCTGGATTCACGAGTGAGGTCAGACGCAACTCAGTGAACAAAAGAAGTAAAATAAAATTTAAAAAAAGAAAGAGGAGGAGAAGAAGAAGAAGGAGAAGAAGGAAAAGAAGAAGAAGAAAAGAAAGAAATAAAGAAGAAAAAGAAGGAAAAAAGAACAGGAAGAAGTAAAAGAGGAAGAAGAAGTAGAAGAAGAAGCAAAAGAAGAAAAAGAAAAAGGAGAAAAGAAAGAAAAGAAAAAAGAAGAAGGATGAGGAGAAGGAAATAAATTCATAAGCATAATATTTTGCAACATGTAAAATATTTATTTCTGATGAATGTATTGTAACTGTAAATCCTGATGTTGTATTTTTATTTATATTACAGTATGCACTATCGGTACATATGGCCCCGGATGTTCACAGACATGTCACTGTGCAAATTCATCATGTGACATATATAGTGGAATATGTGCAGAGGGGTGTCAGACTGGCTGGTCTGGGGACAACTGTCAAAGTAAGTCATGGTCAGCAATGATAACAATTAATATGACATTAACAATTTGTCCCAAAAAGATAAATAAAAATATTACATGTACACTGTAGCTTTGTAATTTTTGTCATTGTGTTATATTAGATAGCTTAGACAGATACCGAGATGTGATTGGTCCAGAGCTCGTAACGTGAAATCAATTGCGAGGATCCAAATTGTTATATTTTCCTGGCTGGTTATATTTTCCCAGCTGGTGAAATATTTTCAATATTTGTTTTCATATGAATTTTTTTTTCCACATTCTTTTAACACAGTAGCCCCCGGGTCCAGTATGATATAGGGTTAAAAAAAAAAAATAACAATATTATACAGTTATTGACTGGCAGGGGGTGTAATATAACATTTTTTGGATCTAAAGGGAGTGATATTTTCCCTCTTGACCATATTTTCCCGAAGCGCGCAGCGCTGAGGGAAAATATAACCACTTGGGAAATATAACTCCCTTTAGCAGTCCAAATAATGTTATATTACACCCCCTGCCAGTCAATAACTGTATCATATTGTTATTTTTAACCCTATAGCATACTGGACCTAGTGGCTCCTGTGTTATACCTCATGGAAATGAGATAATTCAGTAGTCAATGGAATATCTTGAAGTTATTGTACTTTGTATTTTTGTAGATAATCCCACTCTTGAGCTGTGTTTTGGGTACAGCTCCTCCCATATATTCCGTGTTCAATATTATTAGTAGTAGTAGTAGTGGGAGTAGTAGTAGACGATTGGGCGACGTTATTGGATAACTTGTTTAGCACCAGGCTAATCTGCCACAAGGTCCATATATGATGTTTATTAATAGAGGAATTGATTCCTTTCTAAAAAAAAATACTCGTAATTATTTAGTGAAGGCACTGTAAGTTTCAATATCAATATAATTCTTGAAATCGATAGTTCAAAATTAAAATGCCTAATTACAAGGAAATAATCCAGTTGTAATGAGCTAATATTTATTGTTAGTAGTACTTGCTAAATTTTGATTTCTACCATTGTTCTTGTCATCCTCAGTTCCAGATGAATGTGAATACGGTTACTACGGATCTCAATGCACTGATAAATGTCATTGCTTGAATGATGAACCATGTGATAAAGATACTGGAGAGTGCCCTGAACAAAAGTGCGCTCTAGGATACACAGTAGATAGTGGCCAGGTAAAATGTCAAGGTAAAATATAATTTTTACATAAAGGATGTTGAATTTTCCATATCAATTCCTATTCATTTATTTCCAGACTACATACAACAAATACATCAAGTATGATGCACTATGCATGGTACACCAGGGGTGTGTCACAAAACTTGTCATCAGTGACAAATGACATTGTCACTTGTCATTAAAAAGGGCGTTGCTCTATCCTTTATTGTTGAACGCCAAACTAGGTAGCAACAACTCCCATCTTTTAACGTCTTTTGGTATGACGCGGCCGGGGTTCGAACCCACGACCTCCCGGTTGTGAGGCGGACGCTCTACTGACTGAGCCAACACTCCGGTACTCATGCGTATACATGTACATTGTGTCCGTGCAGTCAGTAATGAATTTTATGCCTGTAGTCTTTACCAATCAAAGGCCTAGAATCTTGATATGCTGTTGATAGCATTACGCAATAATTCTGCATGCATCACTTTTACCCAAATTGTTTTCCGAAACAAGCCATACTTGAATGATTTAAACCAACTGCTTTTACTTTTGGTGCTGTCAAAATAGGGGAAGTCATTTAAAAAGAAATTGAAGGTGAATTTGAGAGAGTACTAGAAATTTGATATGATGGTTGATGTGAGTGATCATGTAAGTAATAAAGACTATATATCAAAACCTGACCATTGGGCGGTTTGCTTTTCTTCTTTAACAAACTTAAATCAAGAGAATTTAAGATACAAATGTAATAATTAAGTTGATGGAAAAATATTTGTTTGTAATGGAAGATGCTTTATTTACACTCCAGCACAAGTAAGATAGGGCTTTGTATTCAACTGGTTAAAATTGTTTTTAACGTACTCTCATCTACCATATGTTTCTATTATGAGACCTTACCCTTTTGTTTTATCATATTTCAGAGTGTGAAGGGGGTACCTTTGGTCTGGATTGTCTTCAGCAATGTCATTGTGCTCCAGAGGCTTGTGAGAAGGAGAGGGGTCTTTGCAAGGGACAATGCCTTGATAGCTGGATTGGACCATACTGTCAAAGTAATTATACCCAAAATAAGTGTTCTGGTTTGTCTTTTTAATTGGTCAGCTTAACAAGGTTTACATTAAAAACAACCTTATATGTTATTCACAATCTTGTTCCAGAACATTGTAGAACAAGGAGTTTTATCAAGTTTAGTTTAAGCAAATTTATTTGTAGAGCTCCATGAGCATCAGTACCTTGCGGATACGGACGCTACATAAATATCCATTATCATTGTGATTATTATTTTGTTTTGTTACGGAGACTTGAAAATGTTCAAACAGATTTGCAAACACTCCATTTTACTGTTTCTTCTGTAAAAATGTCCCATAAATATTTGATGAGGTTTCTCCAAGCTTATACACGCAGTGATTGGAACTTTAGTGTAAATCTGACAAAATTCTGCAGATAATTATCCGTTATTGTTAATCGTTTTATAAAGCGTTTTCTCAAGTGGCTAGACATCATGATTAATAACAGAGAGTGGTTTTTGAATGTGCATTTGTGATTTGCTTGCCTGGAGTATTGCATTGATATACATTGAGCAATTAGATTTTGAACCAAAAAATCAGATTAAGATTTTCCCTTGTGTAGGTAGGTACACCTGCATGTAAATGTGTAAGTGTATATTTTTGTTCTTGCTTAATTCTTGATACTAATCATAATATCATAAATTGACTGGATTACTATCTTCTAGGGTTTTCGACGTGTAAAGTTGTAATAAATGTTTTGTTTTTTAGCTTTGTTTTTGACAGGAATTTCACGATTTTTAGTAATTGGATATTATTTCCAATATAATCAAATTTATTCTTTGCTTTATGAATACCAAATGAATATGAATAGTAAATGTTTAACAAAAGTGCATGTAGGATTTGTTTGCCATACGTATTGTCGCTATAGTACATGAGGCAAGCAGATTTTAAATAAAATCATTGGGTTACAGTTTGCTCTGTGTCGATGTACATAATTTAATGTTTACTTTGTTCTTGACAGGAGTATCAAGACTGGTTCCAATGAGAGTAAACCCATATCAACCATCTAGCTTCACATGTTATGTTGAGGGTATCCCACTTCCTGATGCATCCTCAGTTGATCTTTACAGACAGACTGGAAGCATCAATGACACGGAAGGAATCACCAGGAGATCAAGCACTGTCTCAGGGTCAGAACGAGCTGTTGCCTTTGATGTTAATAGTGTTTCTCCGCAGGAATATGGTGGATACCAGTGTACTATTTATAGAGACTATCCAAGTACGCTTATTACCAACGCAACTTATGGTACGTGAGCAAACTGCGTGATATTATCAGTTTACAGTATGATATAATTTAGCTTATGTACTGCGAGATACCTGATAACTAAAGAGCCTGGATTCTCTCATTTTAAATGAAAAGTTACTTTCAGTCATTTATGTTTGCATAATTGATACAGGGAACAAAAACAGCATTGTTGTTATGTTATGACCTTTCACGAAATCACAAACAATAATCAAACAATCATATAAACTAAGCTGCAAAGCACATGTCCAGGCTTGAATAGTTTCAAAAAATAATTGAGCTCGGAAAGCATATACATAACATCAGACAACTATTCTTAGAAAGCAGACATATTGGTCCGAATTCACAAAGGAGGTTTGTCGACAAACCTAGGTCAATGTGCGTCAAATGACTCGTTTCGATGCGTTTCAGACCAAGGTTCAGACAAACCTTGGTCTGAAACGCGTGAAAACGCGTCTTATGACGCACATAAACCTCCTTTGTGAATTCGGGCCCGAGTGTCTATTCTTCCCATCCATGCATATCTGCCACGTAATAATATTTTGTGACGTTACGTAACGACACGTAGGTCCCACGTTATTTGACATGGTAAATTTATCAATTTTGTGAAATATTCGCTTTACCTTCAAGTAAGCACCATGCATGCACTACACCCGAAATGTCAAAGTGTGGGTTTTCAGATACTGACTTGAAGGTAGAAATCGCATATTGCCTCTGATATTGACTGTTCAGGTGATTCCAAAATGTTTGTTTATTTTCTTTTTTTGTTCAGTTCTGCCAGTCATAGAGAAAGCACCAGTGATAGTGAGCACCACGTCAACGACAGTAGGTCTTCGATGGAATACATGGTCTGAAGAAGATGACATAGGTGATCCTCCTCTGATAGGGTATGATGTCTTTGTAAAGAGGAATGGTGACTGGGTACATGATCAGAGACCAAACCAACTCACAACATTAGCCATCGTTATTAACCTGAAACCCGACACCGATTACAGGTTTCGTGTAGCAGCAGTGAGGAAAGGAACAGGTGGAACGGGACCTTTGTCGCCTAGCAACACCACAACAACTCGCTGTGGAAGTAAGTTATAACATGTTCGTAATAGTTCTATGGTTATACTCAGACGAAAAATAATTGGACGTGCCAGGGGTTCGTCATAATTTGGGTTAGGGTTACGGTTAGCAAAGTAAAAATGTTGACGATGCTTATTTTTCAAACTTGTTCAGCTTTTACAGCTATCTACAAGAGAGTACACGTATTACATTAATAGTAAATTTGGGATATTTATGCAATTTCCAATGATTGAAGGCTCTTTAACTTACCTAAATTTATGAGTAAATTTGTCCCGTAGAAATGATTGTATTTTCAATTCATGCATGCTCCTTTTTAATTGTTCTATCGTTCTAAAAAATGTACACAAAAATATTCTTCTACAAAATATGTATTTTCCCAAATATGTTTATAGCATATTTTATTGTGTTTTGCCTAAGATGGTTTCATGTTCGACTTGCTGACATTTAATTTAAACAACATTAAAAGTACTTGTTTTAGCAATGTATGATTTTACCATGAGGTGCATGGCAAACAAACCAACTTTCAGAAATTGTAGATAATCTTAACTTCTATAAAGGACTTGATAATAACAAACAGACACGAGAAAAATGATAAATCTGAGGTCTTCCTATAAGTATGCGTGGAAAATATCTGGTATATTGTACATGGGTAAAAACGTAATACAAAACAAATAGTTGTCATTGGTACAAATTATTGCATGATCTTAACAATTTGATGTAAATGCTTATATTGTAGATGTAGTACAGATTAATTGGGATGATATTCAACAATGTGAAGATATCAATATGCATATGATACCTTGAAAGAAAAATTGATGGTTATTATTGAAAAATATGCGCCTCTCAAGTTTACGGAGAATACGAAAACAAGAATCCCCCTGGATGACGTCAGAAATATAGGACCTTATTTGTGGGAAAATCTAGATCTTTTTATTGATAACATAAAATTGAATGAGGTAATTGTAAGTAAATATCTCGGGGTACACTTGCATAACTCTTTAGATTGGGATACAAAAGTATAAAATGTGTGTAAAAGTACTGTGAAGAATTTCTTTTGGTTAAAAAGAATAAGACATTGTAAAAAGTAAATTCGATTATTGTGATGTTCTTTGACATAATTCGAAGAAACAGAATATTAAAAAAATTGCAAATTTTACAAAATAGATTACTTAAAACAAAAATGAGACGGGAAAAAGATATTCAACTTGACTTTTGTATGAAAATTTGATTATGGATACCTCAGTTTTGAGACGTAAAAAACATGTATGTATGTATAATGTATAAAATTGCAGACCAATTAAATCCGGATTTTCTTTTAAGTAAATTTAATTTTAAATACACTTCCTAAAGCTTAACAAATGCTCCTCGTATATTTACATTAACAAGAATAAAGACATGCTTCATGGTGTAAGACTAAGGAATGAATTGCAGGTAGAAACTAAATGTAAACCAACTTACTATGCTTTCAATAGGAGTTTATGATATTTTGATATCATGTTTGACTGTAGAAAACAAAGGAAATGTGTATGTTTTATAGACGAAACGAAACGATTTAATGAATTCATCTACTCTAGGACCAAGCCATTTAGTATCTTCTATATAATTTTAATTTCAGAACCCAGTGCTTCTCCAACTGGACTATATGTGGCAGCCATCAACCCTAAAGAGCTAGAGGTGACATGGGAGGTATGAACTGTTTAAGAACAGGTGTTTGGTCACTTAGTGAAATGTAGTTGGATGTAAAGACTCGTCCTGAACACAAAATGCATAACTATTATTAGTCTTTTTTGTACATGAAGGTAGAACCACATGATTAGGATATGAAGATGGTAAATACATGTATAGCCTTGATTACACACAATTTTACCTACAATTTCCTCGAAATATGCCAAGTAAGAAATACTCCACATCACTAACTATCATACCTTGGGCATTTTGGATGTTTCTTTACGTACCTCAACGTTTGACGACATGAAATACGTCTTGAGAAGAACAAATACTGTTAGCTTGTTGAAAGTATGAGCTGTTTTGGTAATAATGAAAGGGAGTTTTGATTTTATTCTACAGAAGGAAGCAAGTATAAGCATAGTTTGTAATCAAGAGATTGTTGTTAGATATGCAAAAAGCTCAATCACATTAATTGCAGCATCCTTATTAAAGCGAGAAATTATGGACATCAAATCAAAACATCTCATAGGTTTGTTTATTAGTGTGAAAGTAACTTCTTTTTGTATGTGGTTATGATGCATGTAACATGTATTTTCACCTTGTGTTTCAGCACCTCCCCTCGGAATCAGCAGAATGCAGGAGTGGAGTGACCCATTATAATGTCTACTATGCTGCCATTGGGTCAACTTCTTCAAACTCTCTCATGGTTCGAAATGATACGAGCTCCATCACTATACGAGGGTTGGAAACCTATCAGGACTATTCCTTTCAAATGACTGCATCAAATGAAGACGAGGAGAGTGACAGGAGCAGTGAGATTATCGGCAAAACACTTGAAGAAGGTTCGTGTTTATCTTGGGGGTGTCTATTGGTGGGGGTGGTGGAGTAGTTGCTTTGCCTGTTCAACGACATAGTTAATATTCTTGTCGATGTCTTTGTCACAACCTTCGTCCAACATGACTTTTTGTGTTGATTTCACAATTTACTTTCAGCTGCATCTACAAATCTAATTGATCTTGATAGAGTGAGTGTCATTTTGTCTGCTTGACTGCAAACTGTATGGTTCGATTTATATTAATTCATTTGACCCAAATCGAGGAATACAGTTTTGTTAGAATTAGACCACAGCCTATTACTTCTGTGTTAAACTCAACTTCAAATGATTCTTAAATCCAGCGTCGGGTTAAATTGTTAGTGGAGTATGGACGAGTATGTTTACGCATTACATATAGTCGCAGATCCTCAATAGCAATGATGTTTACAAAATATAAATAGAAGTGTTTTTATAATAAACTACTTCTTTCTGCATCATATACGTCGTATACATGACTGTTTGAGGCATTAGAGCAGGCGCGGATCCAGGGGGGGGGGGCGAGCGTGCCTTGCCCCCCCCCCCCCCCCCGCAAAAAAAAAAAAAAAAGAGAGAGAGAGAGAAGAAAGGAAAAGAAGGGAAAGGAAAGAGGAGAGAAAGGGAAAGAGAGAAGAGAAAGAAGAAAAGAAAAGGGGGAAGAAAAAGATCGGGGGGCCGAAAGGGCCTTGCCTCCCAGGCTGTTGCCCCCCCCCCTCCCCCATCACAAAAATAAGAGAGAAGGAAGGAAAGGGAAAGAAAAAAGAAAAAGGGGAGATACTGGCGAACTGATAGGGGGTTAGGGGGCTTGTGGGAAATCAAATTTAAACGTGGTTTATTTCTAATTCCATAACGGTAGATTACAAATAATGCTGAAATGACATAATTTTCAGAGATTTTTCCTCACTTTTTAGTAAATTATACGTTTTTATGTGACAAATTCCTAAATTTACAGCCAGGCAAGAAATGTAATTCTTGAGATTCCTACATGTCAGGGCCCGAGGAATGGCGGGGATCGAGAGCCTCGAGCCCCCCCCCCCCCCCCCCCACTTTTTTTGAAAAGGTATATTAAAGAAAAATAAAAAAGAAAGAGAGCAAGAAAGAAAAAAGAGTTAACTGCCAGTGTCAAAAAATAATGAGGCATCAAAATATGCTCATCTGACCGTGATTAAATGCCTAAAGCCCACAAGCTTCCGGGGGCTCTGCTGGCCCCTGGATTCCAACTAGGGCCCTAAGGCGGGCCCTTAGATGCTCATCTGACGGTAATTTAATGTCTAAAACTCCTAAGCCTCCGGGGGCTACACCGCCTCGACCCCACCAGGGGCCGTAAGGCGGGCCCCTGAATGCTTATCTGACCGTAATTTATAGCCCCTGAGCTTCTGGGGTCGGACAAGTAATCAAAATATGTTTATCTGACCGCAGGCGCGTAGCCAGGGGGGGGGGCTGTGGGGGCGGTCCCCGAAAATTGCCGTCAAAATAAAAAAGAGAGGAGAGAAAAGAAAGAGGGCGTAGGAATAAAAAGGAGCAGACAAAGAACATCTTTGAAATTCAGACAAGGATTAAGAGTAGAGAACGGTACAACGCATCGTCTTCTTTCTCTAATGATTTAATAAAACGTCAAAGCTTCCGCGCTTCGCGCAGGAGGGGAGGGGGAGGGACTGAATTCAGACAAGGATTAAGAGTCGAGAACGGTACAGCGAATCGTCTTCTTTCTCTCACAATCTTATGAAACGTCCAAAATTGTGCGCTTTGCTCGGTAGGGGAAAACTGAATTCAGACGAGGATTATTATCGAGAACATTATAACGGATCATCTTCTTTCTCTAATGATTTTAATAAAACCTAAAAGCTTCCGCGCTTCGCGCGGGAGGGGGGGGAAACTAAATTCAGACGAGAAATTTTTTTCGAGAACGGTACAACGAATCGTCTTCTTTCTCTAATGATTTAAATGAAACTTAAAGCTTCCGCGCTTCGCGCGGGAGGGGGGACGAATTTAGAGAAGGATTAAGAGTCGAGAGCGGTACAACGAATCGTCTTCTTTCTCTAATGATTTAATGAAACTTAAAAGCTTCCGCGCTTCGCGCGGAAGGAGGGAGCCTGAATTCAGACGAGGATTAAGAGTCGAGAACTCTACAGCGAATCGTCTTGTTTCTCTAATGATTTAATGAAACGTTAAAGCTTCCGCGCTTCGCGCACGAGGGGAGGGGGGAACTGAATTCAGACAAGGATTAAGAGTCGAGAACGGTACAGCGAATCATCTTCTTTCTCTCATAATCTTATGAAACGTCAAAAATTCCGCGCTTCGGGAAAAACTGAATTCAGACTAGGATTCAGAGTCGAGAAAGGTAATACGAATCGTCTTGTTTCTCTAATGCTTTTAATGAAAATTAAAAGCTTCGCGCGGGAGGGGGGGGGCCTGAATTCAGACGAGGATTTAGAGTCGAGAACTGTACGACGAATCGTTTTTTTTCTCTAATGGTTTAATGAATCGCAAAAGCTTCCGCGCTTTGCGCGGGAGTGGTGGGGGGAGGGAACCTGAATTCAGACGAGGATTTAGAGTCGAGAACTGTACGACGAATCGTCTTTTTTCTCTAATGGTTTAATGAATCGTAAAAGCTCCCGCGCTTTGCGCGGGCGGGGAAAAACTGAATTTAGACGAGGATTATTTTCGAAAACGGTATAACGAAACGTCTTCTTTCTCTAATAATTCAATGAAACGTCAAGAGGGAGGGGGAACTCGCCCCTCCCTGCACCCCCCCCCCTCCCCGCATTACGTCACTGCTGGTCACCATTACGTACCAATATTTGGCTCGCATAATTTCACATTTGGGGCCCCCCCCCCCCCCTAAGAAATCCTGGATCCGCGCCTGCATTAGAGTACTATTTCCTAATGTCAATAAATATCCATTGTAATTCAAACTCTGTTTTTCTTTGTATACAATTAGTCGCTGTAATTGCACTGGTAATAGATAAGACGTTAAGACGATACTAAGAATAGGTAATGGATATTCTGGAATATTATAAGTCTACCATATTTCACTGTGATATTTTTATGAATACTTTCTTCTAATCAGTTGCACCTACTCCTATCAATGTGGCTATACCGCGGAGTACTACAAGCTCCTTCACTGTATCCTGGTCTACCCCTCTACCATCTAACATCAACGGTAACATCCAGAAGTATATCATCCGCTACAAGGGAACTAATCCAGATGTTGATGGCACTTATAAGATGGAGGAAGTATTGACTAGTGCATTTGATGGAGAACATACTGTGGTAAACCTGGCCAGTGAAATCAACTATTCAGTTCAGGTAAGAAGTTTTGACATCAATCATTATGACCCAACGATTAAGGGAACGTTCGATCTCTTCATATTTTAGTACAAGCATTCCATATATACAATATTTTAGAATGAGCTGTTAACCTTAAGCGCTGTTGGAGAAAGTATATACTTATTTAGATGAAATCACAAAGTGATCTCTTTCATATTTGTGCCATTGATCTAAAAAGCATTTGCCAATTATAGACATGATATTGAATTTAAACATATGGGGTGGTATTCTCATAAGTTAAGCCGGGACTAAGTCCAGACTAAACAAGAATTTTAGTTCACACTTTTATGGAATGCTAGGTTTCATCTTCCTCCTTCAATATTCATGACAAAGATAATCTACCAAAGACTTTTTGGAAATTCAGTTCATACTCATATTATCTTTTTCTTCCCATTTCATTGCAAAATTAATTTTTGGAGACTTTTCATTGAAGGATTAAAATAATCTGTAAAGGATAAATGAGTTGACAACAGGCACTCCATAAAAGCGTGGACTAACTTAGTGCGCGCTAACTTAGTACGCGCTACCAGAATACCACCCATAGTGCTTATAGTGACTGATATAATGAGGACACTAATGATGATTGCAGATATTTTTTTTAGATTAAAATTGCAGATGTTTTTTCTCGAGTATATGAACAGTTATCTTATTATATATAAATTGGATTTAATATAAATGAAGAATATTATTTTTTTGTGCGTTTATGATGTTTGTTTTGTCATTATTTCTGCGAATCCGTTTTTTTATTTCTATGTTTGTCAGGTCCGTACTTTCAATGAAGCTGGTTCTAGTAATTGGTCCGAACCAGTGAGTGCAAAGACCACCCTCTCAGGTAAAAGCATGAATTGAAAGATACTTCTTCTACCATGAATGACTTACTTAAAAACATTGTGTAGGTAATGTAATTTGTTTAAAGGTACTATGTCCCATTTGAATCACAAACAAATTAAAAGGTTAATTTCTAAAGGCATTTTAAAGATAATACTAATTTAGAACTTCCCTAAAAAAGGGGGGGGCTTGAAAATGTCTTTAAGTGGGAAAAATAACGTCTATTAGTTGTCAAATCGACTTAAGTGCTACCAAGTCAGTAAGTAATAATCTGATTTTCAGACCATTGTACCGAATGGTCGTACGTTTTGTGCTGCACAAAGATTCAATCAATTTAATTTTGGCAATTTCAAGAAGTGGGTTCTGGATGTAGACAAATGCTAATGTACCCTTTACAGCTCATTTTATGTATTTTATTACCAAAGAAGAAGAAAAAGCCAATCAGTCACTCAATAATTTCTGACAGTGAAGTCTAGCAAATAAACGGGGTTTCTTGCATAATTTAAATATTAGGACACTGCTAATGTTTACATTTCACAGATAGGACATACATTACATATTCATAATTCCTGCAAAGTTCTACAGAATTTGATGTTGGCTGCAAAAGGGACATAGTATCTTTAAAGGATGTAGAAGTAAAATTGAATTGGCATTTCATTTATTGTTCTTTCATTTTAGTATGTTGTTTTGTTTTAATGCAGATGTTTTTACATGCTTTTTTTTTTCCTCAGCAGTGCGACTTTGAGCATTCGATTTAAGGAGGAATACGTGCATTCCAAATATAGTTTATTATTATTATCATTATCATTATTTAATAAGAGCTTCATAATTATCATAATAAAGTTAGTATTAAACCGTCATATATACCAAAATATGAACATAAATATGTAGCTTTAATACCATTTTTATTTACATCTTCATAATAATATTATTCTTTGTTCTCTGTTTGATTTTCTGAGTGCCTTTGGAAAAGTTGAATAGTCTGCACTAATCATGGACTATTTAAAATAAGCAGATATGGAATGTATGAGTCCAAACCAATTGATTACATCTTTTTGTGAAACTTCATGAAAAGAATATAAAAAAGTGTCATTTATGAACCCTAAAAAAATCCAGACAAAATCAACACAAAACTTTGTGAAACAGACCAACAAATGGTTTGCGTAAGTCATGACAGCATAATTACATTTATATTTATTTTTGTTTGTGCTAAAGGTGATGATAATGGTACCAGGATACCACTAGGAGCTGTGATAGGGGGTGTGATAGTACCCCTCGTTATTATCATCATAATACTAATATTAACTGTGGTCGTGATGTATAGAAGGTAAGTTAACTCAACAACAGTAGAAAATCCAAGTGAATTCAATGCCACTGTCTGGTAACATTGTTACAAAAAAAGATTTTTTGTTGTTGTTGTAAATTTGACATTCAAAAAGATAAAATTATTGACCATCTAAAGTGAGACAAAACAACAATGGATAAAGTAATTGCAGGATTTTCCGTATTCTAGAAGCCATTTTTTGTTATATCTACAAAGAATCGTTTATAATGCGTTTGAATATTTTGTATGATAAGGGGCATCCAGAATCACACGCATGCAGCTTATCATGGACCTTCCTACTTCAATTTTATCGAAGCTGTGTGTGTATGTGTGGAGGATGTGGGTGTGTGTATGTAAATGCAATGATGTTACAAAGGCGAAGGAAATAAACGTTGTTTTGAATTGAATCTCACTTCCAGGATCAAACACAGACATTTAAACGCTGAACCAGCCGATACTGCACATGAGACCTCCTCCAAGCATGGGAACCCTGCATTTGATGGCTCAGACACCAATACATACCAAGATCTTACTGCAGACACATCAAACTACCAGAATTGTGCCGACCCTCAAAGCTATGAAGATCCCATTGGCCACGTTACCTATCATGATGTCATATCATCAGATCCGGGAGACATTTACGCAGAAATATAGACTCAACCCAAGTATGGCTGAGGGGTATGGTGCCAGCGGTGATACATGCTGGATCAACAATAATGAACATGGTATACAGTACACATAGTTTGGAATACATGTATTCATCTTGATGCTCATACTTATTCATTTGCATACATGTTTTTTACGGTACTAATCAATGGTTACAATAATTATAACGAAACTTAAATAGGCATTTTCAAAATGTTATAGAAACAGTTTATATGTTATGTGATTTTAGATCATCACTCGCTTGTAAATAAAGGAAGGAAAGGGTAAATGTATGTCTAGGTTCTTAAAATTGGCTTTCATTTACAATGCACAGGTGCCAGTTTTTAATTATTAACTACTGTTGTAGAGGAAATGTTTTAGTTGTTGTTCACTTTAAGTTGTGTAATCATTCTATTTGTCATGTCATTTACCTCTTGTTTTCCTTTCTTTTAGACGTGTACATTTGTAAAAATATTTTGTTGTAAGCTTATGTAACAATATATATATTATTCAGTACAGGGCCCGTCTTACAAAGACGGGGCCCTGATGTATTTCTCGCTCTCTGTGTTCTCTGTATTGAATGAAATATAAAATCTATAGATAGGTAAGGGTTCTCCAAATTGGCTGAATTGGAGGTTATTCATTGTTGTTTAGTGGCGGACAACTTTTCCAACTTTTATTAAAATATATTACTCAGGAGGGTCTATTCTTTTTAGAGGACATGCTATTATCCACTAATATATTTTAATCAGTGCCCCGAAGGAGAATGCACTTGGGAGAAAAACTGAAATTAATCATATTTGTGTACACTACAATCAATAGATTTATTTGCATAGACCTAGTGATCTCATATTTAAAACATCCAGAACTTACTTGTTACCGATCCGATTTATTTCACACCTTCGCCATTCTGTTATTTTCTGCTTTCAACCGAATGAACTTGGTACCATGGATGGATTGCCCCGTGAGGGAGTCCTCATAGATTTATCGTATATGCAATTATTGGAAGTGTAGGACTGAAAGAACATAATTATGCACTGTACTATAATATTAGTAAACTAAGAGGTAGTTATAGTTTCGTATACGTACAATGCTAGTCAAGTGTAGGCCTGAATTATATGCACTGTACTTTTTTTCTGTTCCAATTATTGAACCTTAAAACGAAACAAGTTGTCAGCATATGAATAATGTCATTATAGTACATTATTTGTGATGTAATTTTGCAATTTATTATTAAGCAATTAAAAGCTAATTCTGAGAACTGGAGTCTATTAAGACTATGTGACCTATGTATGTCGGCGGTTTTCAGAGTTGAGGAAAAAATCATGCTTGATGTGTGTGTGTGCGTGTGGGGGTGTGTGTATGGGTGTGCGTGTGTGATCGACATGGCTTTGATCCTGGGGCCTCACAGATACGAGGCCAATGCTTTGCCTCTGAATCATGACTCTGAAACGTAACCCCTAATAGGAACAGACTGAGTTCATAGCTCATCACCTCTGCTGGTTCAAGTTCCCGTGTTTGTTAAACTACCAGGAACCGTTGAATATCAGGTGACCAAAAATCCTCCAATCGAATGGCAAGGATCTACTTAGATGTTATATAATATATCATATAAGTTTATTTTTGTGTCATCTTGCTACAAAATATCAATAAGCAGTTTTATATGGTAAATACGGAGTGGGGAGGACTCCTGGATATTGGACTCGACGCCTTGCTGGAATGCATGGTTTTGCCCCACCCCCACCCCCCCCCCCCCCCAAATTCGACATTTGACAGAGGGAGGATATGAAAAATTAGCTCAGCACTGCCTGAATATCAAAAGCCATGGGCAAAAAAGAGCTACTTTAGAGTTATACGGGTTTTCCGCCATAGCGCCCTTTGCCTGTCTTTTGGGGCACTTTAACACTTGTAATAACTTCAATATGGACGCGGTAAAATAAGAGAAACGAATAGCGAAAGTTTGATACAAATCAGCCAATAATAAGGGAGTTACGACTGTTTTAAAGGCATCGTTTAACAATGTTTGATCTGAGATGCATGGCCCTACGCAGGCGCGTACGCAGGATTTTTTCAAGGGGGGGGGGGGGGTTAACATTTATAAATCGGGCCGAAAATTTCGCAACGACTCAGACAGCTGTTGAATAAGCGGGGTTGGGGGGAAGGAGGGGGATAAGAGGAACACTTTTTCTTTTTTTTTGGTCTCTAAATTTGAAAATTTGACTCCGTTTGGCTCCGTTGGGGGGGAGGGAGGTCACCTGTTTTGGTCAGTCATGGGAATAATTTTTTTTTTAATTTTTTTTTATAATTAAAAAAAAAAATAAAATTAAAAATTAAAAAAATACAAAGGGGGGGTTTTGGGGGTTTGGGGGGGGGGTTACACACAAAAAAATACTAAAGGAGGGGTTTAAACCTTCCCCCCCCCCCCCCCTGTGTACGCGCCTGGCCCTACGTATCCCCAGTGTCGGTGATATAGTATAATATTGAAGACCTAAAAAAAAAGGCGCTTAAAAATGATCATGAAATGCCTCAAAAAAGTAAAAATCTTTGAGTGACCGGTTTTAACATACTCATTATCCCAAATTGACTGTAGTGTTATAAAAACCGTTGGAAAAATGAATTCTGAAATTTCGTATTCCAATCATAGATATCTTGATAATCAGACAGGCGATTGGCTTGCAAAAGTCACGGGATTCATGTATGACCTAAGGGTTTGTAATTATGATCCCTTTAAATATGAGATCACCAAATCCATGCGAATCTCAATTTGGCAGTTTATTCAGTCGATTGTGACGTATTCTCGGAACAACTTTCCCGTAGTCGTCTACAAAATTATCATTAATAATAAAAAAAAAAATATATATATATATATATATATATATATATATATATATATCTTTTAAGTACCTTATCCCTTGGGGCACTACTCAAAATATGTTATGGATAGCATATTATTAAAAGTCCCCTACACAGAGAAGACTATCACGAATCATACATTTGTTTTTTAATTGAAATTTTCTTGTGTTGAAATCAATGAAAAAAGAGTCATACACTTCGTCACCGTAAAACATACCGATTCGACCAAATTGAAGTGTCCATACGTATAATGATTACAACTGTCAAAAATGTATAACTTTCTTCATTTTTGTCCGATTTAATTCGAGCTTTGCGTCTGCTTCTTTGATTTTCTGCTTTCTTTTAGAGTAGATGTCTTTTTAGGTTGGATTTACTTTTAACGAGACTAAACACCAACATAGAGCAATTTCTCATTTGCCTCATTGCGTCAGAGAATGGCATGCACAGCTCTGATTCAGGTTCTTGATTTGATAGCTGATCCTTTGGCACGCCAGTGGCTTATAACAAAATTAACGAATAGGAGGAGAAGAACCAAGTGGGCGGGTGGGGAGTCCCTGGCTTCTGTTACTACGCCAACTTTATTCTTTGTATAGTACTGGCGCTAGTTACATTTGGTGATATATTTTCATTTGAATTTTTTTGTTGTTGTTGTTTTTATTTCCGTATGATAAAAATCAGATACAAATACATATAAAAGAATCATACAAAGAAAAAGGGACCGTATACGGCTGGTAGCCCATATTCAGCTGCAACTATAATTGTTGCTGCTGGTCTTCCATGGGGCCAGTTTACAATATACAAAATACAAAATATACATAATATTACAAATTAACAAAATAAATAAGTATCAGTCGAAAACATAACACAAATACTTAAAGGGAACAAAAAACAAAAAACAACAAACAAATTTGAATTTAATTGATTATTTAATGAGTTTCGTGTGAAAATCTTTCAATAGTCATCACTATTATCAATATCACTCATTTATTTCATTATCATATCATGCTCATGATGATAATCATTACATAATTTTGCTATTATTAATAAATATGTAGTCACAGGCATCATCGTCATCGTCTCCAGCACCAACATTGCAATCATCAGTAACATCGTCATCACTATTATTTAGCATCACAATCTTCTTCATCATCACTATCAGATGAATGATTATCACCAACATCACCACCGCCATAATCGCCATCATGCTCATCATCTTCATCATCACCATCATCACCATCGTCATCATCAATGCCATTACTCACCATAATCTTCATCTTCACCACCTCGCCACTACCATCACCATCACCACGACCACCGTCATCACCATCATCATCATCATCATCATCACTATCATCAATACCATCCGTCACCATTATCTTCATCATCACTACTATCACCATCTCGCCACCACCATCACTATCGCCACAATCATCTTCACCACCACCACCACCATCATTATCATCATCATCATCATCATCATACTTGTTTTCATCACTATGATATGTTCAATACCTCTATTTCCCATAGCGTTTCGTTGCCACCTTGGTAGATCACTTCCTGTGCCCATAGCGAGTGGTCAATCCAGTCTTATCAACTCATTCACAGTCGTCTCGAATTGAAGATGGGACATTTTTAGATTTGTTCTGTCTAAGTTATCTTGAAATGCCTTGAGCGTAAGATGATATTGGTCTATCCTGAACAAGTGGATGTGAGAGTAATTTACAGCAGTTTTACATATCGTTTTAAAACCTTCTCAGAAGTCAGTCATCCAAGCAACAATACATGGGGGCTTTTAGATTGTTCTACCCTGTCAATAAGTGTATCTTTTATTTTAATATCCAATTAAAATACGAAACCATACAGGTTCAAGCTGATATCTTTCAAAGTTTAAAACCATACAGGTTCAAGCTGATATCTTTCAAAGTTTAAAACCATACAGGTTCAAGCTGATATCTTTCAGTTTGAGTGACTGTCAAATCACATTTGTTTTCCAAAAAAGGTTTGTCCATCAGCGGCATACATCGGACCTGTACTCAAAAACATCAGCGGCATACATCGGACCTGTACTCAAAAACATCAGCGGCATACATCGGACATGTACTCAAAAACATCAGCGGCATACATCGGACCTGTACTCAAAAACCGTTCAGCGGCATACATCGGACCTGTACTCAAAAACATCAGCGGCATACATCGGACATGTACTCAAAAACATCAGCGGCATACATCGGACCTGTACTCAAAAACATCAGCGGCATACATCGGACCTGTACTCAAAAACATCAGCGGCATACATCGGACCTGTACTCAAAAACATCAGCGGCATACATCGGACCTGTACTCAAAAACATCAGCGGCATACATCGGACCTGTACTCAAAAACTAAAGAGCTTACTTTGCTTACCTTGTAAATAAGCAGTAATCATCATTCGATGGTATTTTTATAGCTGTTCTCGACTTCTGTGTTAACCTTGGGAGTATGGTTGTGCTGTTTTTGCAAACGAACTTGTTGTATTGTCTATCTCTTATTTATTCTCAATCCCTCACCCCACTCCAATAAGTGACGTGCATGCCAGTGTAATAAATAAGGTATCAATATGCTCATGCGACCGTAATTAAATGCCTAAAACCTCTGAGCTTCCGGGGGCTCTGCCACTTGCATGGACCCTACAAGGGGGCCCTAAGGCGGGTTGGATGCTCATCTGACCGATACTAAATGCCTAAAAACCCTGAGCTTTATGGGGCTACGCCTCTTGACCCCCGCCGGGTCGTTGCCCCTGGACCCTACACCAATTTACGTTTCACTTAAAAAGGTTCCGCGGGGCCTGCATGTGTGCATTTGTATGTTAAGTGTATGCATTTATATCTACAATGTTTATGCAATACTACTATTAAAGATGATTATGCAATATTTCCGTTATGTGGTGATGTGCATTTATAACGTCTACATCAGTCAGACATAACTTCGAAAAACCGAGTACAGGAAAATACTCAACAGGGAGTAACACTTATTGAATATAGAGTCCTCTACGTTCAATGCGAGGCAGTATGTACAGTAGGTTGACTGGAAGATTTTCCCTATGCCACACAGCTAGGGCACTACTGTACTGTGCATTATTCTGTTTTTAGAGTACAAGCCATGTATACATGGTAGCCCGTGGGCCAGAGGGGGCTAACGTGCATCCCCCCCCCCCCCCCACCTATGATCCTACTTCTTGGGTGTCATTTTGTTCATTGGGATCCATTTTATTAGAAAAAAGATGTTCCCAAGAAAAAAACTCTTTTGGACAATGTTTTTTTGCCCCTTACTTAAAGATATGTAAAAATATCAGTTTTTCGTATTTTGCACACTTTCTTGGGGTTTGTGAATTATTTGCTTACATTTTACCCTGTTTCTCAGCAGATATAAATCTAATCTCCACCAAATTCATAAACAATCTTTGTAAATGATACAACAATAGGTATACAAAATCATTGTAATGTATTCTATTGTCTTCTATAATTAATGACGTCATAGATTTGCATATATTTTAATATGCAAATTTCTGTTTAAAAAACCTGTCAAAATCACCTGAAAGTTGTATTTTGTCTGCTATTATCATGAAATAAGTTTTTTAACTCCCGAATTTCGTGTTAAATTATTCATTGATATGTTATCTGATGTTTCCCGCAAAAAAATTCAGTCAACTCATTTAAACATTGTTTTTTTTCCCCTTATTTTGTATGTAAACATATGAGTTTTTCGTGTATTGTACACTTTCTTAGGGTTTTGTGAATTATGTGCTCATATTTTACCCTGTTTCTGAGCAGATATAAATCTAATCACCACCAAATTGATAAAAAAATCTTTGTAAATCATACAACATGTACAACTTATTTCATGATCATAGCAGACAAAATACAACTTACAGGTGATTTTGACAGGTTTTTTGAACAGAAATTTGCATATTAAAATATATGCAAATTTATGATATATTTTTGTATACCTATCGTTGTTTGATTTACAAAGATTTTTTATTAATTTGATTACAAAAATGTTTACATATCTTCAAATAAGGGGCCAAAAAACATTGTCCAAATGGATTTTTTTTCTATGGAACATCTTTTTTCTGATAAAATGGATTCCAATGAACAAAATGACACCCAAGAAGTAGGATCATAGGGGGGGGGGTGCACGGTAGCCCCCTCTGGCCCACGGACTATGGGGTCCGCTTGCGATTCATGATTTGAGAAAAGGGTCATCATTCATAAGGGTCAATATTCATAATTAAGGGCCGCTATTCATAATTGTAGAAGAGGGTTGATCGCTATTTGTAATAAGAAGAGGGGCGTGCTCTTCATAATACGAAATTGGGTCGCTATTCATAATACGAAATCGGGGTCCCTATTCGTAAAATACATGCTTTCAGTATTATGAATAGCGACCCTCATTTCTAGTTATGAATAGTGGTCCTTATGAGTAGTGACCCCAATATAAATTCTGAATAGCAGCCCTCGTCACGTTTATGAATAGCGACCCGATTTCGTATCATGAATAGCGACCAAATTTCGTATCATGAATAGCGGTCCTTATGAGTAATGACCCTCGATCATCTCCAATTATGAATAGCGGACCTTATGCCTTTATGAATAGTGACCCCCTTTCCATTTTATGAATAGCGGTCCTTCACGTATAGGAAGTTACACGTTATGAATAGCGGTGCTTATGACTAGCGAGGTTACCCCATATTTATACCTGTACTCGGTTGCGTGTAGCGCATGACTGGTAACTTAAAATGGGGGCAAATATCCCTTTACGGGATACAACCACAGGTTTTTTCACATCAATTAATATCCCTCCAAAAAAGGGCTCTTTTATTGACTGAAAATGTTGCCTATCCTGAGAGAAAAGTGACATATTCTGATGGTTTATTCTCTGCCTTATGCGCCCATTGGACCAAAATTTTCCAATTATTAATATGTAAGGTGGTCCTTATTTCAATTCTTCTGGAAATAGAACTGAAGTGTCTGCTTCGCTCTTTTAAAAAGTTGCAGTTCAGAAAAATGCTAAAATAACTGTTCATAACAATTGCAGATTCATTTAAAGTACAAAATATGTCCTTTTTTCACCCTTACCATTCTCCATTCATTTAATTTTTTGCTGCAAATAACTTGCCCTTATTATTGGTGATATTAACGTTTTCAACCGTGTTCACCGTTCCACTCTAATCTGACATAGATTTCATGCCATTTTCCAAACAATGTTGCTTCGTGAAGCGTGTAGTCATTGAAGTCATTAATATACATTTGAAAGCATATTACTTCTAATTCAGGGGAAAAGAAACCAATCATATTTACACAGCTTATAGTTTGTTTACAATAATAGGTTTGTTTTCATGTTTTGTCTTTTTCTGCGATGCACTGTATATATAAATGTGCATGTGTATATACACGTTTTTAACTTTATTTACTTATACTAAATTACTGTCTGATCAGCCAGCCTTCAGACCACAATATGATTTGCCTCAAGCCCAACGTTCAGTGGACCGCAGCAATAACTCCTCAAACTTGGATGTTCAGGAGAAGCATTCAGAGTCTAATTTCCACAATATCATTCACTTACTTCTTCACACACACAGCAATATTTCATTTCAGTTTTCTCTAGAGTTGATTTTGGTAGCTTTAAAACTAAAAATAAAAGCAATAATTCTGATTTAACCCTTACTGTACTGGGCTATTTTGAGCACCCTCTGACTGGGGGGGGGGGGGGGGGCCTCGGAGGCCCCCCCCCCCCCTATGATCTCGGCCGTCGAATGTCCGATCAACGCGAAAATTTGCATATTTGTAGATATTTACGTAAGGAACAAGATGGTATAATTAGATTTTTCCTATTATGCAAATTTTTGTCGTTATAGCCTAATTAATTATGCAAAATGCTAATTTTATGCATTTCACAGAAAACTCTACATATTTGTCCGTAGACTTGTGAAGAATCTTGAAAATGTATTGAATAAATGTTTCCTTCATCTCAAATTGATGAGGTTTCATTATTTTTATGATATTTGAAAATGCATAGGTTAATTTGCATAAATTATGAATATGCAAATTACGCATTCATGAATATCAAATCTGGAACTATATTTAGGGAACTAGAATCATTACAAAAATTGTCAGACTCCACTTTTTGAATGTTGAAACTCATTATTCATACAAAACTTCTTTTCTAATACAAAATAGTTATTTGATGTAATTAATAATGATAATTTATGCAAATTTGATGCGATTTTCAAATATTTATTTTCTTATGTATTTTATTGTTTTTTATTTCTTATTATATCTATTGTTTTATTTCTTATGTATTCTTTTGTTCTGGAATACATCAAGTTACTCTGAGAAACATATAAAAGTAATTTGATATGAATTCATATCTTCACATTTCTGCTTGTACATAAATATATGCAATTATAGCACTTTTTTGATGACATGCGCATACTCATTGTTATGTAACACCTTACAGGTATATCCGATTTTGACGAAAATGGTATCAAAATGTGCGCAAGACTTGAGGGAAAAAAGTCATGAAACGACAATTCAAAATTCCAAGCGGTTGCGGCGCGATCCCCGAAAATGTTGAGGGGGGGCCTCCCAGGCCCCCCCCCCCCCAGTACAGTAAGGGTTAATATCAGAATTATCAAGTTATTTAGATGACTTCAAGAAATGTATTACAGAATTGCACCACACAGCCAAAAACAAGACACATTCTACACAATAACAATAAAAAAAAATGCAAAGAAGTCCTTTGTACATGAGTTTAACATTCATTCATACATTTATTCCATGATATATAATATCTGTTACATACACTAACCAACCATAAACAATTTCTTGTCAATGTGGGATACATACCTTTAAGGATATATTAACTATTTTCTAAATAAACCCAAAACAAAGAATAACATTTTTCTTATCAGAATTTTAAAGAATAAATGTTTGAATTTTCAACTAATCACTTTAATAGTACAAGTAAACAGAATAACACAAAATGGCTTTTCTTTACACATTTGCACATGCTTTATTCCAAACTAAGTAATGGAATGATTAATACCTGCACATTAAGTGCAATGAACACTTTGTACATTTATGGATTAAAATGGTGACAAGATCATAGTTATTAGGTGCTACATGTAATAAATTACAATACATCATCTTACACATTTTGTCAAATAATATGGCATGTTAAACTTACAAATCCATCTATTTCTAAGAGATTCTATTATCACACATGTTTTTCTCAGAGAAATACATGAACATAAAAATGGACAAAAGAGTGCAGTCAACACAGTACTGATTGTCCCGTTGTCTATCAAACAACATCATTTACTTCATGTATAATGCTTAAATGGATTTTTTTTCACCAGACACACAATGTACCTTCTTATACTATACATTGCAATAACACTTGTTACTACACAAAAGGAGACAACTTCATCGACCCAAAATAACTACTCATAATAAGACATGTACAATAAGATTTTTGAACCCATATTGCTGCATGTTCTCACAATACATGTACCGGTACGCCAGGCATACTACATTATCTACTCTAGTACATATTACATGTCCAGTCAAGCCCGGTCCAGGAATCGCCTGATTTCAGTAGAAGCAGAACAATCAGAAGGATAGATTTTTTCTTAAGTTTGAGAGAAATCGGACAACTGAACGAAAAGCCATGGAAAGATATAAAAATCACTAGACAAATTGGCCATGTGATAACATCATTCCCTCATAACTACCGATAACCAAATCATTTTCTTGTATTGATAATAAAAATTCTTGTTGTTTTTTGGCCAACTTCATCAACCCAAACCCCATAACTATGTTTGTAGTGTGGTAATATGTTCTTGGCTGGTTTTCTGCTTCTATTGAAAGCAAGTTATTCTTGGACTGGGATTTCACTTCACCTTCTCCTTGCTGTGTTGATCTGCCTTTAGTTTTCATTTCCATGCTTGCAATATACAGCAGTTCCCATCGTCTCCATTTGCATAAGCTCTCACCAAATTATCAAACCTTACTTACAATATGTTCAATCCTTGATATTGGGTTCTGTTTGAATGTACATGTATTTATAAGATTTTCACAAGAACATATTTATACCTTTGGCTTCTTAGAATGCAATAATACCTAGCTAGGTGTAACATGAATTCATCTTGAACTAGAATACATGATACACAAATCATTTTAGAATTTATGTTTATATACACATGTGTCAATTCTTGCTAAAATTGAAATAAAATTTCATGAAAGGAAGAGATGTCTCAAAGAATTCAACATAATTTGGCAGTGGCATTTGCCATTAAGTGCAGATGATCATGCAATGGAGAAGAATTGTATGCTCCTTTTTTCATTTTAGGTTCAATTAAAAGGTTTTGTCAATGCAATCAAGTTCAAACTACATGTATTTACACAATGAAGTTTCTTACTGCATATATAAACATGTATAAATGTGCACTTATATTTCCCGAATTTAAATAAATCTTATTCACAAACCCTTAACCTTGAGTGTTACCAAAGAATAGTCCATAATCAGAGATCCTTTAATATATCACATGTATGAAGTATTTAGTTTCATTTTTTTTTCATGTCTTGCGAGAACCAAGCTTAATGCTATAAAGAGGGTAAATTTTGAAAGAGAAATTTGAAAAGAAATTAGAAATAAAAAATAAAACAAAAAGTAATAAGAACAGTATATACATGTATTTTGATTGAAAAGGTGCTTTTCTACCAGATATCTATTCACTTCATCTTGATAGAGAGACAAATAACATTATTTTACTGTCTTGCTAAAGGATGTTAATGAAGAAAAAGGGAAAAAAGAAAAAGAATATCTAGTTCAAAATGATGGTTGTCACCTAATATGTGAAATATAGAGAGCTAGCCTGGCTTGTAAATATAATTTGTATTACATGAACTGAAAAAATGTGTAACACAATTTTTGTTTAATGCTTAAAAATGTTTTCAGAACTTGCATTCAAGTAAATTAACATTACTGCCATTATCTAAAATGTAGCTGATGAAGACTTATAGAAGTACAAAACGCATTCGAATTACATATTCAAGTTTTCTAGCAATCCAATTTACATAGATCAATGTAGATACATGTACCAGTATTGGAAATATATATTCTATGACAAGTAATTCACTGTAAACATGAAACAAACTAAACATCAACAAATAAGAAGATTTCCATATAAAACAATTTTCACAATTTTAAAATATTAACTATACTATGTGTATACTGATATGAAAGCATTGTTTGCACATTAACCCTCAATCATGGAAGATGGACATTAGTGTCTTCTAAAGGAAATTTCCTTGAAGAATTACCTGTATGATAATCATCTACACTGTCAATAGGGAAATCATTTACACTGTACTAACCATAGACATCAATATTGCTGGAAAAAACAGAGGCTTATGTAAGTAAGGATCAAGATTATTCTTTTAAATTTTTGTACAATATTTCTCTCAATAATTGACATTGGAACAAAGAGAAGTACTGCAAACTACTACTACTGCTACCATAAAGAATCCACCCCAATATACCAAAGAACCCATGAGATTATTCTATCCTGTTGTAGTGACATTTGAATACCAATTCACTTTCTTAGTAATGAGCTTTTGTTTTGTCCTTTGAATATTTTTAAGCTGCCCCAAGTAAATGAGGTACCTGCACATGATTGGACTCTATACACAACATTAAAGGAGATATAAAAGGTTCCCAATCATATCTAATGATTCAAATAATTGTTGTTATATATTTTGCGAGGATCTGGTCTACTTTGTTGACAACACCAAAGCCACGATGAGACCATATAGACCTAGAACTTCTGCAAAGATAAGGATGATAATCATTCCTACAAAAAGCCTTGGTTGTTGTGCTGTACCTCTCACACCAGCATCACCTACTATTCCGATTGCAAAGCCAGCAGCCAGTCCACTCAAACCAACACTCAGGCCAGCACCCAGGTGCATGAAACTCCTGTAACAAGAACAATAGGACAAAGGTTTCATAGCAAGCAATCCTCTTAAACAACCCCCTCAACAAGTAAAATCATTGTCATTTTATTATGCCAAATATTTTAAAATTGAACATATAAGCTTTATATGAAACCCTTTCAAATAAACCTTCAAAAAATGGAAGACCTGATGACATAGTGACAGAATACAAACACAGAACAATGTTAATAGCAAGAGGAGCAATTGAAAAACATGAAAACCTTCCCTTCTTACATCAATCTTTGTCCTTCATTTGAACTGGTCGGTGTATAAAAATGTATTGAAACCATAAAATGTACCGCCTGAAACAGCTCAACATCATACAAAAGAGTAATGAACATGTTAACAGGATCATCAACATGACATATTATTTAGCTTTAACAATACACTTTGGGTTACAAAATTCCATAAAAATTTTCTGTTCAGGGATACTTCTTGCACAACGAAGTTGAAAATTTGGTTGTCAAGTTTTGGGAGACCAATTTAGTTCCTTGCTACAAGGAAAAGTGACAATTGATTTCAAATTCTTTCTCCTTGCAATTTTTCAGGCTTATACAGACCCATTAAGCTATGTATACCATAGGTAAATTTCTTTTCATCCACTTTCTAAAATATCAAATACATGAATTAAAAATGGGGCACAATAAAAAAAACAAAATAAAATTGGTACAATAAACTAGGAATTGACATTTACTCATGTTAAATGTCTCTTTCATGGACAACGATTGTTTCTACATACTTGTATAGTGTGTAAGCAGATGGATCTGAAGGGATTCCATTGGCAATGACAGCAGCGACGACGAGACCATAGATACCAACAATACCAGCCATGACCACAGGGATGATGGATTTCATGATCAGCTCAGGCCTCATCACACTCATTGCAGCCACTCCTGTACCACTCTTTGCAGTCCCATAAGCTGCTCCTAGGGCTGCATTACAAATACAAAGAACAAATACAAAAGGATGATAAATTACATGTAAGCCATATTTAGTGATAACAAGCATAACAATGACAATAATTGAAAGAAACAGTAGAAGGAATAGACCTATGATTGTGCCAACGATACAAGAGCATTATCGTAGATACATGTATATGAAGATGAACATTGTCATCATAATATTCAACATCCTCATCATGATCATTTCATCAAAGAGAGGTATCCCGTTTTGACCAATCGGATCAGGGCCGATCAGGTGGAATCAGATAATAAATTCTGATTGCCGATCAATGAAAATGATCGGAAAATAATCCATAGTAGAAGGGGAAAAAATGCAGAAAACTTTCAAGTTTGGGGCTATCAAATACTTTTAAAAAATGAATAGCTGGGATTATTTTGTCATTTGGAACTTGTTTTAGTCCATGTTTGTTGATATTAAGTGTCTTTGCATGACTTTGAAATTAATAATATTAGTCTAAGAGAAGAGGTAAAACATGCGAGCTGCCATTTTGGATTATTATGTAGGCAGTAAGGCACATGATTTTTTTTTTCAATGGCAAAGGGGAAAGAAAAAAACTTGTGAGGGCATTATTATGGCTGATCATTATTCAAAGATAGATGACAAACAGTAGTATCTACAGGTACATGTACATGCACCAGGAAATCTGAGTGATTCCCAAAGTACATAAATTTGTCACAACTTCCTTTTCTATAAGATAGTAATATCCTGTTCAAAACTTCACAATCCATGGTTGGTTTTCTGTCACAATTACCAATCTACTGACATGTATACACACACAATTCCAACCAAGTGCATGAGGGCCATTCCATGGTAACTCGCGTTACACTTAATGGGTACATTGACACGATAATGTGCCTATATCTTTAGAACTGCTAGGATCTACAAGATACTTTTTTCAAACATGGACAGGGTAGATATAGAACAACTGAATGAAACAAAAAAGAAAATTGAAGAACAAACATTTTTAGATTCTTGGAATATTGAATTTTGGTAACTCGCGTTACAAAAAAAGGACATGGTCAATTCTATGAGACCCTCTTTTGGCAAAGTCTCCTCATACTAGACAATCTTAACAAAATCTTTCCTACGTTGATAGTAGGTTGAGACTTACTACAGTAGTATAAGATCACAATATTAAAGATAAGAAACAATGGACTAGTAAAATGCAGGAAGCAAATATGTCGGTAACTCACGTTACGTTTTGTCCGGAGGCCATTTTCACCCCTATGTAATAGATTAAATATCCCAGGACCCCTTAGAAAAGGCTTAGAATATGGAAATATATTCATCTTTTTCAATTTAGCGAAATTTTCAGGAAAAAATATTACAAGAATCCTGTGTAATCTGCAATAAATTGGTTTTTTTTTCATCTACAGTCCCACATGTACGTTTTTGATGATGGTTTGAGATCTTAGGAAATCAACAAAAATGAAAAATAAATTGTATTGAATTTGAAAGGCCCTAATGTTTTATGAACATCCATGGCATAAGGTTAGTGATAAATCAAAGAATTAACATAAGAGGTACATTTCTTTTTTTGATGTCATGTCCTTCTTCTCATGGAATGGCCCATGACATCTGAGTAAAAAAAAAAAGACACCTACATGTACATGTACAATTTTAAAGCTGTTAGGTAAAAATTAAAAAATCAAACAAACAAATGTGTATTTTTTTTTTTGAAACAGTAATGCTTTTAAAAAAAGAAAAATGTGTGTACATGTAGATGGTAGAATGGTGTTTGTGACATTAGAAAATAATATTTTAAAGATCATAAAAGCAGTTTATCCTTTACTTTAGCAACATTTAGAAACTGGATGATTTCAGGCAGCAGAGTACTTGATACCGCCCAATTTGGGCAAAACGGTGTCCAAATATTTTTCTAGATACAAGTTGTATGATCTTGACTAAATAGAATTTTTTTTTTTACCATGCTAACTTTCTTCACTAGCAACATTTAGAACCAGGATAATTTTGGGCGATGAGATGCCCTAATAATATCCTCACAGGGTTTATTCAACTTGAGATGACCCAATATTTTTGTTTGCATTCATGTTTATTTAGCAGTGAGGTTTCATTTATTATTTGGCAAAATAGACTCTACACACAAATTGCATACATGTGACGAAATGAAGCATGCTCGGTCTGAAAGTATTAAAGCGCCCATTATATTTTTTGGTGTGTTGATTACGTAATAATTTTTCCACCCACATTAAATAAGTTATTAAAAGTTACATGTAGATTAGGTCGAAAGCTTCAGTCTCCGATAATGTAAGGTTTTTCTGAAGAGAATACATTCGTCTCCACTGACCGCCTCTAAATATTAAATAATGGACCATACCAGACGTTTAATTCAGTCTACATGTACATGTATGTAGAATAGCGTAACTTAAGAGTTCTACACTACCATGAAAATTACACTGTTGGGCCGTCCTAGCACACAAAAATCAAACAAATCAGCTGGCAACCCACAACGATTTGCTTAGCCATGGTTCCGATTGCAATGATGTCATGCCTTGTTCAGCGCTGCGTGTGAGCTGTGCTGGGGCAGATGAAGATTTACTATCAGTATGACATGGTTATATTATTGGATCATTATCAAGTTCTCTCTACCCAATTCACTGAAAGCCCGTCCTAAAATGCAGCTCGAAAATGATATAGCTTTCGGCCGTCTGGTTGCTTACTAATTTATGCTTTCTTAGCAGTCAGGTAAAATAATCACCACCACCACCTCATTTCCTACATGTAGATACCAAGATCGTTTGAGGCTTTGAGCATCTACATTTTTACAAAAGCCTATCATTTCTCTAGAAAATGTTCACCTTATAATTCAAGTTTTAGCAGCCGTTGCATATAAAAAATGTTTTCTAAACAGTAAATTTGGCTGATTTTGTATGATTTGTGAAATATTCATAGGATTCTTGACATAATCTATTGGTTGATGTGCATGGGTGAGTGTGTGCAAGGTATGTGCGAGAAGAGATTTATGCAAGTATGCAATTAGCTGTAGCTTAGCCCACAGCTGCCTCATGAATTATGCATATATGGATTTTGTGCATGCTGTGTAGATGCTAGGGGCATCGATGCAGAACTGTTAAACTCTGTACACAGGGCATGGGAAGCAAACCATTGAGCCACCTCACTATGCTGAGGAATCGGGCCAGAAACCTGTACACCGGGCTCAACACTAAAGGTGCCCAGGACTAATATAGGCACCCAAAATCTAAGTCTGGACCCCAAATTTTGCACAAACCGACTGTGAAGACTCAAATGCGGATCCCCTATAAAATATTTAGTGTGGAGCCCTGCACATGTCACAACGGTTTGCTTCCCAGGGCCAGGCCCTGCATGTGTACAGAGTTTTACATCTTCACATTGATGCCACTACCAGCTACAGTGTACCCTCACACATGCACATCAACAGATACATAAACATGTCAAGAATCTATACAAATATTTTACAATATTTCACAAATTATACAAAATCAGTCAAATTTACTATTTTAGAATACATGCTACAGCTGCTAAAACTCGAACTAAAGGGGCAAAATTCTCCGGAGAAATGATGGGCTTTCATAAAGGTAAAGAACGATGTTGGTTTCAACGTACGAGTCATTTCTGAACTGCATGGCACTTACTCTAGGATAATATACATATGATTTAGCGCATGCACATTACATTCATCCGGTCTTACTTTCAGCCTCATTTTCATACACTGGCGCTTACCAGAGCCCTTATCATTGGCTATCGTTGACTGCCATTTGCTCAACAATATAACATATTATTAGTGCGAGGAGAAAAATTGCGATTTTCTGTTTGAACCAATACCAAACTCACGATATTCAAGTCAAATCTTCTTTATTGTATGATTTATTCAGCATCCTTAAAAAGTAAGTTATTTTACGTAATTTTAAGCCTTTCAGAAGTTTTTAAATTCTCAATTTCATCATATTTTAGGTACAAACTTGCGAGTTGTACTAAAATGTTCGTTGATTTTCTATTGTACGTGTGTACTTTTGCTTTAGTGCGAGTAAGTTATATGTGAAGTGCATCACTTGTATAATGCATGACATGTCAGTGTGTTTGGTACGGTTTTGTAATGGCATTGCCATTGCGCTCTCTGCTGAAGTGGGCCCTCTGTTCCTTAGATGGGTTGTGGGCGAGGGGGTGCAGGCCTGCATGAAGTTATCTCATTACGGTAGATATTAAACTTAAGCAGGCGTGAGCCGCCCGTTTACCGTGAAAGTGAAACCTGTGAGAAAGTGTATAGATCTAGGCCTAGTCTAGACTACTAATATCAATGTTTGTTTTTTCTGCAAAATACTCAAAAAAAAGAAAGAAAATGGACACAAAACAGACACTGTACTTAACGACTTATCAATATCAATCATGACTATCATTTGAGCATTTGATGAATATTTACTTGATTTGGCGTATGTTTTAGTAGATCTAGGGTCTCCAGGCCGGGGTTACGGGTCAAAGTCTTGAAATTATTCTGAACTAGCGTCCCCTTACTTTGGTCTAGAACTCAACTAGGCCTAGATCTAGATCTTGACAGGCATGACACTTGACAAGGTTGACAATTTCTACTTTTTTTTTGCTTGCTCGCTCAGCTTCACACACTCGCAAAATATAGGAGCTAGATTGCTAGAATAAGAAACAAATGTGTCATTATGGGTTTACAATGGCACTTCGCGAGTGCCAGAAACGAGGTGATGCAAAAATAAATCTTCTTCAATGAATTTGGGACTGGGCTGACGTGAAAATATTCATTTCTTAAAACTGGTGCCGTGACTAAAAAATGGCTGAAAGCGCTGCCTCTACTTTAGTAGTCTAGGCCTACTGTACGTGTACTGCGGTGACATGCAACTTACCACTGAATACCATCGCCGATGTAGCTCCCATTACACCAAAAAAGGGCGTGTAAGCTGGATTTTCTGCCATATTTAAATAGAAATATTTCTCGAATATAAATGAATATCTAGAGGTCTACTTCACAAGTCTTGTATCGGTCTAAATAGGAGCGCTAAGTGTCTTTTCTTAGGTTTTACACTGCTGTTTGTCTGCTCGGCTGAATGACAATATGGCTAGCTGGCTGCGTTAAATCACTTGTTCACGATGTAATCATGTGATATGCCTACCGTGTAAAGGTCACAAGCTCTGATTGGATAACAAGAAGCGGAATCGGGAATGGTTCTAAAAAATTGTCCAATTGAAATGTCAGATAAAAAGGGGTAATCGTAATATGCAGACTTGCGCACATCGACGATGGACATCGACTAGAATCGGAAGGGTTCGGACTGGGCCGATGATAGAGTGCAAGCACGGACTCCAATGTGACACTTTACCATAAACTAAACCAAAGCCTAGATCCCGGCCCCCCCACTCAGGTTTCAAAATGACCGCATGCGTGTTGCCAAAATGTCCTTTTCGTAACAAAAGAAAAAGGTCGAGCCGTATTGACTTTACACACCGGACTTTTGCTGAAGGGGGGGGGGGGGGGGGGGGGGGGGGGGGGGTGCGGAAAAAGGCTCGTATACAAAAGAAAAAGGTCGAGCCGTATTGACTTTACATACCGGACTTTTGCTGAAAAGGGGGGGTCGGTTGGAACACGCATATGCGTACCCTAAATAACACTGAGTGGGGGGGGGCGGGGCCTAGATCCTCTTATTTTGATAGTAGAGAGAACAGAGCCTATTGTAGACTCATAGTGCAGACACTTTACGCACGGCGACTGACACAGTGCCCCCCCCCCCCCCCACTTTGTCAGGTACCCCAAAGTGCCCCTTTTCCTCTGTAAACTAGAACTGCAGCCCTATAATTGTGATACCCCCCCCCCACACACACACACACACACACACTTTTTTGTCATAAGATTCCCTTCACTTTTTCATAAATGACTCTTTTCACCTCTGGTAAATGCCCCTATTAAGATCTAATAAGTTCCATTTTCCTTCGACAACTCGGCTCCTTTTCCTTTGCAATATGTGCCCCTTTTTCTCATAAATGCCCTTTTTCATCTGTGATAAGTGCCCCTTGTACGAGAAGAATCCCTTAACACCTCCTCAGTGATAAGTGCCCCCTTTACCTCTGATAATTACCCCTATTTAAATCTGACAGGTAAACGATTTAACAAGCCGTGCTCTTTTTCCTTTGTAATAATTGCCCCATTCCCCTTCTAATAAGAGCTCTCTTTCTTCTTTGGTGAGTTCCCCTGTTTACCTCTGGTAAGTGCCCCTTTTCCTTCTCATAAGTACCTCTTTTCCTTCTCATAAATGCCCCCTTTTCACCTTCAATAACTGCCAGTGCCACGTACTACCAAAATCTGACAGGTGCCTCTTTTCTTATATAATAAACGCCCTTTTCCATTCTCATAAGTGCCCTTGTTCACTTCTGATGAGTGCCTCTTTTTAAGTGCGAGATTTTCCCCTTTTCACCTCTTATTTGTTGCACTTTGACTTGTGTCCATTATCCTTTGTAATAAGTACACTTTTTTTCTTCTGATAAGTGCCCTTTTTCCTTCGTTATAAGAACCCCGTCCTTTTCTCTGAAATGCCACTTTTTTGTTGTTTACCTTTGATAAGTGCCCCTTTTATTTTGACAAGTGTCCCTTTTCCTTTCTAATAACCAGTGGCGTACCTGGGGTACTCCGTCAGGGGGGGCAAGCGACCGAAACAAACAAAAAAGGCGATGCTAATTTTCACTTCTGGCGAGCGAGCGAGCGAGCAAAAAAAAAATCTTTAAGTAACGTTTGGTATATAAACTGGTATTGTTGCAAGTTGGGGGTGGGAACATTCACTTGTTAGCGACGTTAATTTCATTTTTTTGCAAACTAGTGTAGCGAGCAAAAAAAAAAATCACTTCTTTTTTAATAATTGCCACTTAAACTTGGTTCAATTGTCCCATGCAGGGCGCGGGAACAATATTGTGTTTAGGGTGATTTTATACCCATTTTAGCTAGCGAGCGAAAATACATCTTTCTCTCAATGAATTGCTATATAAAATTTGTTTCATTGTTGCAGGTAGGGGGCGGGCACAATCGTGTTTAAGGCAATGTCAATCCCATTTTGGCGGGCAGGCAACCCCTACATTTCTCTTTTTAATGATATTGTAGCAGGTTAGTGGTGGGCACATAATTCCACGAGCTAGCGAGCGTAGCGAGCGAAAAAAAATCACTTTTCTTTTATAGGGAAAATATGGTACATAAAACTTGGGTTCATTATTCCATGTCAGGGACGTGATTATTAAAAGCGGTGTTAATAGCGAGCGTAGCGAGCGAGCAAAAAAAAATCACTTCTCTTTATAGGGAAAATATGGTATATAAACTTGGTTTAATTGTTCCATGTCAGGGACGTGATTATTAAAAGCGGTGTTATTTCTATTTTGGCGAGCGAGCGTAGCGAGCGAGCAAAATTTTTGTAATGATAATTGGTTCATAAATTTCAGATTTTTTTGTTGCAGGGCAGGGCTTACACAATCATGTCTAAGGTGATGTTAATTCCGTTTTGGCGAGCACGAGCACACCAAAACTTCTTTGAATAACGTTTCGTACATAATTATTAACTGGTTGTTGCAGGTTGGGGCGGGCACGTTAGCGGTGTCAATTCCATTTTGGCGAGCGAGCATAGCGAGCAAGCAAAAAAATAAATTCTCTTTTAATAGAAATTAATAAATAAACTTGTTTTTATTGGTGCAGGTCAGGATGGACGCAATCGCGTTTAACGCGATTCAATTCCTTTTTGGCGAGAGGGCGAAAAAACTCTTCCATTTTTAATGATATTGTTGCAGGTCAAGGATGGGCACAATTGTTTCCAAAGCAATGTCTATTCATTTTATTCGCGAGCGAGTGTAGCGAGCGAGAAAAATGAATTAGTCTCTTTTAGTAACATTTGGTACATATATTGTGTGTTATTGTTGCCATGGTTGCAGGTCGGGGCCCGTCGGGGCAGGCACAATTGTATTCTAGGCAATACTAATCCTTTTCTTTTTTCAGGGGGACGAGGAAGTGAAAACATTTAATACAAAATAGGCTAGCAAGCAGTTCGCGCCAGCGAAGAGTCTCAAATTTGTTATATCACTTATATTTTCCTATTTTCATTTGTTTTAATTTTTCAGGGCCGTATGCGGAATATTTTTCTGATGGGGGAAGGGGGAAAGATGCGTTAAAAGTTTTCGAAGAATCTCAAAAGCAAAAGGAGTGAAGGGAGTTCGAGCGACCGAACTGGTCATGAGGGTACTTTTGCATTTTCAAAAGTAGAATTGAAGGATTTGGTATAGGCCTACACTACATTTTCAGGAAAAAAACTGTACGATTTCAAAATATCTGGGGTCAACTGCCCCCCCCCCTGGTGCTTACGGCCATGTTCTTTATTTTTTTTCTCCCATTTTTATTCCTTTCCTTTTCTTTTCCCTTTTTCTTCCTTTTCTCTTCTTCTTCCTTTTTTCTTTCCTTTTTTTCCTTTTTTCTCTTTCTTTCCTTTTTTCTTTCCTTTTCCTTTTTTCTTTTTCTTTCCTTTCCCTTTCTTTTCTTTTCTTTCCCCTTTTTCTTTTTTCCCCCTGGAGCCCGTCAGGGGGGCACTCTGCCCCCCTGCCCCCCCATAGGTACGCCAGTGCTAATAACTGTCCTTTTCCCTTCTGATAAGTGCCTATCATTTTTCCTTTCTGCATAACATGCACCCCTGATTCATATAGCGACTGAGAGCATTTTTTCCATGCAAGCTCGCTTGCATTTATAGTCGTTATAATTAGGTAGCTTATAAAAGAACTTTTCAGTCCTTCTTCATTAAATAGTGCTTAAAACCCATCAGGGTTTGATTTTGTGTGCTCTTTATAAGATGTAATCCCCCCCCCCCCCCCCACTCCGTGAACGCTGAGGGACCGCATTCATGTTCCTAAAATGTCCGATAAAGGGTATACTTTATACCCCCTTCACATACACAGATTTTTCTTACGAGTCCTCACGGATCGCCAACTCGTAGACATTATTAATCCAAGCTTCTGTAAATAACTCGCTGGCATCCGTAAATAACTCTTCACAATTCGCAACAACTCGTAGACACTCTTAAGGATCCGTGAAAGGAGAGGCAAATTTTTTGATATGTCAAAAATCTTCTTACGATTGTCCACGGATTGATTTGTCCGTAAATAGCTCGTAAATAGCTCGTAACAATCCGTAACCATCCTTAAATAGCTCGCAACAACACGTAACTATCCGTAAACTGCTCGCAAGAATCCGTAAATGACTCGTAACAGATTTTGTGTAACGATTCGTTACGGTTAGTTTACGATTTTATTACAGATTACATACGGATTATTGCGAGCAGTTTACGGATGGTTACGTGTGCTTACGTGTTGTTTACGACTTTATTCGGGTCATTTTACGATGGCTTTATGGATTGATATGGGTTATTACGAGCATTTTACGTGTAGTTACGAGTACTTTACGAATAGATGCGTATACTTTACGTATGCTTACGAACTGTTTACGATTTGGGGAAAGGTATAAAAGCTGCAAATTCGAACACTTCATTTTAAGTTGTTTTTTTTTTGCTAAAAATCGTAAGGACTCGTAATCGTAACTTACTCGTAACTATTCGTAACAACACGTAAACAGGTCGTAACTAACACGTTAGTTGCTCGTAGTTATCCGAGGCAACTCGTAACAAATCTCGGACTGTTGCCGTATACATCGTAATAACTCGTAATAATCCGTAATAAACCGCAAACAGCTCGTAATAACTCTTAAACCGGTCGTAAAAGTGGCCAAATCGTAAGGATCCGTAAGAAAAATCCATGTATGTGAAGGGGGTATTACACGCAGAAAAGTCCGGCTCGTAACCCAAAAAAAAATCGGCCCGTATTGACTTTACTCACGGAATTAGGGAGGTGTTTTCAAAAGGAGGGAACATGCATACACGCGTACCCTAAATAACACTGAGAGAGGGGGGTGATTTTTCGCACTGCGGCCTCCCAAATATCTTCTTTTTTTTGCTCACTCTGTTTAATACCATCACATAATCACACCTAACTGCAAAGTATGTTGCTTAAAGGTATTACAAAGTTTTGGGAAATTTTGAAAAATGGGTGGATAGTAATTCTTTACAATTTTGATATATTTGGATGCCCCTGTGGATGTATTAAAAACACCAGAAATTTTAGCCCCTAAAACACTTCTACTTTCGAGAAAAATTGAATATAAAGATTTACCGGTGCTCCCGGTAAATTTTGATAAATTTCAAATAGCTCCTACGGCCGTTCACCCGGTGGGGTCACTCAATGTGACTTCCGGACCGCATGACCGTTACCAAAATCGCGGAAAAAGGGGTCAATTTCAAGCAATGTCCGCGGACAAAATATTCCTTGAAATAAAGAAAATAGGGGTGCACAGGTGTCCCCGAAATTGATAAATAGGGGTCAGGAAAAGGGAAAAGAGAAAACCAAGAAGAAAAATTCTCGGAGCCGAGTCTTGTCCTTTAAATATGGTAAAATAGGGGTAAATTTGCGAAAGTGTCCTTACAATCTTATAAATAGGGGTATTCCAAAGAAGGATTTTGTCCTTGTTTTGACGTAAAAAAGGGGGTTAAATTTCACAAAATTTTCTTGAAATTGACCGCAAAAGGGGGTTATATGCATTGGTGGTAACGGTCATACGTGTCGCTCTTTGCAGGGGAGTGACCCCACCGGGGCCGTTCAATGGTAGCTGCGACCATGAAAATCTCAGAGTATGTAGTTGGGGTATAAAATTTCCGAACGAGAATAGCTAATCAGTCAATTTTAGTCAATAAACATTGTTTTATAGCTTAATTAATATCTTGACCTTGAGAGGGAGCTATTCAACATAAAGAGTTTATTATTTACAATTTCATAACTTTAGAGTCGATTTCGACCGCGACAACGATCACTGAATATTGTAGGATCGTATATGCTTCCAATATGTTCATTTGAACCAAATTCATGACCCCATACCAAAACTTTGTATTACCTTTAAGCAGTATTTTGAACCACGTAAAGATAGAGACAAATATCATCCCTGCATGGTAGTGTAATCACAATCATGACGATGCAGGGATACTTACCAAATTCTAAAAATGGTGTATGTTAACTTTGAGGTTTACCTTTGTAGATGCCCTTTTTTTTAGAACTTTGCGTGCCTTTTTTGTTGGTGCCCGAAAGACGAGAAACCACAACCCTTTCAAGTATTTTGAACAAAAAAGGGTAAGTTTGAAACTGATCGATAATTTTGGAGGGAATCTCGGTCAAGAGAAGGTTTCTTCAACAATGGAGTTACATAAGCAATTTTCAATGAGGAATGAACGTTTGCCTTCATGCTCTAAACTCAAATTAACCAAGTAAAAGAGGGTGAAAGCGAATGTGGAAGTTAGAATAATCCTTTCATTTAGTGGGAACAGGGTACTTGATAATCTTTTCTGCGCCCAGCGTGATCTTGTCAATAATATTCCTTTTGTGAAAAGGACGAAGCGCTCCTATACCTTGTGGGTCTTTACACTTTACACCTCTGATAAGAGCCGCTTTTATTTTGACCCGTGCCCCTTGTCCCTTTCTAATAAGTTCCCGTTTTCCTTTTGGAAAATGCCCCTATTAAAAATGTCCCTTTTCCATTCTCTTTAGTGCCTTTTTCACCTCTTTTTTTAAAACTTTAACACTAGCTCCTTTTCTTTTCAAATATTTGTAGCCCCCACCTTCTTTTTCGATAATCTGTTCCCCTAATTTAAAGCAACTTGTTCTTCAATTTTCCCAAATGTTCACTAGCTAGGCTCGCTCGCATTAATAGTTATAATAATAACAATAATAATGATAATAAAATATCTTGTTAAACCAAGGTAGCCCCATTAGTAAACAAAAATGTTCTTTCTAAGGGCCCTGATCGATGTAGGCCTAATAATTTCTCGCTCTGCGACCTCACAAATCTTAATTTTGTTTAAATTGAATATTTAGACAATGATCATCACACCAAAATGATGTTTAAGCAGTATTTTGGATCATATAGTAACAAATATTGAAATCGTCCACGATAAAGGTAATAATATTTTAGTCCGTTCTCGTATAACGCATAACACATCAAGTGGAAATTTTGAATGGAAAATGAAGTGGAAAATTTTTGTATATATTATGTAGGGGTATATACCAATGTCTAAAAACAGGATGTTTTCGCTTTGAGCCTAGATGCTCTCTTTTTCCAGGAAATTGCCCTGTTTTGTATTTTGTAGGTGCCCCCACCCAGTGGCGGATCCAGGGTTTGCCGATAGGGGTGGCCTATAATGTGAAAATCGCGCCGACCAATAATTCGCTCAGTAGGGGAGGGGGGGGGGGGGGTAGTGAGCATAATATTTTTTTTTTTTTTTTTGCCCCCGGAAATTTAAAAATCGCTCAGATCGTTATTTTCGCTTTGTGGGGGGGGGGGGGCGGGAGGTATTTTGAGCACTAACTAAATAAATATAATTACATACAATTTAAGGGGAAAAAAAAGAAAAAAGGGGCCGGGCCCGTTGGGACCCCCGTGGATCCGCGCCTGCCCCCACCCCCATTTTGTAAGTTGTTCGGCCGCCTTTTAACACTTTGATTACTGAATGAGATTATAACATTTTCCATTGAAATTGCCAAACAGATCGATTCACTGAATTCTGAATCTGAGGTATATGCACATAAACAAATACATGTATGTATCAATATTCGATTCTTATGAATATCTTGATACTACATTTGTAAAAAAACAAATATTACTTAATTTATTTTTGTTTAACTCTTTATTTTTACATTTTTTCCCTCTAACATAATTTCCTTTTGCATGTTTTTCTTTAATAATAATAATAATAATAATAATAATAATAGTACATTTATAAAGCGCAGAAACTATCCAACATTAGGTATATATTCTACTGCGCTACAAGAGCTCCTGATATGCTTAGATTTACGGTACAGTTAATTAAAAAGAAGTGTTTTCAGTTTTGACTTAAAGACGTTTACAGATGGTGATTTCCTGACTTCAAATGGCAAGTTATTCCAGAGTTTTGGGGCTGCACAAGCAAATGCTCGATCACCTAGCGTTATCTTTGACATTGTATTACTCCGTCTGACATTTTTAATATCTGGAACAGGCAATTTAGAGTGAATAGAGGTCAGACTATAGGTCAGACCCCAAATAAAGCATACACTGCAGGCATATTGTAGATATGTGCACTAATTTTTGATTTTTGTTTCCCAATTCGTGAAGAAAAAAAATTGTAAATAATGTTTTCATATTTTTATAAGTATTATTTTTTTTGCCGGGGGGGGGGGGCTACCCCTGGACATCCATCCCCCGGATAACCACCCCAGTCAACTACCTCCTGAGACAACTACCCCCTAGAACAACTTCCCCCTATATAGGAAAACTATCCCCTAGGACAACTGCCCCCTAGAACCCCCTGGGACAACTACCCCCGGTCAACTACCCCCTAGGGCGACCTCGATCCGCCTCTAGGACGGCTACCTCCGGGGCAACATCCCCCCGACATCTGCCCCCAGACAACTACCCCCTACGACAACCATCCTCTAGGACAACTAACTCCCCCCCCCCCCCCCCCCGATGACTATCCTATGGGGTAGTTGTCCGGGTGGTAGTTGTCCGGACGGTGGTAGTTGTCCTATGAAGAAAGTTGTCCTAGGGGGTTGTTGTCCTAGGTGGTAGTTGTCTGGGGGTAGTTGTCCAGGGGGTAGTCGTCCTAAAGGGTGGTTGCCCTAGTGGGTAGTGGTCCTAGAGGGGGGGGGGGGGGGGTTGACCAGGGGTTGGTTATCCGAGGGTGGATTTCCAGGGGGTGTCCGGATCGGTCCTGATACGATTCCTGTGATGGCTCATTACCGACACACAGGCACTAGTACCCTAGGTACCCTAGTACTAGGTAGTAGTACGGTCACCACGTGGGTATGTTTACATTTTACCAACGCATTTCGCGAGACAAGCGGCTTCAATTGCAATTTAGTGTCTGTCGCTTGAAGATGATCAGCATCAGTCATGAATTTTTCATACAAGGTAATAAATTCATATACGAGTACAATTCATGTAGACAAGTGTTCACATATTAAACTGAACGTAAGTTTTGGTTGATTTCTGTCGTGCCGTGAGCGGTGCTTGTGGTAGAATATATGTTACACTGTTGTCCCACTCGTGCTGTTACATGTTTGTTATATTTTGGTTGTTATAGACTAGACTATAGACTACTCTAGTCTAGATTAATTCAAATAACAATTTACTGGTGCCAGTAACTTTCTTTTTCAATTTCTTTCATTTACCAGGGGGGTGGTGGTTAATATTGTAAACCAAAGAGGGAGAGATGATATAGATTTCTAGGTCTAGATCTACAGTGTGAAATTGACAAATTCAAAATGATTGTAAACTTCTCCAATGCCAATGGCAATGCCCCAATATCATTATATTATACCAATATAGGGGCACTCCGGCAAAGCATAGAGTCGTAGACAGCAATAACCATCTGATTTGGGTCATTTCTTTAATAAAACTGACATTTGTTGTCATTCCCCAATACAGATGGCAACCCAGAGATCTCGTACCGTGGGGGTAAATTAGAGCCACAGCGTAACAGCTTTTCGTTACCGACATTTCTCCCCCGATTTTCTTTATTTAGATCTAATTTCCTGATTTCTAAATCAGATGTAAATTAGGTTGGTCTATATATCTCCTAATTACAGTTTTCAAAATTTGCTAACCTATTATAGAATGTGAAATTTTCGGACTTACTTATATGAATTATCCAATTTGTTCCTCAGAACCGCGAAGCACTTACGTTCATGCATTCGAAATATTACCCGGCGGCCGATATATTTCCGGGTCCACCTACCAAAACATAGCCAATGGCCAATCAGAGCACTCGTTTCGTGGGAGTTCGTTGGTCAAGCCGGGCCGACTCGTATGTAGCTACGGTAGCTATTGGACGTTCGAAAAGAAAAAATTAATATTCATCAACTAAAACCAAGACGGATAATGTTGACGACGAGACTTTCTCGGATTAATCATTAATTTAGGATCTAAATGAGCAAGCTATCGTAAGTCAAATAAGCTATATATATGTTATTTTTAATTAGACTCTAATTATTGTCATATTGCAGCATGTGTGAGGATGTAAAGAGTGAAAATCTCGTAGCATATCTCATTCATCGCGGTCCTGCCGAACCGAACCATTGGTTCCGTACAGTCCCGATAGGACAATCTTCAGTCTCTATAATCGGAGGTCTAGTGGAGCCAGACGTAGTCTCAGTGGTTCCTAACGCTTGGTTCCTAACGGAACGTTGAGGAGTACTCCCGAAGAAGAAGAAGAACAACCGACGATTAGAGAGACTGAAGTTTTCGGTGTAAGAGAGTCGATGCTAATGTGTATTGACCTCTAGCACGTGAGGCAGGTATTATTATACCCATACACAAATATACACACCACACAATATCGCATAGACTCTACACAATCATGCTGATGCAGCTGTACGTAAGCAAAGTTTGACACTAGATTAGACTTACAATTTGAATTTTTAAATTATTCTTTTTAACATCAGTAGATTCTAAGTTTTAAAAAATGTATTTTACTGCTATTTAGGTGTCATCAATTGTCACTAAAGTACCGATTTTTAGTGAAATCAGTTGAGTTTTGTACAGTGGTGTTTGAAATGTTGAGAATCAAAAGCACAGCTTTTACTACACAGCCAGGATAGTGATGCTCATATGTGTGTATAGGGGCTGGTGTTGGTGAATTGGAAAATTACACATGAATCGTCAACATCAACCTCTGGAATAATGCGTTTAATGGTCCCTTTTCAGGAAATTATGGGTCTAAACCGACATCCATGTTAATAATCTTGCAGCCGTATTTTAAACTCTCGCTGCGCATGACATCATCTAAATCTCATCCCTTCTAGTTAGGCACATTCATGGGGCACTAGAGGGCGCTTTGCGCGCGTACGAAAATCTGAATGGCCTTGCTGCGGTGGGTCGGCAATAATCAGCCCAAAACTTGGATATGGGAGGGTGGAAGGATATATCTTTTTTTATAATGTTATCTGGTCTTACCCTTAACCATCCTATGTTTAATCTATGTAGAAATAACATGCGAGTACGATAAGAGAAACATCGGGCCCATTACTGATGCAACTTTTAAAATATTAGCCTAGAAATGACCACCAAACGGAAAAAATTGACTTTTTTTTCCCGACAAATCTTCATAAAATCTGATTTATAAACAAGTCACATCTAGGTACACTAATACAAATACGATTTTCTGAAAATTCAGGTATTATTTTTTAAGTTTCTTTCAAGTATATTTCTGCGCATTGCAGCGCCAATGTTCTTCACTGCTTCAAAATCACCCTTAAAATTTTTTTTTGGCAACGAATTTGTTACGAGGTCCGCGAGTGTTCCCCGTTCCTTGCGTGTTGAAAGTTTGGTAATACATAGTTTACATTGACTCGCGCACGAAAAAATGGTCGAAAACAAGATGTCAAATGAAGAAATAAACAAGCTTTTGTATAGTTATAAGAGTTCTACCGAGGTTTCTTTGTCGATTTAATTTATTATATACAGGGTGCTACAAGAATTTTTTTCACCACTTGCCCTGTCGGGCAAGTGGGTTTTCAATTTACTTGCCCAAACAATATTTCCACTTGCCCAAAACTTTAAAGCGAAAAAGGACTCGAGGTTAAAGCATTTATTATCTCGTAATGATAAGTTAGTGTTTTAGATAGCAAATTAATGCACATACATGTACAGTGTAACTGTACTGAATAATAACCTAATATGTCAAAGAAAATGGTCAACAAAGGATGGTTGAAGGTTTAAAAAACGCATTTTATTGATTCTCCATAAATAATCAGATTCACATGAATCTCGGCAAGGTAGAATGGTTCAAGCAGGTTTAAGTTTTTAATATTCAGTCATGTAAAAAAGCATAATGACCCTGTTGTAAAAAATATGATACAAACATGTCATTAATGGTAGCCACATGTACCATGGTGCAACATCACATGTGTGTCTGTGCAAGCCGCTGTCATTTGGAAACGTAGGCTAATTTTCAGCTGTTAATAATTTGGGTCAACTCTTCCATCAAGAAACGTCATGTAAATAATGGGTAATCAACTATTTTAAATAAAGTACGGACATTTTTATTTCATCATTCACTGCTATAAATATCATGCCAAAATTTGTAAATTCTTACTAAATAATAATATTGAAGATATTTTACGATAAATCTCGGATAAGTATGCGAAAACTAGACTAAACAACGTCGCTAAAACCATGAAAACAAAACAACGGCTTATAGACCTATTCTGAGGGTCTCGATACTATTATCAAAATGACTCGCTCGGTCGGATCTTGAGACCGCAGTAATAAATTGAAAACGAGACAAAAACATTCATCTGATTTATATGAGCAGCGAGTTTTAAATAATATATTCACAATCATTAACAGTCATTATGAATAAATATCAAACATTTGACTTTTTGTACTTACTAGAAAATCCCTGTTGTTTATTCCATTCCGATTCGCACGTGTTCATTTCCCTAGAATAATGACGTCATATTTGGCGTGATTCAACCAATCGGCAATCAGAGAATAGCAAAGGCCTGTCGGTGCGGCCTGCAGAGCTAGAGAGAGAGAGCGCGAATAAGCTCGCAGCTGGTACGATCGCGCTAGCTGTCTCTAGCTAGCTCACGGCCGGCCGTGCGTGGAGGCGGAGCGGCATTCATGGCTTGAAGTGTCACTGTTGCATGCGCGCTGAGCTAGCTGAGCTGGCTAGCTGTCTGTGAAGTTTTTTCGAAATCGGAACGATCGCTTTTTTGCTTCTGGATTTTGACGACGGGTAAGAAGTTGACGGGTGAATGGTAGAGTTCTTGGACACTAGGAAATTACTGTAAAAGTATCACTTGCCCGAATCGGGCAAGTGATAATTTGATTTACTTGCCCGACGGCTCAATTTGGTTGCCCCGGGACGTCGGGCAAGCGGGTTTGTCGCGCCCTGAGTCTCAATTAGAATTCAGAATTATCTCACTGAAAAGTTAAGAAACCGACGATGTTCTCGATCGTAGTTATTTTCATTTTGCCAGCAGCTGATCTAGCGTTGTTTGGGCTAGGCCGCTGCCTTCCCATCGCAAACCTTTCCGAGTCCCGCTAAAATGGCGTGCTGCGGAGCTCCGAAGCTGCGTTGGTATCGCTGCAAACTCTCAGCCGGCTACAGTAGCTCCCCAAGACGGACCATTCGCGGTATGGCGAGATTGTGTGTGTGAGGTACGATTTTGGATTCGAGAACGCACTTAATGCAACCGTGCGCGTCATATTCAGCTGTCGAATGTCTACGACCAATTTTACATGTACGATTTTTAGTACAGATACTTGGTCAGTTTTCTTCTTATATCTTTGGTTTTACATTTAAAAATATAATTTCTTCAAATTTGCTCCTGACTCGGTTCAGACTAATTGTGTGATGTGTTTTCAAGTCAATTTTTTTAATATATTTTTTTGCATGAATTTGCCTATTCTAGCAGGGTGTGTGGATGATTTTTTAATCTTCAATTTGGGATCGTTTTTCACCATTTTTTTTTTTTTGTGAATGAAAAATGTAATCAGAATAATACATTTCAAATTTCAAGGCTTACTGATGTTTCTATCAAAAGATACAGCCCCTCCAAAACTCTGCAATATTCATAGCATTTTGGTCAGACGAAAAAGATGTAAACGCAGAGTTACGTTGTTTTGCTAAATTTAGCCAAACAGCTCTATCGCCCAATATGCATGCGTATGCATAGCGTACGCATGTTGCTAAGCTGAATGTGCAAATTGAGCACGTTGTCTCGGCGATACCGCCATTGACTATAACGTGTATTCACTTCCGGGTTTCATTCCCCTATTATACATACGCGGTACGAATGCATATTTATGTGCAGATGTTACGCGATGTAACGATGGTTTGGGCTGAGCGAAGCACACGCCTCCCTAATTAGCTGATCCAACATATAGGGGAAGGGTATTTTTAAACTGTTGGGGGGAGTGATCTCCTGGGGCTAACAAAAAAATAAGTGCATATATATTTTCCTTACGTCTAGCCGGACATAAGCCCGGGAGGCGCGGTCTAGGAAAGTGGCAAATTTTGGAGCTAGGAAACAACATTTTAATCGCTGTTTTGACCAAGATATTTTTAGAATTTCGGGGGTGCGGCCTTTTGGGGAATATGGAAAAAAACCTGCTCTTTCATACAGGTATGACACCTCATTTATTGAGTTTCACCTTCAGGACACGAGGAATAAAGGTTTGAATTTCAATTTGTTCATAAAATCATTGACCAATTTTGCATGATCGCTCAATGCACGTGGACTGCATAGGGATGCGTGCAATCTCTATGGGAAGGATTTTAGCACACAACATCGGGTGCGCGATCAGACACCCTACTTCTAGTCTACGCACAAGACAAAATGATTATGAAGGAAAAACTGCACCAGCTACAAGTTATTTGACGTTATCACAGTTTTTCCTTCATAAGCGAGCCCCCTCCCCCTTCCCCCAAGGGGAAAACATTTATCTTCATGATTTTTGTCGATGGCTGAACGTTTATCTTTTTCTATACACATCCATATTCTTACCTCATTGCACCTCAAGGCCTCACTCAACACATGTTTAACTATGGGAATACTTTAAAAAGTAGGTGTTGCCTTGTTAAAATTATCATTTTGGAGGGGAAAGAGACCATAAAACAGAAATTTAATTAGTACTGGTACATGTTTCTGTTCATTTTTCACAATTTGATGTTTATATAATAATAATTAGAAAACAAAAGGAAGAATTGAAAGAAAATTGCTCTCACATTGATGCAAGGATTCAAAATTTGTAATGGAGAATTGAATATGGAAATTCAAAATTACTGTCATTTGCTGCCCTTTATATCCTAAATTTAAAAAAATTGGCCACTACTAGTTTCTTGTAATTTGAACTCTAGGCAACATTTCAGTCCAGGTTTTAGAATGAGGAATATAGTTTTTAATTGATATTTTATACTCATGTTAAAAAGAATAATTGATGTTTATGTTCCTTACAGTTTTCGAACCTCTTGGGATGTGTGTATCGCCGAGGCAATCTTGCATTCACAGCTGATGGTGATAGTGTAGTGAGCCCTGTTGGTAACAGAGTTACAAGATTTGATCTCAAAAAGTAAGCAGATTACCATTTTTTTTATATACATATCTATAGGTGCGTTAAAGTAACATGGAGTCTAACCCTGTAACCAATGATTGGGTACAGATCATCGGCCGATCAGCTGAAATCAGAGAATAGATAGATGAAAATGAAAATTATTAAAAAGTAATCAGTAAAATAAAAGAGTTTGGGGCTATCAAATACTTTTAAAAAATTGCATGGCTAGGATTATTTTGTCATTTGAAGTTGTTGTACACTATGTTTGTTGATACGTGTCTTTTCATGAATTTGAAATTAATAATATTAGTCTAAAAAAAGAGGTAAAACATGCGAGTTGCCATTTTGGATTATAATGTAGGCACACATTTTTATGCCTCCGCCACCGAAGGTGGTGCCGGAGGCATCATGTTTTCGGGTTGTCCGTCCCGTTTGACCGTTATCACAATATTTAAAGAACCATTTAAGATTTAAACTTAAGACTCGGGAATAGTATTTATCACCATAGGAAGACGATCTGATTAGATTTTGGAGTACGTAGGTCAAAGGTCACAGGTCACAGGTCAACTTATGAAATTCCTTGTATTGAGTTTGTTAGCGCGATATCTCAAGAACCATTCGAGATTTAAACTTCAAACTTAAGGATAGTATGTATCACCATAGGAAGACGATCTGATTAGATTTTGGAGCACGTATGTCAAAGGTCAAGGGTCACAGAGGTCAACTTATGAAATTCCATACATTGAGATTGTTATCATGATATCTCAAGAACCACTGGAGATTTAAACTTCAAACTTAGTGATAGTGTGTATCACTATAGGAAAACAATCTGATTACATTTTGGAGCACGTAGGTCAAAGGTCAAGGGTCAAGGGTCACAGAGGTCAACTTATGAAATTCCATACATTGAGATTGTTATCATAATATCTCAAGAACCACTGGAGATTTAAACTTCAAACTTAATGATAGTGTGTATCACCATAAGAAGACAATCTGATTAGATTTTGGAGCACGTAGGTCAAAGGTCGGGGGTCACAGAGGTCAACTTATGAAATTCCATACATTGAGATCGTTATCGCGATATCTCAAGAACCACTGGAGAATTTTCACTTCAAACTTAATGATAGTATGTATCACCATATCATAATATCTCAAGAACCACTGGAGATTTAAACTTCAAACTTAATGATAGTGTGTATCACCATAGGAAGACAATCTGATTAGATTTTGGAGCACGTAGGTCAAAGGTCAAGGGTCACAGAGGTCAACTTATGAAATTCCATACATTGAGATTGTTATCATGATATCTCAAGAACCACTGGAGATTTAAACTCCAAACTTGTTTAAATTGCTCTATGGCGGAGGCATCATTTTCGACTGCGCACAGTCAAAATTCCATCTAGTTTTCTAATGTCATTATAATCCAAGATGGCGGCTTGCATGTTTTGCCTCTTCTCTTGGACTAATATTATTAATTTCATAGTCATGGAAAGACCCTTAATATCTTTTGGAGAGGAAAGTACATGTAGGTCAAACTTCCCATTTACATGGTGCTTTGTTTCAGCACTTTATGTTGGTTCAATTTAATTTTCTGTGTTTTTAATAATGTTTGTATTGTTTTGTATGTTGCATCTTTCAGCAGCAAATCAGAGACCTTTGCCATCGAGTCAAGGCTGAACATTGTGTGTGTAGCATTATCACCAGATGGATTCTCTGCTGTTTTTGTTGATGAAGGTTTGTTTCTCATTTTAAGTTTTAAAAAAATTATATCTCAAGGGCTCATACTTTACTTTAAACCTAGTTTAACTGATTTATGGAATGCCAAGTATCAAGTTTTTTTTTCTGTCCAAATTCCATTTAACTACCTGTATGTGACAAAATGAATCAGACTACCGGTATAAAATAAAATGAGAAGTTGAAGTCACAAATATATGATTTTTATTTGTTCAATAGTATACAAAATAATGGTAACCTTTGATAGATGGAACATGTTGGTATTTGTTGCTTTGATTCTTAGGATTTTAGGGTCAGATGTTAGAAGTTATGAAATTGCTAGCCTCTTTAATCTCAATATTTAGAGCTCTGAGAGGCATGAGCTTCAAACTTGGTGCTATGATATATAGAGAGATGGACTGCTGATAAAGATATTGCAGTAAGTAGGTCCAAGGACAAACTAGATGGCTCACACCATCCCAGTATAGCTTCCTGAGTGAGCTGCCAAAGGGATTACCCAACCAAGTACCAAGTCATAAAGACAAAGGTCAATCAGTGCCTTTGGTAATGATGAGTTTCTAGTCATGTAAAGGAATCACAGTCTCATAAAACCCATCAATGGATGTAAATCAAGTAGCATGCAACATCAGAAGGAGGTACAGGAAGCTGAGTTTAGAGACAGGTCATATGATATAATTATGAAAATCCCACTTTTGGAAAGTATACAAAATGTAGTAGAAATTAGTAAGAATGAATTGACTGAATGTAGGCAGAAGCATATTGAAGATGCAGTCGCATTCAACATGCTCATATGTTTGCCACATTTTGTATTTGATTCCATTTCCTTTGTAGCACGAAGTATAAAGGAATTGAACATTCAGAGTTAATGTGTCAATAAATCATTTTGGATGTATTTAGCATGAATTTGAAAATGAGAAAAGAGCAAATTCGGAATTGAAAAAATATATATACATTGTAGTATAATATAACAACATGATTCATATGACTGTTTTGTTCCCAAGGAGGAGGAGCTCTTTTATGCAGTCTTCTGAGTAAGACAGTGCTCCATCATTTTAGCTTCAACCGTCCTGTATCATGTGTTAAGTACAGTCCCGATGGAAAGTGAGTAATAATCATATAGTTACACTAACATTGCACTGTCACATTAATCTTTCAGTTGTAGCCACATAGTCTTCTTTGTCAGTAAAATATAGCTAGTACACAAGACATGAGATCACAATTTCATATAACAAAGTGTAATCATATAGCAGATATTGACTGGTAGGGTGTGTAATATAATGGTTTTCGGACCACAAGGGAGTTTTATTTTCCCTCATCACTGCATGCGCTGTGAAAATATAACCCCCGTTGGCAGTCAAAAAATGTTACATTACACAAACTTCCATTCAATATCTCTGGTATTATTTTTAGTAGATATTGTATTATATTATATTGCTTTATATTGTATTATATTATATTGTACTATACTTATATAATATTGACTGGCCTTGAGGGGTATATCAGAAATATTGACCAAGCTCAGATCATATTGCCCCGAGTCGAAAGACGAGGGCAATATGGTCTTAGCGCGGTCAATATTTCTGATATCCCCCGAAAGTAAAGCCAGTCAATATTTTTATTGTTATCCAAATCAGACATCTAGAGCAAATACAGACATCCACCATGACAATCTCAAGAACTGAACAAACTTTGTCAAACCAACACTGTGCATCCAGTGCTTGACAAAATTTTCGATACACTACAAACAGTGTGTATTTGGTGTGATTATTACGTCACAATAGAGTGCGCGCAAAGTGCGCAGGTTCTCGTACGTATAATATTAATAGATGCGCCCTGAAAATGCGAGACCGTGGAAAATACCAAGGTATATTTTCACTCGTCTCTACACGCAAAGTCAATACGCGCAGGGAGGCCAAGGAAAATACAAAGAATATACCCCTCCGTTCCCACTGCTAGTGAAAACTAGGGCAATACGGTTTTGTAAATGACCAGCTCAGATGTCTGATACGGGTAATAATATAATATATTATACTATACTATAATATATTATATTACATTCTACAAAATATCATACAGATATATTATTTTTTGTGAATTTGACTGCTGAATGAAGTTACATTTTTACGAAGCGCGCAGCACTTAGAGAAAATGTTATCACGAGGGAAAATATATAACTTGTGTGCGTCCAAAAATGTTATATTACACATCCTACCAGTCAATGTTTGTTACATTAGATAGCAGCCATTACACTTTGTTAAATAAAATCAAGGATAATTGCGATCTCATGCTTTGTTTCTTTCTCAACCTTCAGTGTCAAATATGTGTGACCCCAAAGCAGGTTATATTTTCCTGGAGCATGATGGTAGTACTAGTATCTAATATTATCTTATATTATTGTTGTTGCTGTTGTCATTAGTAGTTGTAAATGTAGTAGTAGTCATAGTACAAGTAGTAGTAGTAGTTGTTGTGGTACATGTAATATTATTGTATTTTTAATGAAGTGTTCAAATTACTCAGCATTTACATAGAGAGTATAGGATAGCCATAAAAGAAAGGATTACAACAATCCAGTGTTACTTACTCACTAGAAGTGCTACAAGCAGAAGTACAGTTTTCTGTCATACAGGAAATTCAAGGTGATTGAAATCATGACAGGAAGCTCTATTGCTCTCTTTGTGTCATTATACAACCAATATAGAGTGGTCAAGTGTGACGTCATAACAAAACTGTTTATAGAGTTTCCAAATTTGAACTTCATTTTCCGAAAGAACATCAAAAATAATCTCCATATGTTGAAAACCAATTCAATATGTTAAGTGTTGGCTGAGATACATTATGGCCATCCAAATAAATAGAGTTCAATGGGAAATCACTGTTACTTTGCTCTGGCTTGTAATGTTATGAATCAGAGCAAAATAACAGTGATCTCCAATTGAACTCTATTTATTCGGATGGTCATATCTCAGCCAATACTTTAAATATTCGATTGTTTTTCGACATTTGGACGTTATTTTTTATGCTCTTTTAGAAAATGAAGTTCAAATTGAGAAATTATACAAATAGATTTGAATGTGTGATGTCACTGCTTCGGTTCTCAATCATGGAATACAGAAAGACTGTAAAGGTACCTACATGTATGTTTTATAAGAGTTGTTTACATGGATATGATGATTTTTTGTTAAAACCTATTGAAGGATAAGTAGATCAATTGGGGAAAATTATGTACATGTATAATGTAGGTGATGGCATTATGGTCATGTAGTCACATCCATATTATCATTATTCCTATTATTATTAATATTATTATTATTATTATTATTATCATTATCATTATTATTTATACTACTTTCTTAATTATTTGTATCATTATCATTATTATAATTAGTATACATGATGTTGGGTTATATTATATTATATTACATTACAGTATATTGTTAGTTGTTGTAGAAGTAAAGTAGTAGTAATAGTAAATGTAGTAGTACGGTTGTGGTACATGCAATATTATTTCAATTTTAGTAAAGATCACTCGACATTTAGAATTTTACGTACATTAAGAGAGTTTAGAATAGAAAGAAAAAAAAATTAACAAAAAAGTGTCATATTAGCAATGAAAGAGTTACATGAGTGTATAAAGCAGGAGTACAGTATTCAGTCACACAGGAAGGTGATTAAAATCATGACAGGAACTTGATTGCTTTTCTTTGTGTTCAGGAAGTTCACGATATACAGAAGTTAGTTTGTTGTATATTGGTAGAGTTATGTGCAATAGCAGAAAATAACTGCATCTTTTAATCATCCACCTACATGTAAATCGCAAACATACTGTGATAAATTTGTGAATAATATTCCATAGTTTGTAAAGGTCACTGGAAGCGAATAGAATTAAAGGAAAGTCAAACCTTGATAAACAAGTACATGTCCTCTAAAATCAAGCAGAACCTTAGCAAATGTATTTTAAAATACAGCATTACCATGCTCTTCTTAAGTTATTAAGCAAAAGTTGTATGTTTCAATTAAAATGTTATGCAAACTTCACAGAGTTCTAAGGTCAAAGTTTGTTTGTTTGTTGTTTGATGTTTTTTTTTCTGCATCACTGCCACTATTTTGTGTCATATCTAAATGTAAAATAAGTGGTCACTCAGACTGACCATACATGTATTTCATGCCCGTGGCTGTTCTACAAAACCATTCAAGAACTATTAGAATACTTTCTAACTGTCCAAGTGACATGCATGGAATCGCCCATCATAATGTTCAAGCTAGTGTAATAATATAACATGGTCTAAGCTGTCAAATGCCTTTGAATCTAGTGGAATGAATACATTTTCTTTACACTCCGTATTATCTGTGTTACTTCTTAACAATTATACTGTTTAAATATACTGAATGTTCATTACAAGTTCAAGGGTGTTCTAAGAATAATTGATCATGATCACCCATTCAGTACAGGATATAGGATCTAAATCCTTCAAGATTACAGTGCACCATCTCACAACCTGTGTGTGTGTGTGTGTCAATATGATGTACATGTAGGTGAACTTGGTCTTGTGACTGTTTTGTGAGATAGGTTCTGGTACAAAGGTACAAACCAGAAGGTGTCAACAAAAAAAACTAAACCACAGTTGTAGACAGTTTGCCTACATATACACTACACCTTATCTATTGGGCAATTCCACGGTAACGGAAGGACACTCAGACAAGATTTTTGAACTTCAGGTTCATACTAAAAGAAATGTTTTATTAGTATGTATTAAACTATGGGGAACAAAATGTGTTTCAGTCAAGTGGAAAGCTTCATCAACTTCACAAAGTTTGGATAAACACTAATTAACTGGAAAAACCATGTCCATTTTTATGTCCTTCCGTTACCGAGATAATTAATATGCACATTCTTAAACTACTTAACTATAATGACAATTTTTTTTTGGAGAATTAAAGGCACTTTTATAGGTATTATATCTGTACTGTTTCACATCTTATACTAATTAAACAGTTCTTTTAGTATGAACCTGAAGTTCAAAAATCTTGTCTGAGTGTCCTTCCGTTACCGTGGAATTGCCCTATTGACTTTGTAGCCCATGATATAAGTTTGTGGATTTTGTTTTGTTTCTGTTAGTTTGATTGTTGAACCTTGTATTTTTCTTGCAGGAAGCTTGCTGTAACTAAGGAGAATGTTGCCCTTGTATACACCACACCATGCAGTAGTAGTAGAGAGTTCAACCCTCTTACCCTTCACAGAACATACTATGGAGCATATGATGAAACAACATGCATTGACTGGACATCAGATTCAAGGTATGTTGATCAGAGTCAAATCAACTTTTATTTCAGGATTTTCTGCCTTTCTTTTTATTTGTATTAGTTGTAATGATACTAATATGGGATATTTTTATAGTGCACATAACCACAATGCAAGGTGCTCAAGGCGCTCCAATTTAACCTGGGCTGTATTGAGAATGGGTTAGCAGATTTCATGTGTTTAATTTTTTTTTCCTTCAAGATGGCCACCCAATGATGGTCAAAGGATTGTCTTATAGATTCCTCATAAGCAGAAAAGAAATGGCCGAACCCTGAATCATATTCTCCCCCCCCCCCCCTATAATATATCAGCCTAAGAAAGTGTGAAGGGCTTGCAATATTGCACAGCGTTGACAAGATTGTATGCACCACAAGTATTCATACTTTGTGATATAAAATAGGGTATTTGTGAGAGAGCATCCTATTGGTTGAGAACATGGTTGAAAATACACTGGGGCAATGGACGATCTCGCCCCCGTGAGTCTCAAAATAGCCCCCTAAAGTCCTTAAAACCATACTTGAAGTCATATGCATCTTTTATCTGTTAAAGTTTCAGTGTACTTTGAAATGAAACCTTACTTTGAATGAAAACCATTAATAATGATGTTGTATTTTGTACAGAGCATTTGCTGTTGGTTCCAAGGACATGAACACCAGGGTGTTTGCTGTAGATGACATGGATCATCTTATTGTTTACTCACTGGCAGGACATAAGGACTCTATCGTAGCTTGCTTCTTTGAACAGAATTCACTTGATGTATCCTTTTTAACATCTTATATTCGTAGCATGGTCTTTTTACTTTACTTGACATAATTGTTTTTCCTTTTTTAAGCACCAGATTTTCAGGGAATGCCAATTTTTGTATAAGGTCATAACAAAAAAATATACAAATAATACACAGCAGTGAGAGCATTAGTAAGAATTACCCACACAAGGTACCTTTGGAACAGCTAACACGCCTGAGGCAGTAGTCGAGGGTGTTTGGACTGTTTTGAAGGTACCGAGTGTGGGTAATTTTATAAATGCCAGAACAAAATGTGTATTATTTGTTTTATAACATTATTTGACTAATGACCGGTCATTAGAATTGGATAATGACCGGTCATTATCCAAATTACGCGTTAGGAAAAATAAATGCCTGGTCACGTTCACGCTTTCAACCAATCATTTGATTAGGATCCACGTCATCATCTTATAACATCCGTTAACCTATTTTAATTGATAGTTCACGGAGCTAACCATAAGGTAACATTTCTATGCCTCCGCCACTGAGGTGCTGGATGCTTTATGGTTTCAGATTAATCGTCCAGCCGTTCTATTTATTGTTACCATGATAATTTGAGAACTATTGAATGGATTTTAACCGAACTTGGCTCAAGTATTATAAACATGTATAACCATGACAAGACAATTGGATAATATTTTTAGGTAAGTAGATCAAACGTGGTAGAGGACGATATCTGAAATTACAGGTTTTAGCCTCATTTTCTCAAGAACCATTTGAGGCAAGAATTTCAAACCTGGTGGTAGTATGTACCGCCCATAGAAATACAATCTGACTAGATCTTGGGGTAAGTAGGTCAAATGCTAGAGGTCAATTCTCATGAAATTCCAGGCTCTAATAGCCCCTTAAAAATATGTCAAAGAACCATTTGAACCATGAACTTCAACCTTGGTACTGGTATGCCTCACCTAGTGAGGCCAATTGATTAGATTTTTGGTTAAGAAGGTCAAGGTCATAAAGGTTCTATACATATTATCAAAGGTGTTTTGAGTCATGGTATCACCATATAAAATATTTTAGCTGTGAGCTTCATAAAGTGGAGACAAGTGATCATCAGGTTTTGGGGTTGGTACATGTAGGTTGTAATTATCTAGGCTTAGTATTCCCATTGTTGGGATTATTCAGGAACAATTTGAGCTGGAGGCATATATAGAAATGAATTCCCATTTATCTTTTTTTATACAAATGTTTGTGAACGACCTTAAGCAACTCAGTATTATTATTCTCTCATTGCCTTCTGAGACAAATCCTATCCAGTAGGAAAAAAGTATTGTTATAGTAAAACCACTTGATGTGGTCAGTATTCTATTTTATGTTCTTATTTTAATTACCGGTAGATATTTACATGAGTATATCCATCTATTACTGTATTTTGAAAGTCTAGAGCATTTGCCTTAATGTATGAGAGCTATCTAGTCTTTTCTAAAAATAGCTGAATGCAACACAAGGTGGCAGTATTACAGGTAACCATGATTCTTTTGACATCCAGGATATTAAAATGGATAATAATGTGTGGCATGAAGATTACATTGATAGATTTGCAAAGGTATTTGCCTTAATTGATATAATTCAGTTGTACACATTAAGCAGAAGAGCAGATCTCATTGTGTGGGAATGTGACACAGACCTTGATGTGCTCCAACCTGCCACGCAACACAGTCACAACCCTCTGCACAAGAAAGGAAGGAAAGAGAAAATCAACAAGGAGGAGGAGGAGGAAATGGAAGAAGAGAAACAGAACAAAATCAAGTACAAGAGAATTGCCAAGTAAATATACAGCACTTTAAAAAAAGTTTTATACATTGGGGTAGAACTAGGAATGAGTCACAATGATAAACCACAATGTCATGTTTATTAAACCAGTTTAAAAGCCTCTTTGTAAAGTTAATTGAAAAGTTAGAAATTAAATAAATAATAAAATAGGAACCAATTCACTACATACAGAGTATTGTGCCAAATTGCTTGTGTAAATAATATATATAAAAAAGGTTTAACTCTTAAAATCAACAATCAAACACTAGGCCAGGCCCTAGGTTGTGTAACCTTTGATATTTTAATTCTCCCTACTGCATATAGCTGAAAGCAGGCCATCGTAAGTGGCGCTCTATTTCTACTAATGAATTTGCCGGCATTTTGTAGTCACTTGAACTTCTGGTCAAACCGGGCCACACAGTATTGGACACTTTACTGTCAATAGGACTATAATTAGAATGAGAAATAAGGTTTTGCCTAAATCTGTAATGATGCAAATTTATTAAAAATGTAGACCTTTGTTTTCTTTAAATATGTGACCCTGCTGTATATTACGGGAAATTCTTAAAAATTACTGACAGTAGTGCACAATAATGGCTTGGGAAAAGAAGTCACTTGTGTTGCAGCGTGCCAAGTTTCTGTACAAGTGTCCTATCCATGGCCTAGCTCATGAGGTCCATGGTGCCTTATCAGAACCAAAAAGGAATATTCAATATAATGGAGGAATTAGCTCCCTCATGCCCTGTTTACAACTAAGCAATCTAATGATCATTATACTTTGCAAAAATATTTGAAGTCTCATTGATGGGTAGACTTTACATTCATTACTTTTTTTCTTTCTTTTTATTGTATGTGCAAATAGAGATACATTTAGCATCCAATCATACTTTCAAAGGAAAAGTGAAAACACAGGAATCAAAGAATCCCTGTGTTGAATTAAAGGTGATCCCAACTATTATTGTTATTGTTGTTTTTATAGTGGAGTTCACTGTATTAATCATCACATGTCTAAAGTATAGTAAATACTGCACTGAAGCATCATGAATCTTTGACTTGTGAATTAAGATTGCTCTCCATGCTTTATGAAGAACACAAAGCATATGAAGGTCTTAAATAAATAACATTTAATATGATGTGTATTTTGATTTGCAGGCATTATTATAACAAATCTGGTGACTTTGATGACTTGACTTGTGCAGACTATCACAAGAAAAACAGAATTCTTGTGGCTGGATTTGCTTCAGGAGTCTTCCACTTACACGAGATGCCAGACTATAACCTCATCCATACTCTCAGGTAAGTATACAATCTCATCTGTACACTCTTCCACTCAAGTTAAATAGGATATATTATTGACCTGGCCGACCCTCTTCAAAAAGTATTTGGTAAATCATGATTAACTCAGGAAAATGGCAGCAACAGAAAAATGGTAAAGAATGGAAAAAAATCTGCATAGTGGAAAATCTCTAGAAAAAGGGAGAAACTGCCAAATTAGTTCACCCCTTTTTATATGCCCCGAAAGAAGTGCCATGTGGAGCACCCCCCCCCCCCCCCAAAAAAAAGGGCATGTCACTATGACAAAGTTCGACAAATATCTCTCAAAAGCTATACACGCCCATGTTAAAGGTACTTTACTAATTGATAAAGTAAATTTCCAGAGTTGAGTTCTCCGGCTTGCCCGCACTTCTTGTAACTTAGATAACCCATGCACCTGTACTCTTTCTCTAATTGTTCCATTCCACACCTGTCATAGCTCTTAACCATCTGACCCACCTGTACCCTTGTGCTCTTCCTCTCTCTCTCTCTCTCTCTCTCTCTATCTCTATCTCTCTTCCCCTCTCTCTCTCTCTCTCTCTTTCTCTATCTCTCTTCCCCTCTCTCTTTCTCTATCTCTCTTCCCCTCTCCCTCTGATGAATGCAGACAGGTCAGAAAACAAGTCCTAGAAAGAATCAATTCAAAATTGAAATTAGTACTTTGTACGACAAGGGCATGCACCTTTAAAGGACCTTAGGGGAGCCTTCCAAAGTTGCGACTGTGCCCGGACGCGTCGGGGCGCGATGAATAGAACAGTCGCGTCCCAAGAGACGCATTGAGGCGCAAAGGGGCGCGAAGGGGCGCAATAGTCACCCTCACCTGATTCTTGCATATGAAAAGAAACCGTCTATTGTTAGTATAAACCCGCTCTATTCTTCTTGCGCCCTTTTGCGCCCCACCAGGCGATGGAAGATTATCTCTCCCGTCATTGTTCTCGCTCGTGATGCGCGGTACAGCTTAAACTTGATATACAGAAAGTATTTCTCGGCCAAAGCCTGTCTTCCCCTCCTCCGGTTTTCGTTCTGATAAACTTTCCATTGTTTGTACAAAATTGATGTATTCTTCTCGCGTCGCGATCTATTCTTCTCGCGCCGTTTTGCGTCGTAACGGGCGGGGTATTACCTTTCCAATCATTGTGGCGAAGCTTTGCGATGTACATTACTACAGCACAGCATGAACTTCTCTGGTGGGATCGTCTTTGTTTTGGGGGGCAATCAACACACTCGTTCATCTTGATCAGAATACATTATGATTTATTTTTGTTGGGTTTAATACGCCTCCTTTTAATTTTTGTGACGACTGTATGAAATGTGAAATAAAGATGACTATGTACGAGTAATGGTTGTTTAATTGCGAGCTTAATTGTCCCCAACAAAAAAAAATAAAAGACGAATGATGTGAATGACTACATGTATGCGGTTATAGTCGGCAAATTGATTACTGTTTGGGTCGCTTGTGTATGTTTGTAATTTGAATGATTATCAACATATTTGTATAATTCCCACATCGCGATATGATTCTAGCATCGTATAATGGACAAAGGAATTATCTTTCTCTCCCGTCATTCATATTCACGCTACGCGTTGCCACAGCCTGAGCTTGGAAGAATTTATATTTTGTCAGTCAAATCCTTTTTTTTCTCCTCCCATGACTTGGTTCTAATAAATTGAAGGTTTGCTTATTAGGGATAAGAAGGATAACATCAAACAAACGATTTACTCAAGATGACGCTCTTTTCATTTCACCTCGCTGTTTGATAAAGTAGAGTTTTACGGAGCGAATACAAAAGAAAAGTTCGCTCTAAGGCCAAATAAAAAAATGTGTTATTAGTGTCCTGTTTTTTCGAAAACTAGGAAGGAGGAGGCCCTCTCTTTTCTTTTTTTTTCTTTCAAAATGGCCGCTCGGTACATTTTCCTGACAGTCGGGCTAGTTTTCAAGATGGCCGCCGACATCTTTTAACTTTTAAAAAAAAATCAGTAATAGATACATTTTAGTATTGTTTTTCATGTTGTTTTTTTCAAAAATTATTTAAAAAAAAAAAAAAAAAAAAAAAAAAAATTAAAACAAATTTCCCCAAAAATAAACTTAGGAGGCGGCCCCCAAAAAGAAGCAGCCGGGACGCTAAACATGAATATTTTGTTAAGTGGCCTCAGGGAAAAAAAAAACATAAAATGCCGTGGCAGGATTTCACGCCCGAGATTTGCCTTCGAAAATTGCCCGTCTAAAAGGCGTTTTAAATCATAATAATTCCATAGCTCTTTTTAAAAGTGGAATAAATAGACAAAAGAGTCCGGGAACTATATCGAGATTATAAAACATGTTTGTCATGAAGATGAAAACAAAAAAGCGTAGCCTGATGGTGATAAAGTTGAGCAGCAATTGGAAATGCAATACAAAACATTAATCAGTTCATGATGATAGTTAATCATTCGACACAAATACAAACATTGATTTCTGCTCTAACATTCGAATCATTTATTCGTAGATTTGTATAATTAAGTGGCGAAAGTGAAATTTTGAAATCTTAATGCACAGATGCAAAAACATACAAAACATGTTTTGATTCTTATTCTAAAAAAAAAAAAAAACCGGCAAATTTTAAAAGATCTTTTTAAAAGGAGGGAGGCGCTATAGCCCAGTGGTAGAGCAGAGCACCTCGTAACCGGGAGCTCCCTGGTTAGAAACCAAGTCGATATGCTATTGTAAGGCATAACTCAACATTACATTTCGTTCGGAGAGGATCTTAAACCCGCCGGTCCCCTGTTTGCGTAATTCAGAGCATACACATGCTTCATATAGCAGTCAGGAAAAAAAAGCGAACGGTACAGGAAGCTACCTTTTATGGATATGCCTAAATTGAAGGTTTGGCTTAACTAGGGAGAAGAAGGATAACATCAAACAATAGATCTACTCATGATGACGCTCTTTTCATTTCACCTCGCTGTAAGATAAAGTAGAGTTCTATGGAGCGAATACAAAAGAAAAGTTCGCTCTAAAGGTAAAAACATTTCACGCGGCCGAGCAAGACTATTGTTTGATCGCTATAATTGTCCGACTTGCTATAGATTCTTGTTTAGCTACACATTAATGTTGCGTATTATGTGTGTGTGTGTGTGAGGGAGGGGGGCGGCGAAGTGAACGGCCGGACCAAAATGGCAGAGGTCAATCACGAGGGCTCCGCTCGCTAGTTATAAGGACCGCTATTCATTGGACAACTATTCATGAAGACCGCTATTCGTAATTTGAGAACATGGTCATTATGTATAAGGGTCATGAATTCGTAATACGACATTCCCCCTCCCCAAAACTAAATAAATAAATAGAAAACATGAATAGATTAATAAACTTAACTAATGATACAATAACAAATAATGCCCGGTGATTGGGAATAGCCGCCTATGAGCGGAACAATGGGCGCAACAACTATTAGCTGCTCAAAGAGCTGTCTTTTGTCATTGCGTTGCAAAAACAAAGTGCTTTTAAAAGTTACATGTACTATAATATCCGTATGCTATATAACACCCAATGTGAACATGACGTGTTCAGGCCTTATAACTATATACAGTGCACGTTAAAACAAAAGACTTTACTAGCGCTAGCTAACAAATATGAAACGTCAAAACGTCACGAACATTGAAGATAACAAATTGTTAAGACAAATGACACCACCAATAAAGTTTCTTCGCGAAGAAATATTCGATCGAATTTCATGTTCGGAACAGATAGGCGATTTCGAATTGTTCCATCTACCGAAACGTTTTGATGATGCAGGCTCCCGACAATACGACTATCATTTTTGTAATATCTTTAATTTGCAGATGTTTGTTTGTTTTGTATGACATATTTATAAACGCCCTGTAATCTTATTTCAAGCAGAATCTTTCAATCTCTTTGATTATAAGTATCATTTTTAAATCACGGGTATTTAATACAATAGCTGATTTTGCGAAGATTTAGAGAACCTACGTTTCTATTCTTTAAATCGATCTTGCATGAGAAAGAACAGAGTGATGATATAGATATATGACCTATTTTGATCGGATGACAGAACAAAATAAATGTAATATGAAACAAATAATGTGTCAAAACATACAGAAGGAATACAATTATACATATCGTTTTTGTTTTGTTCGTGAAGAAATTAATATAATACAAGTATTGAACACATTGATGAACAGAAATGAACAATCATAACAACGTCAACGCCTACACAACTACGATGTTTGGGAGGAAAATAACAATCAGAACAACAATCTAAATCAATGTCTTGTACGTAAAATAATAATAAAACATATCAGTAGCCAAAGTGAAAATTTTAGAGTCAAATCTTTCAAGACGAGAGCGGACACACACGCGGGGATTACATGAATAACTAATGCGTAGGAACGGGCGCGAAAGCTTTTCAAATTCACAAATTCACAATTCACAAAAAGCGCTTCGCCTTTAAGCGCACCCCTCCCCCCCCCCCCCCACCCCCGAATGAGTGTTATGTAGGGTACGCACATGCATTTTCCCTCCTTTTGAAAACAGTCCCCTAAGTCCGGTGTGTAAAGTCAATACGGGCCGGATTTGTGTGTACTAGACGAGCCGGACTTTGGTGCGTGAAAAGTACCCCTTTACCAGATAGTAACAATGAGTCTCCAAACAATAGCCAGATTTGATATTCATATTGTGAGCATGTGCTTAGTTATATCAGGATTCCCTGGTTATATTGAAGACGTGGGCTAATATCTGTTTGCCCAGTACTTCTCGCTGATTGTTTGACCAACATTAAATTGCTATTGTCCAGCTGACTTTTCTAAAGGCTTTTCTACCCTCGGCGCTAAAGGGATTGCGGAAAATTTCAACACTATTTGTGTTTCTTGATGACCCAGTAGAAGAAGAATAAGGGCTACCCTGCCCCCCCCCCCCCGAAAAAAAAAGTCCCAAAACAACCCAATCATTATTAATTCCGTTTACCAACACGTGCATGATGGATCCCCCGGATGGATCCTTATTTAGACAGTGAGACAGTTCTGTTACGAGAAGCAATTCAACGAATTGCCATGGCTTGTATTTGTTCTAGAACGTACTACGCTCTTTCGATAACATGTGGCCCCTATTCAGCACAATATATACGCATTTTAGTTATTCTTAACAATGACCTAGATCTAAAACTGGCCGCGGATGTAACCCCCCCCCCCCCCCCCCCCCCATTCGTCGCAAAGAAATATTCGATAAAATTCTTTGACACAGAATGATAAACTAATTTCTTCTTGAGATATGTTTGGGGTGAAATTTCAAACATCATTTCCTGGTAACTCTCTTCTTTTTTAATGCATGCTCTATTCTTACGATTTAGGCATAATTTACTATGTTGATTTGCAATTGATAATCTCCCTGGGAGTTTTGCGATATCCCCGATGATACGGGTACAGTGTATTTAATTTTGTTCGTAACATTAGTGTTTTGCAAAGAAAGAACATTCTGAAAATGAGCGTCTTCCTTCTAACGAAACATATTGATGATGTTCCCGACAATACGGATATCATTTGCTTAAAAAATCGTAATACAGATAAAACGCTTTTTAAATCCAATTCAAGGAGAAACTATGACATTCTTGATTAAGTATCATTTTTAACATCACGGATTTTAAAATACGTTCTCTAATTTTAAGAAGATTCAAAGGATCTATGTATTGAAATAACAGACGGATGATATAATTATATGATTTATAATGATCATACGACAGAACTGTTTACAAGATGCAACAAAAATTGTTTAAAAAAAAAACAAGAAAATCGAAACATGCGATAACATCGCTATAAGGAAATATAAAATTACAATTAAAGTGTCAAAACATGCACGAGGAAAACAATGTCAGAGAGAGTGGGGTAAGTATAAAATAAATTTGTTTTTTTTTAACAAATCAATTTGTATTAAAGTATATTGAACACAATCATGAACAGAACAGGAGGAGATGAAAAAATGAACAATCATGCCAACGTTAACGCCTACAGAACTCCGATTTTGAGAGGAAAATAAACAAACATTGTAACCAATGTCATGTACGTAAAATAATATTAAAACAAATCAGTAGCCAAAGTAATGCTTTTCAGAGTCAAATCTCGCAAGACGAGAGCGACACACAAGCGGGCACTACATGAATAACTAATGCGCCGGACCGGGCGCGAAAGGGCGCGAAAGCTATTCAAAGTTTAAGCTCCCATTCACAAATGTCAAGTGCTTCACCGGGGCGCGCCCTGGCGGGGTAATTTCGTAACAATGAGACTCCAAACAATAGCCAGATTTTAATGAGCTGGCAACCAACTGAAGTCCTCTCCTATCCGACGCAAAAAGGCGCTAATGGGCGCATAAAGGCGCCTCCTTTGTTCTCATATCCTGCTCTGCGCCCCGACGCGTCGCGGCACAGTCGCAACTTTGGAAGGCTCCCCTTATACACTTTCTAAACACACGTACTTGCTCCTTCTAAACACCTGCCTAGTAAGGGGCAAACCCTAGCAACACTGGCAAACCAACTCCCCTCCCCCCCCCCCCCCCCCTTCCCTTGAAAAAAAACACAAAAACACAAAAATAGTATTGGTTATTCTCATTAATAATGCCATCAAAACAACACCCCAACAATAAATCTAAAATAGTTTTAAAATAATCAAAGATGTTTATTTCCATAGGGTTTTATATTCCTAATGTCAACCTGTCCCAGAAATTGACAACATAAGAAACTTTTCTTAATGAAAACAAATTGTGCAATTCTATGCAACTACATATTACATCTACCTTGCTATGAGTCTATCTACCACTATTTGCTACTTGCCAAGTACCTCAAATACATGTAGATACCAGTGTAAATATAAATCACTTTCTTTAATGGCTCTCAGCAATATGACAGGAAACAAGTGATATCCTATAATGCTTATTTTGTAAAAACAAACGTTTTCTGAATCATATATTATCCTGTCTTTTAAAAATCATATGAACCAAATCTAGAAGCCATCTACTAATTTTTGACAATTCATCACCAACCCCAAGGGAAGAAAAGTTGTCCTCATTTTCTTGTTGCCGTGTACTGTATAAACCTGCTCCAATTCTTGGAAGTTAGGGAAAAGTGTCGACTCTGTTTGTTTGTTTCAATTTTTGTTTCAGTCTATCAAATATCTGTATTATTTATTTTAATAACCATTATTAGAAAAGGGGTGAATTATTTGAACACAACTCTCTCAATGCATCATTCGTGTTACTCAGGTGATGGTCTTTTATCATACGTACGTCAACGTGCCATACCATACCCTTGTAAAGTAAGTCATATACATAGCATACCAAGTGAACAACTAGGTCTTTCTATATAAAGGGAAAATGTGTTTAAAAATATGCGTAATTTTTTACTTATAATGGTCTACCACAGAGCAATGGCTCAGTGGTAAAGCAGTAGTATCATTATTGGGATGTCCTGGGTTCAAAACCAAGTCAAAACACTAGTTCCCTTTGGTAAGACACTTATCCTCATTTATTAGGCCCTCGGAGATGGTTTAGAACCATTGGTCCCCTGGTTGCTTACTTACTCACACACACACATTCTTTTTAGCAGTCAGTTAAAAACAACCATCAAACCAAACCAGTTAGCAGTGGATCATTTCTGAGCCGGTAATTCCTTGTGTTTTGTTGCAGCATCTCTGAGCAGCGTGTAGCATCAGTAGTATTCAATGCTCCAGGAGATTGGATTGCGTTTGGCTGTCTTGGTTTAGGACAGTTGTTGGTATGGGAGTGGCAAAGTGAGAGCTATGTTCTGAAGCAGCAGGGGCATTTCAACAATATGACATGTGTAGACTACTCTAGAGACGGCATGCTGATTGCTACAGGTGCTGAAGATGGCAAGGTAGGAACCTCTTAGTTGGGGAGCAATGCAAGCCAGGCTGTTAGTGTCTGCCTACAATTATCAATTTATTGCTCCAATTATCTACCAGTACTTAATTTGTATATATGTAGATATTTTATCTAACATTGTTTTTATTCACACATTGCATTTATTGCACATCAGTATGTAGTTACTCTCCAAATTTAAGGCAATAAATTATATATAATATTAGCATAGATTTTGGGAGTTTTTGGACGCTGTAAACAATTTTACTGCTGCCTTTTAAAACCCGCTCTTGTGGGAAACAGCCAGGACCAGCCACAAAGCTGTGTCCCGCAGGGTTCATACATGTATGTAGAGAAATGCTGTATTTGTTCTATTATTGATTATTTCACATTCACGACATTGAAAAGTAAAATATAACAAAATAATCATCTTTTATTTTATAACAGGTCAAAATATGGAATCTATCCAGTGGATTTTGTTTTGTGACATTCAGCGAGCACAGTGGAGGCGTGAGTGGTGTGTGTTTTAATGAGGCTGGTAAAGTGGTGGTTTCTGCTTCATTAGATGGTACCGTCAGAGCATTCGACCTTCACAGGTGAGTCATTCTCATTGTAAGCTCCATTATACCATGTACCTACTGGGTTTGTTGTAATGGTTTCTGCTTCATTAGATGGTACCGTCATTCCCATGGTATGCTCATTATACCATGTACCTACTGGGTTTGTTGTGGTGGTTTCTGCTTCATTAGATGGTACCATCAGAGCATTTGACCTTCACAGGTGAGTCATTCACATGGTATGCTCATTATACCATGTACCTACTGGGTTTGTTTCAATACATCAGTATTAATGTTATAGATAGCTTGGTATTTTTACAACTTTTTATGCGTCCGTTACGAAGTAGCCAGAGGCATTATGTTTTCGGGTTGTCCGTCCGTCCCGTTCTTGTGATCGCGTTATCTCGAGAACCGACAGATGGATTCTTACCAAACTTTGGTCATGTATGTAACTTACAGAGCCAATGAACTGATTAGATTTTGGGGTCATGAGGTCAAAGGTCACGGGGCTCATTATGTATGCAAAAATAGCTTGTGACCGTGTTATCACAAGAACTGATTGATGGATTCCCGCCAAACTAAGGACATGTATGTATCTTGCTGAGGCAATGAACTGATTAGATTTTGGGGGTCAAGGTCAAAGGTCATGGGGCTCATTATGTATGCAAAAATAGCTTGTGATCGCATTATCATTAGAACCGATGGATTGATTACCATCAAACTCAAGACATGTATGTATCTTGCAGAGCCAATGAACTGAGTAGATTTTGGGGTCTTGAGGTCAAAGATCAAAGTGTCATACATGTATATGAGAAATAGCTTGTAATCATGATATTCTGAGAACCTGTTAATGGATTACATTCAAACTTCAATTTGAAAATTTCTTCTGTTATGGTTTGTAAAATTGCTCTGACGGAGGCATCATTTTCGACTGCATGCAGTCAAAGTTCCATCTAGTTTCTGTGGGTATAGTTGATCTTTCTTTATGTGTATTTCAAGTAAAATGCCGGATTTAGTGTGCAAGGTTAATCTGTTTTGTAAAACCTCATTTACCATCCTTCTCTGGGAATGTTGATCTGTACCATTGCAGGTATCGGAACTTTCGGACATTTACATCTCCACAGCCAGTGCAGTTCTCCTGTTTAGCTCTTGATGCTAGTGGTGAAATTGTATGTGCTGCAGGTCTAGATGTGTTTGAGATCTTTATGTGGTCAATGCAGACGGGAAGATTACTTGAGGTAAGTCTTTCAATGAACATCTACTGAATCCAGTTGGTTACAGATTAAATGCGACCGGCACCACAAAACTACAAAAAATTAAAGTTACCAGAAAAGATATTTTTGTTGAGATTTACAGATTGTCCTTAATTTTGGCACACAAATTAAGCACATTGTGTTCTATATTTTGTCCAGGTATCAATATAAAAGCCTACCCTTTTTTAAAGCCATAGGAGATCAAAATGAGCCAGTAGCCAGGGTCATTAAGAAATTCAAGCTACTACAGAAACCTCAAAATCAAACCAACGTGTAGGTCTGTAGATCTACCCAATAATTCATATTCATCTCTTAAATGATGCATTCCGACTTCCTGTGTAGGGAAAGAACAGTGTTGGAGAACCAGACAAGGGCATCATCTGATACAAGATAGAATTGCATGATATCACTTGGAAACATCTTTTAGTGTGTATATATGTGTCTCATGGTTTAGTGGATAAATCACTAGTAAACTTGTCAATTTCCGAATCTCAGTTACCACATTTGTTTTTCCTTTGGCAGAGTTATTGTATATATATAGATTGCCACGTCTTGTAGTTGTACAAGAGGAAATAGGAGACAATAATTTCTTTTTCAATTAGTGAGTGCCAAATATACTCACCTATAGATATGAGCAGTGCAAATATGCTTCATATGGAATTGAGATATCCAATTGACTAAACAAAAGGTTGTATACATGTAGTTCTTAATACTTCTTAATTACTCAATACGTTCCAGTGTATATGTTGATGTTATCATATTGCAGAATGAAAAAATATACATTATAGATTTGTTTCTTCTACAGGTCCTCTCAGGTCACGAAGCTCCAGTTTCTGGTCTAAGTTTTGGTCCAAGTGGCTCTCAGCTAGCCAGCTCTTCCTGGGATAAGTCTGTTAGACTATGGGATGTCTTTGGGCGCTCAGGATCTAGAGAGGCACTCAGGCTCTCATCAGATGGTAAGGCTCTGTTTCGCCCAACAGAAAAAACGTGGTCACTCAAATAAATATCAATGAATAAAGCAATTGTTCTATTTATCTTTAAAAATTGTTACTTATGACATTCAATATTTTATAAATTGAGCAAATGAAGTTGTTTTTGCAATCTACTCATCTAAAATTGTGAAATACTTGTATGAGTACATGTATGAGATGAGGGCAGGGGCATAGGCCATGACTGCAAAACATTACATTTGCACACACTTCTAAATATCATATAATTGCTGTTTATAAAATTGCTTAATATATTATACCGATTTTTAAAGAACATTTTAAAAATGCAGTTTGTGAGTCCAATAATGTGTGGCCCATTTTGACTGGAAGTTCATGTGACTGCAAAATAGAGCACCACTTATGTTGGCTCGTTTTCTCTATATTTGGTAGGAAGAAATGACTGAGAGGCTAATTGGCCACTGCACAATTTTTAATTCAGGGTAAACATTTTTCCCACTTTATTACCCCTTTTCAGTTAAACCTGTGAACTATTGAATTCTCTCCTTCCCATAGACTTGTTACAAGAACCACCATGTTCCAGTTAGTAATGAGTTAATCTCTTTTCCTGCTTGTAGGTATGTGCGTCACAATGAGCCCTAGTGGGGAGGAGCTGGCAGTAGCTACTCTTGACTACCAGATAACATTCTGGAATGTACAGACTGCTGTTCAGACTGGTTCTATTGAAGGCAAGCAAGATCTGGGCAGTGGTCGCAGGAGTGATGACATGGTCACTGCAAAGACATCTTCTGCTGCAAAGTAAGCACATTCTTTCGGAGTCCCAATCCCAAGATCTTACACAAGTTCTTTAATGACCTATAGACTTAGATGAGACTTCAGAATGAGATAGAAGTTGCAGACCTAGAATGTGAGAAAAAAGGGAAATAAAAAAAAGGGAAATGATAAAAGTGTCAAATTTGTGCCTATTTTTTTCTTTGATATTTTAAATCTTCAGTGTTTTATGTCGAAATTCCCTGGGAAAAGGTAGAAGGTAAAAATAAAAGTTTTGTTCTTATTTATTCATTTTGTTATTACTTATTATAATCATTTATTATTATTATTTATTTATCTATTTATTATTTTTTGTTGGAGGGGGCGACTAGATTGATTTTTCAGGCAGTGGGCAAGACTTAATCTTTTGAAGAACTAGATCACGCTATTACCTACATCCTTGTGCACCTTTAACGCATGGCTTGTTCAGATATGACGTGACAAAGCAATAGTGTTTTTTTTAAACAAAAAACGTTAATTATAATATGCTTCATGTTTCTGTATCTTCGAACACAGAGCACTTAAAAAAAAACTGTGGCCACTTTCTATCTGAATGAGTTTTTATTCAGTAAACCTTCCTAGTCATTATATACACTGTATGTTTCTTTTCACCAATTTATATGGGCTAAATAAGCTGATGTCACCTTGGATCCATGTAAAAAAAGCCTAGTTATAAGATTTTCCCTTTCTTATCACTGAAACTTTGGGTGCCTTTTCATAAAAGAGCGTGATGAATGGAAGATTATAAAACAAAATATCTACACATACATTGAATTTATATTGAAAATATAATAATTATTTTTTGCTTTATAGCCTCTCTTAACCCTTTCATTACTGAACCATCCAAGACCACATAAATGATGCACTGTAACTGAAAAAGTAGGGGATTTTAGGCGATTAAATGTTGTGTGTGCTATCTTAGAATGTTCCTCTTTTTGAGTCTGCATTGAATACAATGTGTTATTGAGGAAAGTCTTTTTGTAAGATAGAGAGTCGTTCCTGAACTAAGTAAAATCAGTTCAAAAAAGCTGCATGTGCATGATACTTTCTGACATGTTAATCTGTGATGTGTGAAGGTTACACATTTCACAAAGATATTGTGAGAGAATCTGAGGATTTTAGAGGAGGGATTCATGATAAATTTGCAAAGTGCATCAACATTTTCAGACTCAAATAGTACAAGATCTGATCCAAGTTTTTGAATGCAAAGAGGGGATGTGAGTGAACTCGGCCTGAAACAAGCCGATTTGAGTTTTGTTGCTAACTTATCTTCAAAAGGCCAAATATTCCAAAGCAGTATAATACAGTATAATTAAATGTTACGAATATGTGTTTTAATTGTCTGCTACTTCTTCTCATCTTGTTTTTCAATATGATGGCAGGTCTTTCACCACATTGTGTTACTCTGCCGATGGGTCTTACATCTTAGCAGCCGGACGCTCCAAATACATCTGTATCTATCACATTCAAGAACAACTTCTAGTGAAGAAGTTTGAAATCTCCTGCAACATGTCTCTAGACGCTATGGAGGTAAGAATCTTTGGCTTTTCAGTGCTTTTCAAAATCAAGAGAGAGAAAAAATCTTGGCTGGATATAAATTTTCTGTGACATTTGAGAGGGAGGATCTTTTCATTATAGGCCCAACCTCTTTCCAAGTATTGGTAAACATGCTTATGATTTCATGTTGTACTTTATGACTCTTTTACCCTGAAATTTGTTGGCAAATTTTGATACCATGTTTGTCAAAATCGGATATGAATGTCAGGTGTTACATACCAATTGGTATGTGCATGTCATAAAAATGTGCTATACTTGCATATACATGTACAGGCAGAAATATGAATAAAGACTCAGACATATTTGTTCATAAATAGAAGATGTGTATTGATATCAGATTGTTGGGTTCTTGTATAGCACTTGTGTTTGTCATACATGATACTCCACTACCATACATGGCACTTGACTGTTATTACCTCGGCTCTAGCATGGCTGCTATTTTAACGCTCTCTCATTTGAAGGATCAATTTCCTTTTAAGTAACAATTTACTTCACTCGGGTGGAGAGTGGCATATATGTAGATAATGTCTTGCCAATGGACCTTAGTGTGGTGACGGGAATCGAACCCTGTTGCGTGTGTTTCATAGTCGAGGGAATTATCCATTAAAGCACGACACCTCTTTGTGTTTTTCAAAGCAATTTTGGGAATTCTAGAACAAAAGAATACATTGAAAGTAGACAATACAATACAAAATTAATTGTTTTTCAAAAAAAGAAATACACATACATTATAGAATGAAATGATGAATTTCAACCCAATATTGCATGAAAACATTTTGAGGTGAAGCTAAGGGATGTATTAGGTGAAGTCTTGTTATTAGGGCAAGGGTTAGAATTTTCATCCCTGGAACATAAGTGAATTTGAAAAGTAGCACACAAGTTTGAGTAATATAAAGATCTCTTTAATACCTGTATATTTCTATGATTAACATGAATTTTCAGAAATATTGGTCACAGTAGGGTGATCATAGCTGCAGGATCTATTCAAATGTAAATCAATGTTCCAAGGGGAGAGATCAGTGATGGAGAAAAAAGAAATTGTCAAGTATGCTAGTTAAGGCTGTGCACAACAGTGTAATGAGGTACCGAGTACACTCCCAGGCTTACAAGCGAATACTCGAATGCCATGTTTTTATGCCTCCGCTACAAAGTAGCCGGAGGCATTATGTTTTCTGGTTGTCCGTCCGTCCGTACGTCCGTCCGTACGTACGTCCGTCCGTACGTCCGTACGTCCCGTTCTCGTGATCGCGTTATCTCAAGAACCAATTGATGGATTCTCTCTAAACTTGGATCATGTATGTATCTTGCAGAGCCAATGAACTGATTAGATTTTGGGGTCACGAGGTCGAAGGTCAAAGGTCACAGGGCTCATTATGTATTCAAAAATAGCTTGTGATCGCAATATCTCAAGAACCGATCAATGGATTCCTGCCAAACTTGGGTCATATATGTATCTAACAGAGCCAATGAACTGATTAGATTTTGGGGTCACGAGGTCGGAGGTCAAAGGTCACAGGGCTCATTATGTATACAAAAATAGCTTGTGATCGCGTTATCTCAAGAACCGATCGATGGATTCGTGCCAAACTTGGGTCATGTATGTATCTAACAGAGCCAATGGACTGATTAGATTTTGGGGTCACGAGGTCGAAGGTCACAGGGCTCATTATGTCTACAAAAATAGCTTGTGATCGCGTTATCTCAAGAACCGGTCAATGGATTCCTGCCAAACTTGGGTCATGTATGTATCTAACAGAGCCAATGAACTGATTATATTTTGGGGTCATGAGGTCAAAGGTCACAGGGCTCATTATGTATGCACAAATAGCTTGTGATCGCATTATAATGAGAACCAATAGACAGATTACTATCAAACTCAAGACATGTATATATGTATCTTGCAGAGCCAATTAACTGATTAGATTTTAGGGTCATCAGGTCAAAGGTCATGGGGCTCATTATGTATGACTATAAATAGCTTGTGAATGCATTATTATTAAAACCGACAGATGGATTACAATCAAACTTGAATTTTAAAAATTGCTTCCGTTTTGGTTTGTAAAGTTGCTCTATGGCGGAGGCATCATTTTTGACTGCGCGCAGTAAAAATTCCATCTAGTTTCATAATTTTTTTCATAATTTTTTTGATATTTTTTTTGAATTTTTTAGATTTTTGTTTGGATTTTTTTTTGGATTTTTTTTTTTGCCACCACCATTCCTTTGGAGCAGTATACCAGTTCTGTCGCCGAAAACGCCTGCAATTTTACTTCGAGTTGCAGTTGAAGGCACCGATTTAATAATAATAATAACAGTAAACGATGCTGTTTTAAAAACCAAAGATGGCAGAATAATCAATTTTCCTACAAGTCCAAACAGAAATCCAGACATTTGGTCCCAGTTTTTGAGTGGTGAGTTTGACAGTGCTTGAGTTGGGAAACATTTTTACCAACGGCACCATGCCAGCAGCCGCCGCTCACCCAGGCACGGGTAAGCGTGGGCCTCGACAGATTTTTTTTTTTTTTTTTTTTGTGGCCGAATATTCGGGTACAAGAAATTGTACCCGAGTAGTTGTCAACCGTGCAGGTACTCAAGCATTCGACTACACATCGCAGCCCTAATGCTAGTCAATCCCAATGGTCAACTTTTAGTCATTGATATTTAAAAAAACAAAAGTTTATGTTTTTAGCTAGTCTAAGTGAGCTATTGCCATCTCTTTTTGGCAATTGGCAATTGTCCGTCGTCTGTAAACTTTTTACATTTTCAACTTCCCTCTCAAAAAATGCATTGCTGGATTTTAACCAAACTTAGTAGGAATTATCCTTAGGGTTAAGTTGTTCAAATGGGGTACGTAGCCCTAAGGGGTCCTAGAGACAGCGCCGTAGTTCCTCAGTGGCAGTAATTGCAAATTTTCTTCATATTCTTGAAACCCATAGCTGGATTTGAACCAAAATTTGTAGGAATCAGAAGGAGTGGAGATCTAAAGTTATTTAAATGGGGTATATACCCCCAATGGCAAGAATAATCCTTTTTTTTTTTAATTCAAAATTAATGTAAAGATTTTGACTGAACTTGATATGCCCTCTGGCTTACATTTCCTTTTCAAAATGCAATCTCGGATTTTCAACAAACTTGGTAGGAATCATCCTGGCCAAGCATGATCTAAAGTTGTTCAAATGGGATATAACCCCCCCCCCCCCCCCCCACATGGGTGCTCAGGACAGCCTTCAATATCCACGATTCATACAACAATTGGAGCACAGCAAACCTAAAATGTGCACACATGAATCTAGAAAACTGTAGAAAAATGGTTTAGAAATTGTTCCATTTGAATCAAGGATACCTCTTCAAAATGGCTAGTTACCCTCATTTTCTATTTCATATTCTATTGGATCATGTAATGTAGATATGATTTCATATCAAAATGTTGATATGGATTCTGGCTAAACAAATGTAGGGAACATATTTATGTGAAGGAGACCTTAATTGATTTGAATGTGATACCTGCCCCTGCAGGGAATGTGGGAGCAGCACTCCTAAATTGCCATACTGTTCCTCTTACAAAGGGGATAGGAGCTAGGTACCTTATTGCGAGGCCTCTATTATCATCAGCTCAAGTGAGCGTAAGGCCCGTGGATGTCTTCTTATTGTGTACTCACATTTTTAAAAGTGGTTTTTCAATTTTCATGAATCTTTTACACAAGCATAACTGGGTAAAACAATGTGATATGAATTTCAGATTAAAGGTCAAAGTCAGTAGTTCAGTTAAGGTCAATTAATTATGTTTGAAAAACATAACCTAAGGTAATCTTTGACATTTTACTCTCATTTTAGAAGTATTTAAAAAGTAGAAGCAACTCACGGAAAAAGTAAGATTTACAATGTATTTGCAGCAGGCAATTAATAATGTGGTATTATGGTGAGCTAACTTTATCATTTGCATGTGATTTGCATAAATGATAGCCTCAAAGGACATGATCTGGGCAAGATGGACTTTACATGAATGAAGTTTACGCTGTTGTTGATTTCTTCCCAGGAGGCAATATATGTTAAAGGGCTTTTTGTCAATGTCACTGAGGCTTTAGGTAGAAGTACCCCATCTCTGTTCTCAAAGTGTACAATGTTCATTTGTACTGAATAAAAGTATCAGGAATTGCTACAAATATGATAGATAGGATGTAGTGGACATATTGCATTTATTCAGAAGTGGTGTTGAGTTTGATTTGTAAAATATTGCTCCTGTAATATGGATATTCTAAGCAATGACAAGCATATTGTCGGCAGTTTCCATGCGAAGTATGACATGATGCCCTGGCATCAAACTTTATGGAAGTAACCTTAGAGGAGAAGTCCACCCTGATAGTTAGTAGGTTTGAATAAAAGCAGAAATGCAAGAGAAATAGATCATTAAAAGTTGGAGCAAAATTTGTTAGAAATAAGAAAGCTATTAATTTTTTAAGTTGTAATCATTCAAACATAAATTGGCAATGCTGTGACATATTTTGTTAGGACCTTTTCCATTGCTGTGTAGAGAAAGTTGAGTAATTTCCATTTTGTTAGTTGTTGATGTACGTATATACATGTATATGTAGGAACATATATTTTCATACAGGGGTTGTGAAAAAACATTGAATTGTTATATCTAGGGGGCATGTGCAGTGCATGATGAAATAATCTGTACAGAATAAATAGAATTTTTGATTTTTGTAAAAAGAGAGCAAATGGAAGAGGACCTCGCAAGATACATTACAAAGGTACAAAATTGTGTCTGCTTGATTCAGACTTCAAAACTTAACTTCTTTTTTTGTTTTTGATTTTGCTCAAAGTTTTCATTGATCTATTTCACTAATTTTTCTGCTTTTATTAAACCAACTTCATATTAGGATTGGTGTCCCCTTACAAGCCTTGCACACAGCAAAACTATATGATCAAAAGTTTGTTTATAAACTACGGTAGATAAACATCAACTAATGAGATATATTACAAGTTAAAAATGTTAAATATGAAAGTTATAAGCTTACAAAAATGATACTTACATGTAACTATACGTGTAGAACATACATGTACTTACAATTCATCATTGATACTACTCCCTTAATACATGAAATCGTCCGTTGTTCGTTGTTCATCCACAATTTCAAAATGCTTCTCCTTCATTTTTTTCTCATCCAAATTTGATTCTGTTTGCTTTATATGATAGGGCTAGGTGAGGGAATGGAAACTTCTACAAAAAATTGTTAAATTCAGTAATTATTCTATTTTATGCAAATTTTGTCAAATTCACAAAAAAAATATTTTGATTTTTGTCTTCTTCTTTATCTTGTAAAGCTAAGGAAGATACACAGAACTTCTGAACAGAATAATATTAACATTTTGTATCAAACACGACTTTCATAAATTTATGCAAATTTATTCACCTAATAACAAGGAAATACAAAAAAAGCTTTTTCTCCATCATTTATTGACCGATTTTGATTTAGTTTGTTTCTTTGATAGGGCTAAATTTATAGATATATAGAAATTCTACACAGGATGTTGAAATTTTTTCTCAAATATTGATTATGATAATTAATACAGATTTATTAATAATTTCAACAGATTCTTCGTCTCCTTCATTTATTGCCTTATTTTGATCTGTTTGTTTCAGTGTGTAGAGCTAAGTGAGATACACAGAATTGTACAGGGAATTTTGACATGTTGCGTCAAAAATTAGTTGTGATAATTTATGAAAATGCATTAATTTGTAATGCTTACTTCTTCCAAATTACCCAACCAATTTAATAGAGAAATGAAAATCATGGCAATTGCTATAGCAGGATGCAGGATGAGCACTACATGTACGCCATTGACATTCTCGTTCTTTTTTTTAGCAACAATGATATGTTTTTTTTAAGTTCAAGTATATTGATGATAAAAAGAAGAAGAAAAGAAAGAGAGCAAAGGTATGTTAGTTTTTTTAGAAATGACGTAATGATGTATCCTCTGCTCAGAGCCAGAACGGTGTTCACTCATTTAACATTTGATACAGGGTTCATGTCTTTCTGGCTGACAACAGACAATATAACTTATTATAGACCTATATTAAAGATAAAGTTGAGTTCTGGTCATGCGATTGCATTGTGAAAGAAAAGGTGTGGAATGGATCAGGAAAAAAAGTTGATCATGTAGCATGTAAGTATTGGTGTGTACTGCAAGGTTCTGGAGTCATCAAAATCATAATAAATTTGGCCTGGTCTTGGTAAAGTAACAAGCACTGTACACAGAAAGATGTATATGGGACTACACAAATGGTGTCGGGGCCCCACACCTTGATTTTCTTATCTTTCTATGCTCATTACTCAGCAATTAAACATTTTCTACCAAAATTGTTTGGCAAATGACATTTATTTGTAATCTTGAACATTCAGTGTAAGTTTCGTTTGATTCTGTGAGAATTTCTTTTCTTTTTTTACTAGAACTCAAGTTTATCTCTTTAATTTGGCGGGTTTAATCTTTAGTTTAAGTACATGAAGCAAGTGGGATATCAGAATGGAAAATAAAGAAAATATTCTTGTATTGTTCCACCTGTATATGCTTCATCTTGGATTTGATGAATTTTCATGTAATAACCTGAAGAATCCCAAATGGATGTCGATGTTGTCCCTGTCAAAGCGTAAATGCAGGGGTTATAGAGGTTGGTACAAATCTGTGCACACATACATGTAGCTGTTTGATGGTGTAACATTGTACATGGCAATAAATAACCTTTTTGAGAATGTCAACTATTTATCACCTCTTGTTTATGTGTGCATAATTCACTTGTAAACAGTGCAAAGAAAGTTCACTGCAGCTTGGTAGTGCTTGTATCTACAGCTGTGGTAATAATGTTCAAAGTCCTCTGGAGGTGCATAGAGATGGTGTATCAGATTCATAATGTGAAACATGAATGTGCTGCACTACAATGGAATATTGTTATTAATAGTATCTCGCTATTCAAAGAAGTCTGATAAAGTCTGTTGGACCCTAACAAAATCAGAGCTCAAAGTGTGTGACGTCTAAGTATTTCATTAAAATTGATCAAAATTTGATGGATAAAGCAGATTCTGACAATTACAACAAACCTGTGATCATGTGTATAAGAATCCATTTTCACTTTTGTCCATCCATCTACTATTCTTGGCTGCATTATCAAATGAACAAATGAAATGAACTTTAATTCAATTTAATTCAGTTCAAATATATACTGGTAACCAAATGCTTCAAATCCTAACCCATACTAGGGCATTTTGCTTTCTTGTTTCTGTTTGAATGCCAATTAAAGCAATATTTTACCCTAATGTTAAACCCTTACCGACTGATATTGCATTGAAATTGGCCTTGGCTTCATCATTTTGTTTGTCCAGTTTAAAAGTACAATATGAACGAAGAGCTTCAGAGCTGAGCTCCTATATAATTACATGACTTGCCATTTGATGAACCTTAATTGTACTTTGCCATGCGGTAAAAAAAAGAGGACATTGTAATTGAGAGGAGGACTATAAAATGAGAGAGTAGAATCGCAGACTTGAATTTTACTTGAATAGACCAAGGATGCCTTTGTCAATCAATCAATGTCCATGGTAATAAATCAGCAAGTGGAATCAGTTCTTCCTCTTCTTCTTCTTTGAGGGGGAAAAGCAGCAAATGTGTATTTCCTTTATCACAATAATCACAATAATGCAAAAAACAACAACATGGTATAAAATACTGAGGCTTACAATGTAAAGAGGTATGATAGCTAAGTGGTTGAGCAGTGGTCTCAAACTGTCCTGGGTTTGAAAACAAATTGACATCGTAGTGCCCATGTTATGCCTCTGCACACCAAAGGTGGTGCTGGAAGCATTATAATCTGGGGTTGTCCATCTGTCTGATGAGCTATGAACTTCAAACAACGCATTACTGTTTATCACCTTTAGATTTTAGTTTTAAAAGGTCAAATGTCAAATGCCAGCAAGTCAATTGACATGAAATTTTTTTAAAAATTAACCTTGTTATTGTCAAATCAATGACTTTTTAAAGCTATTTTAGGTGTGAAGCTAAAACCTGTAACTATAAACATGTAGTATGCATCACAGTAGAGAGACAAGTGATGACATGTGTTCGCAAAGTTGTGATTACAAATAAAAGAATATTATTATTATTGTGAATGTTGTTTTATTTTGTTGTGGGATGGTGCTCTCACTGCAGTAATTCTATCAAAATCGTTTACAGCAACCCAGTGGTGACTGTGACGTATCTAGGTATAATGGCGCTTGTGGAAAACAATGAAAGTGCAGTTTATTTTTTGCCTTAAAAAACACAATTTCCTATGAACTTTCCCCATTATAAAATTTGCATGGGGGCACTGAAGTCATGGGCATACATGTATTTTCATTTCAGGGGGGGGGGGGGGGAGGAGGCTTTTAAACCCAAGCAATTTAAAACCTTTTTTCACTCTGCATGTATGTATAGCCTGTTTGTTTACATCATGTTATTCCAAGAATAATTCAAGCCGTGAACTTAACCAAATATAGGTGGGGGCATATTGGAGACACATTCACATTTGTCTTGTACCAAGTTCCCTAGATGACTAGCAATCACATTTTCTAAAGACTTAAAGATCTATATATAGATAGGATGCATGTATAATGTGGTTTAAAGGGGGCTTTATATTTTGTTTCCCTCTCTCTCTCTCTCTCTCTCTCTCTCTCTCTCTCTTATGATTACATACTTAATTAAGAATGAATACTCTCCAAGTATTTTTTGTACATTCCATCCCTTGCAGGAGTTCTTGAGTAGGCGGAACTTAACAGACTTTGGAAACTCTGCACTGATCGATATGAATGTGGGCGAAGATGGTCAGCAGATGGCCATATCACTTCCTGGGGTCACCAAAGGAGACATGAGTTCTAGGTCCTTTAAGCCAGAGGTCAATGTTTCCTGTGTCAGATTCTCAGCTACAGGTACGTCTTTTGATTTTGATTTTGATTTATTTTCTTCTGCATTCATATAAGATTACAGTTTTTTCGATAACAATAATAATATAAAGTACAATAAGTATTTTTCTGACAATGAATCATAAATAAGCAAACATATATATATATATAAATTGTTATTTTCAAGAAAGAAATGATAAACCGACATAAATACTTAATTTCCTCAAACATAAAACATTTAAAATTATTTGCGGAAGAAGGACTGTCATTGTAAGCAAATTGCTTGATAATCTGACAGCCCCAGACAAAACTCATGAAAATAAATTAGCACATTTATTAAGCAGAAACGGATTTTGATGATGGTGATATTGACAATGCAGATGAGGATGATGATGATATTGAAGATGATGATGATGATGACGATGTAAGATTCAAAGCCTTAGGTATAACTATTCACTCATGTCAGGTACTCAGCCATAGGTAGGTCTATTCCAGACCTGCCAACCAGTATGATTTTGTCGATTGTTGATTTTAACCCTAAAAAAAAATTCTTCCTGTGGGTAGAAACTGTAAGAGGCATTAATCCGCGTAACAATCAGTGTTTATTTTCAAGAATACAACTTTTGTCAGTAAAATACAACTTTTGGGACTAAAGAATACAGTTTTTGAACTCCAGAGGTTGGCAGGTCTGCTATTCACACATGTCAGATACACAGCCATAGTTAGGTCCATTCACACATGTCAGATTCACAGCCATACATGTAGGTAAGTCTATTCACACATGTCAGATTCATAGCCATAGGTAGGTCTATTCACACATGTCAGATACTCGGCCATAGGTAGGTCTATTCACACATGTCAGATTCACAGCCATAGTTAGGTCTATTCACACATGTCAGATTCACAGCCATAGTTAGGTCTATTCACACATGTAAGATTCACAGCCATAGGTAGGTCTATTCATACATGTCAGATACTCGGCCATAGGTAGGTCTATTCACACATGTCAGATTCACAGCCATAGTTAGGTCTATTCACACATGTCAGATTAACAGCCATAGGTAGGTCTATTCACACATGTCAAATACTCAGCCATAGGTAGGTCTATTCACACATGTCAGATACTCAGCCATAGGTAGGTCTATTTACACATGTCAGATTGACAGCCATAGGTAGATCTATTCAAACATGTCAGATTCACAGCCATAGGTAGGTCTATTCACACATGTCAGATACTCAGCCATAGGTAGATCTCTTCACACATGTCAGATTCACAGCCATAGGTAGATCTCTTCACACATGTCAAATACTCAGCCATAGGTAGGTCTATTCACACATGTCAGATACTCAGCCATAGGTAGGTCTATTCACACATGTCAGATACTCGGCCATAGGTAGGTTTATTCACACATGTCAGATACTCGGCCATAGGTAGATCTATTCACACATGTCAGATACTCAGCCATAGGTAGATCTATTCACACATGTCAGATTCACAGCCATAGGTAGATCTCTTCACACATGTCAGATTCACAGCCATACAGTAGGTAGGTCTATTCACACATGTCAGATTCACAGCCATATAGTAGGTAGGTCTATTCACACATGTCAGATACTCAGCCATAGGTAGATCTCTTCACACATGTCAGATTCACAGCCATACAGTAGGTAGGTCTATTCACACATGTCAGATACTTGGCCATAGGTAGGTCTATTCACACATGTCAGATACTCGGCCATAGGTAGATCTATTCACACATGTCAGATACTCAGCCATAGGTAGATCTCTTCACACATGTCAGATTCACAGCCATACAGTAGGTAGGTCTATTCACACATGTCAGATACTTGGCCATAGGTAGGTCTATTCACACATGTCAGATACTCGGCCATAGGTAGATCTATTCACACATGTCAGATACTCAGCCATAGGTAGATCTCTTCACACATGTCAGATTCACAGCCATACAGTAGGTAGGTCTATTCACACATGTCAGATACTTGGCCATAGGTAGGTCTATTCACACATGTCAGATACTCGGCCATAGGTAGATCTATTCACACATGTCAGATACTCAGCCATAGGTATGTCTATTCACACATGTCAGATACTCGGCCATAGGTAGGTCTATTCACACATGTCAAAATCTGTTCAGATTCAAACAGTTTTTTGGGCTTCAATATTACACCATATCACAGACACTAATAACACGTAACAGCGTAGGGCAATCCAACTTCTGTAAAAAAAAAAAAAAAGCAGAAAAATCAAAGAATCTGAATGGAAAGTTAAGAAATATATCAGACCAATAATCAGGGAGATGTTTGAATTATAAGATCACTAAATTTATGTGAATCTCAGATTGACAATTTGGTTAGTGAATTGTGACATACTCATGGACTACTCTACCGTCTGTTGTGTACAACAATGTAATTGATTTATGTTTTTCTCATGTGCCTACTCTCCTTTGGAATACTACTAAACATATATCCTCCCTATTTTCACGAAGTGACGGTAGTGAGGAAAATCGTACGCAAAGTGAATGCAAATTTTTTTCACTACCGTCACTTCGTGAAAACAGCGACGATATTATGGATAGCATACTCTTAAAGGTACTATGTCCCATTTGCAGGCCAAAAAAATGAAATTGTTTAATTCCAACAGCATTTGAAAGATAATATTAATTTAGAACTTCCCTAAAAATAGGGGGGCTTGAAAATGTCTTTAAGTGGGAAAATAACAACTATTAGTTGTTTTTTCGACTTAAGAGCTATAGAGACAGTAAGTAATAGTCTGATTTTCAGACCATTGTACCGAATGGTCGTACGTTTTATGCTGCACAAATATTCAATCAGTTTAATTTTGTAAAGGGCTTTGTAAACAAATTATTAGTAGTATTAATGTTGATATTGATGTTATTATTACAACTATTTTTGTTATAGCATACATGTACTCTGATCCGTTACTATTTGACAGGTTCCCAGTGGGCAGCCACCACAACTGAAGGCCTGCTTGTATATTCTGTAGACAGTAGTTTAACCTTTGACCCCTTTGACCTGACCCTTGACCTCACTCCATCCGTTGTCTTTGATGCTTTGAAGCAAGAGGAGTGGTCCAAGGCGCTTATGATGGCCTTCAGACTCAATGAGAAAGCAGTAATACGACAGGTCATCGAAGCAATACCATGGCCACAAGGTGAGCAGGATTCTAGATGTACTTTTGTTAATTTTTCTTTTATTCATCTTTCTTTTTATATTTTCTTCTTTCTCTTTTTCCACCTGTCCTTATGTATAAACTTTTGTAGTGTTTTCCTTGATGTTTTTTTATAATAATAATAACATATTCATTAGTAAAGCACAATAACAATCTGGATATATTCTACTGCGCTGCAAGAGCTTGTAAATGCTGTGCTATACATACTACATGAACAAGTGAGTTTTCAGTCTTGATTTTTAAAAATTCTAGTGATGGGGCTTTCCTTATTTCCTTGGCATTGCCAACCAAAGGTGGTGCTGGAGGCGTTATGTTTTTTGGATTGTCCGTCCTACATGTACTTTCTCATTATCGCAGAACTTCAAACTTGGTTATTGTTTCATCAAATCTTTATTTCCAAAGTACATATTACCACAAGAACATGATCTAATTAGATTTGGGGTTAAGTAGGTCAAAGATCATAGAGGCTGAATTCCAAAATTGCAGGTTTTAGACTTGTTATCATAATATTCAAGAACCATTTGAGTTCGCCTTTATTTCCATTATTTGGCATTCTAATTAATATATTTTGGGCATATTTTTATCACTTTCGATGTTATGGTTTCACTATATAAGCATTTAAGAGTGTGATAGATAAAGAGTACCCATTGCAGCATGGATGCATTGTTTGAAGTTAATTAGTAAATATTATGATTTCATTCCTGACTACTATGCAGTCATCTTTAGTTTGTGTATTGTAATTAAGCACTCTGTCATTGATGCCCCATCATGACCACTTGAATAGCAGTGCAATTTCCTGTCTCCATGAAACAAGACACGTCTCCTGTGAACCTGCAGGTTAGAAGTCTTTGGAGACGGTTCTCGTTACCTTTCCTCCACATTAGGATGAAAAAGAAATTCAATTCATTCCTGTATCATAAAAGCCATTTATAATCATGCATGCATCACCTCAAAGAGAAAAAGGCATAATAAATTGTATTATTGAAAACCAAATATAATGCAATAGAAGTTTTATGTTCTTACTTTAAGGTATCATATAATTATAATGATAATGATAATTTATGATGATAATAATAATGATAACAATGATATTGGTTATTTTTATGGCGCACATATCCATTAAGCACGGTGATCGCAGTTTTCAAGAAAATTTGTCCTACCATTACCCTTTAAACACCTGGGTGGAGAGTGGCAAATGTTGATTAATGTCTAATTGTCAAAGAACACTAGTGCCCCTGCGGGACTCGAACCTTGAGTTATGTGATCCACAGTCCGAAGACATATCCCAGACCATGATATATTTACAAATATTATGTATCAGAGTAACTCTTGCTGCTGTAATTCAACATGTGATCATTAATGCACACACATGCACACCCACCAACACTCAACCCAACTCCACAGCCAAACCCCACAGCCCATACCTAGAAAAAAATTAACAGTGCAAACATTTTAAAGGGTTGAAACTTTTTTTTAAAGGAGTGAGAGATATATAGTTTGAGTTCAAATGATTCATACTAGAAAGAAAAATGAATTAAAGGCCCTCTCAGAAAAACAGTTTTAAAACTGAGAGAGTTTAACCCTGTTCAATTATAACTGATAAATGAAAATAAATGAACAAATAAAATGAATGAAAACTAAACAGAGGGGTAGTAAAAAGTTAGGGAAAGGGGAAAAACATAGGAAGAGCCAGGAAAAGTGATTTTCTTCCAGCTAGTTATGCACCAGCTTATTAGTTAAAAGGGAAAAAAAAGATAATTAAAATATCTTTTTTAATGGGGTCTTACATGGTTTACAAGGGTCTCATTTACTTGTCCTTCTTTAATTACTATCCTTATATCTATGAATCATGTCACAAAACCTTATCCTGAACAAAATTTGAATTTATAACACACTACTGCTACAAAATCAGATAGAGTGAGAGGAAAAAGAAGAGATAAAAGAAACATGTAGAAAGATTTTGAGTTTTGACATTGGAAGAGAATCTGAACCAAATCAATCTTGACATGAATGACCATACAAAGATTGGTTATCTTGAAAATTGAATCTTGATGTCATTACCTATGATCAATATTGCCATGTCTGGGCAGATAATTGAGACCATAAAACCACCTGTTTCAATCACCTGTTTCAATCAAGCATTCCAAAGTGATCAGTTCCAGCACCTAGTCAATTTGTAACTTTTATTGAAGAGGGAGATGATATGAAATGTTGCGATGGATAGTTTCTTACAGGTGAATAATTTCATGGTACAGTTCGGTTGATTGGATGCCTACTAACCTCTGCCATCAAGGCTCATTCAGATGCCTGCTAACCTCTGCCATCGAGGCTTATTAGGCGCGTCTTCATCATCTCGAGATTGCCAAATATCTCGAGATTGCCAAATAGCCCGCTATTTGGGAAATAATCCCGAAGAAACAAATCGCGTCTTCACTATCTTGAGATTCGACCTCGAAACTTGAAACTCGACCTTAAAAAATTAGCTCGAGATATTTTGCTCAGCGTTATCGTGTATTGCGAATCTTCGGTCTAGTGAAGACGCACGGGACAAATAGCTGGATATTTTGCCAAATAGTGGGATAATTTGCAAACTATCCCAAGATATCTTGGGATGACAATCCTGACCAAATATCCTTCTAATTGCTACTTCGGTCTGATGAAGACGCAAATTAGCTGGATAGTTTGCGATCGGGATAGTTCAAATAGCTGGATATTTGGCAATCTCGAGATAGTGAAGACGGGCCTATTCAGATATGATGCGGTAAACCATTGCACTAATTATTTTAGAAAACCTTCTTGTGTTTTTTATATGTAAATGAAAGGCAACTGCGTGCAACAAAGACCTTGTTCATATTCACTTTGCTCTACATGTATGTTATCAGATAGAGAAGTATATACACTTTACGTCATCATAAACAAAAAACTGCTGCCTTTTTTGTGTGTCATATCTGAACAAGGCAGGCTTGAGGTGCTTGTTAATCACATCCAACTACAGGATGGTGGATTGATGTTGAGCTTTGAAATTAAGTGACTGTATTCAAGGTCATTTGGTTCAGTTTGGAAGGAGGATCATAAGGTATGAATTGAAAGGACTTTAATAAGTGAACACTGTATTTCAGAAACCTCTCAGTGGACATACACGTCTTTGATGAGATTAGTACATAGTATTGTTGGCATGAGAATGTGTGTTTTGGCAGTGTGTTAACACTGTTTTCAAGTCTATTTTAAACTATATGTTACAGTGTGTGATTTTATGAAAATTCATTTTCTATCATTCTAATACACAGTCTTGGTCGGTGGTTATGGTGAATATAAATTGTTGTCATGCATCTAGTTCTAAATTCTAAGACCAATTGTCCTTATCTTTTGTCCACCCATCTGTCTGTTCGTATGAACATGGTTTGATAAAGGAACAACCTGGTTCCAGTAGTCTTTGGGTTGAGAAGAATCACAAGATTCATACCACAGGTACATCTCTTGAAAATATAGGTCAATGTGGATCAAGTTCAAAGGTCAATGCATTCCCTCTCAAAAGCACCATATTTTCATTAACTTTGTAGAATGAGGCGAGACCACTCGGGTCTCTGTACATGTAAGATGTCCTTGCATTGTGCTGGGACACAGTGCCTGGAGGCAAATCTTGTATTTTAAGCCTTACTATCTGTATGGATGACAACACAAATCAGGATTATGCATCCTGATTGCAAATCTCTTTTCATCATATGAAGGTACATACATACATGTATACGCTGTTCTCTTGTAGGAATTCTCTCTTTTTTGAGATTTTCATGTATGAATAGAAGTTTCCTTACCTGTGCATATATATATATATATGAATTTAGTAACTTCAGAAACAATTCATGTGGATGATATTCCTAATTGAACGGATTAGCAATGAAGAGATAGAGATGACAGGTAGATCCTTAATATTCATTGCTACGCGATTTCTCATTAATGCAAGCGTTCCAGAGTCGCCTTTCAAAGGGTTTTTTTTATATGCTTTTTTAATAATAGGAACTCTGCATATTAATTATGGATGAGTTGACTGTTGTCCATTTTTTTTTTACCAGTTATTTCTCAAAATGCTTCTGTGTCTCAGTTTTGTAGGATAGAACAGACATGAATAAACAGGAATTTTACTTTAAAAGCTTTTCTTTCTTTTTTAATCAGAAAATTAGGCATGTTCCATGTTTATTTTGGTTTTCTTCAGATGTTTCAGATGCAAGCATGAAAGGAATTTTATTTTTAATACTGAAAAAAAAAATCTTATATTCTTTTTCTTTATACTGGTTATTCAGCCTGAGATATGTATGTGTACATCTCTGTTTTATATATATATGCATACCTTGATGTATACCACTAAGAGATGATTACATAATGGGAAAGGGGGTTTACAAAATATTAAATCTTAATGGTAGTAGGTAGACCCAACAAAAAAAATCATATACAGTAATGTCAAAATATGATGACAAACAAACATGGCCAGTGTGTTTTCATTGCTTGCATAAATTAATGCACTTTTATGATTAAAGAGTACACTTGGATGCAAGTAAAGAATAAGAGAAACAAATTGGTGGAGAGTAATAAGAACTGGACAAGTGAAGTAAGAAAACATTATGAACTTCTTGCATCTATTTTTTAAACCCTTTTTGCTATTAAAGATAATGTGTAAAAAATTATGAACTCTTCAATAAGTGCAATATTACCGGTAGCTGCAATTGTAATTTATTTTAATTTGAGACCTCCAATGATCTGGGGAATTCTATGTGGTATCATGTTACATTTATCACATACAAGTTACCTTTAATATATTATGGAAAAACAAAGTTGTGCACAAAAAATTAATCACCTGAAAATGACAGCATTTACAGTATGCTCAATTTTGGTGTCAATATAATTTTATTAAAAATGTATCTCATCTATTTTTTTTTTTTTAAATATATGTACGGTACACACACAAAAGGATTAAAATGAAGAGGGTGCCAACTCAAAGAAGTTTGGGTACCAAAGAGTTGGAGGTTTCTCCATAATCCAGTACAAATTCTCTTATCAATAGCAGCAATTTGGAATTCAAATATGCATAATTTATATTGAATTTTCATTATCTGATTTTAGGGAATTTTCGCTCACTTGTCTGAATTCCTGCGCAATTCATATTAATAATTATTTCCCCTTTGTTTGGGTTTCGTTTGTTTTTGTTCTTCTGTTTGTTTGTTATTATTTTTTAATGATTTGATATTTGATGTGTTTGTTTTGCAGTGGATGTGATATGTAGCAGTATAGCAGATACATACGTAGAGAAGATGTTGTCCTATGTAGCAGAGCAGCTTACATCATCACCTCATCTTGAGTTCTATGTGTTATGGGCTGAGAGACTTCTTACCATCCATGGATCAAGACTCAAACTCAAACATTCATCTAACCATCATGCCATGCTTACAGCTCTACAGAAAGCACTCATCTCAAAGACTGATACCATAGGCAAAATGTAAGCAGTTTTTGTTTGTTCTTCATTTCAACAATAGACTATTATAAATGTAATGCTTCCTGGGAGAAATTTCAATTATTTAAACATATTTGTGGCTTTCACCCAGTAAATAAGATCGATTTGATTGATCTGTAATTGAAAAACAAGTCAGAAAAAATCTTTGAACCAGCTGCTGCCCGGTAAGCAGTAGATGGCAGGTTCAAGTCCCTCTGGTTTCAAGATTTTTTCTGACTTTTTTTTTTTTTCAATTACAGATCGATCAATCAATCTTATTTACTGGGTGTAAGCCACAAATATGTTTGAATAACAATAGACTAGTTTGAATTTTATTTCCTGTATGTTTCTTCCCTTCTTCTATTTACGTGTTATTATATATGGCATCTATTTGTGGTTCCAAGCATCAGGAAAATCTCTTTAGTCATTAAAAGCATCCTTTGTTTTGGAAGATGCATGAAATATGAATTGTCAATTGGTCTATTCAATGGATGATATAGATTGAAGTTATTATACCTCATTTGGCTGTCATTCTCGAACTCTTCACGTATGTATGAACACATCAATAGAACAGATGTTTTCCTCAGGACAGGTGATCATCTGAGTAGTTTGGGGAAGGGGATGAAGCATTAAAGGTCTTTATTTATCCAGTTGCTTGCAATTTTCCAATACCTGTCTATCAGAATTAATGAAATCTTTGAAGCATTCTTGTTTTGTGAGATGATACATGATATTTAGGGACAGGCATGTTTTGTTGATCGGTCTAAGGCATCGCTTACAACATTTTTTAAGTCGCACCACCCTCTTAAAGGCATTGTTTAACAATGTTTTCAGTTTTACAAATCTGAGATGCATGGCTCTACGTGTTATCAGTGTCTGTTATATGGTGTAACATTGAAGCCCTACAAAAATTGTGCTTCAAAATGATCATGAATTGCCTCAAAAAAGTAAACATCTTTGAGTGACTGGTTTTCGGTTTTTGAAATTTCGAATTCCAATCATAAATATCTTGATAATCAGACAAGCGATCGGCTTGTAAATGTCATGGGATTCCTGACTGATCTAAAGGTTTATAATTGTGATTGCAGCATGAGTTAATCCAGGATTTTGTTTAGAATCTAAGACAAAGATACCCAATCCCTATTGAGAAGCAAAAATGTCTAATATTTGGTTGTCATGAAGTCAATGTTATTCTAAAATAATATCTAGATTTCTCTTGCGGCACCCCTAGAGATGTTTGATGTTTTGCACCTGTTTGAAAAACACTGGTCTGAGGCCACTATCACATTTTGTATGATGACCAATAGAAGAGTTACTGTGGTTTAATCCCTTGATGGAGAATGCAGTATTTTCCATGTTCAAGCCCTAGCAGCAGCCCTAGCATCAGCACTCAGTCACAATTCTACAGCCTCCGTGTGACAAACATTGTCAACCAGGGTTGTGTGTAAACACGGTTGTAGAGGCACTAATAGTAGGGCAAAGAATAGCCAACCATCTATAACCAGTTTGTGATCCGTCAGTGACCGGTCGGCAGGTGGTTGCGTAGTTTGGGATGAATTATGAACCCTCTGCAACCGATCAGAGATCTATGTTTAACCTCTTTTCTCTTACTGATCAGCTACCAGGTGCAAAGAAAATTTTTTCTTCAAATTCTAGATTTTTATTTTACAGACTTTGTTGATGGCAGCAGCTTTTCTTCAGTTGTCACTGGATGGCAACTGTTATTGTGGTTGGTTTAATATGATCTGGCCTCTACAAGGTGACTGGCTGCCACTTCACCCAGTGTAGTGGAGAGTGTGTGTTGTATCTTCTGAATCCTAATTGAATCTAGTGACAGTTAAAATACAACACTTATGATCAGTAATAGTAACCAGAAAGGGGTTATAATCAAAAATCAATTATTGTTGGTGAAAATTTATGATGACAGAAAAAATATCACTTATAAAAAAAGATAATTCTAACCACGGTACATGTGCGAGCTGCTGTTATTCCCTTGACCCTGAAAAATTAAGATATTTGACCTTCTTAAAAGGTATATAATTATGACCAAAGAATCCTCACTTATTAAAAAAGAGGGGGGCTATTAATCATTGTTTGAAAAACTTGTAAGCTCCCTCGACTCTAAGCAAGCTTATTAAGTGTACCAATCACCAACAGATATTCTGTGCACCTCCAAATTCAGAATAAGTTCAAATATTACTTCTTTAAAGAGATATTGAACATTCAAGTACACTCTCTCATTACAAAACAAGACGACTTATGTGTTACCTACTTGACGCACCTGTATGTGCTGGGATAGAATAGGGCCTGCAAGGAACCCAAGTCTGAATTTGGTGTCATGTACAGAGTAGTCTTTAATTGTTCCCATTCATTACAAAAATATAATGTCCATGGAATTAATCATTATTGCCCAATATCAATATTATTTGTATTCTCTTAAGTATTTCTAAAATATTGCAAAGAAGACTTTATTCCTTTTTGTTTAAACACTATATTCTGAATGAAAACCAGTTTAGATTCAAGAATAATCATTCAGTAATTCAGTTGCCATGGCATTAATAAATGTATTGACTCTATTTGTAAGTAATTTAATAATAAAGAGAATTGCTGGGAATTATTTATTGATCTGTTTAAGGCATTTGGCAGCATAGACCATGTTATATTGTTACACTAGCTTGAAAATTATGATGGGTGATTCCATGCATGTCATACAGACATTTAGAAAGCATTTGTCATCATGTTGAGTGTTGTTAACAATGTACAAAGAAATGCTGGGTTCCTGAGTACTTTGTAGAACAGCCATAGGGCACGATATATTGGCAGTCAGAGTGAATACTGATTTTACATTTATATATGACATAAAATAGTGGCAGTGATGCAGGAAAAACCTATTAAAAGACAAACAAATAAACTTACCCCTTAAAATTCTGTGAAGTATGCATACAATTTTAATTGAAACATACAACTTTTGCTTAATTACTTAAGAAGAGCATGATAATGCTGTGTTTTGAAATACATTTGCTTGGATTCTGCTTGATTTTAGAGGACATGTACTTGTCTATCAAGGTTTGGTTTTCCTTTAACTAAGCCCATCTTTATGAATAGGATACAACATACAGTTTATACGCTTCCAGTGACCTTTACCAATTATGGAATAGTACACAAATTTACTGCAATATGTTTGCGATTTACATGTAGGTGTAATGATTGAAAGATGCAGTTATTTTCTGCTATTGCACATAACTCTACCAATATGCAACAAACTAACTTCTGTATATTATGAACTTCCTGAAAACCAAGAAAAGCAATCAAGTTCCTGTCATGATTTCAATCACCTTCCTGTGTGACAGAACACTGTACTCCTGCTTTATACACTCATGTAACTCTTTCATTGCTAATATAACACTGAATACTGTACTCCTGCTTTATACACTCATGTAACTCTTTCATTGCTAATATAACACTGAATACTGTACTCCTGCTTTATACACTCATGTAACTCTTTCATTGCTAATATAACACTGAATACTGTACTCCTGCTTTATACACTCATGTAACTCTTCATTGCTAATATAACACTGAATACTGTACTCCTGCTTTATACACTCATGTAACTCTTTCATTGCTAATATAACACTGAATACTGTACTCCTGCTTTATACACTCATGTAACTCTTTCATTGCTAATATGACACTGAATACTGTACTCCTGCTTTATACACTCATGTAACTCTTCATTGCTAATATAACACTGAATACTGTACTCCTGCTTTATACACTCATGTAACTCTTTCATTGCTAATATAACACTGAATACTGTACTCCTGCTTTATACACTCATGTAACTCTTCATTGCTAATATAACACTGAATACTGTACTCCTGCTTTATACACTCATGTAACTCTTTCATTGCTAATATAACACTGAATACTGTACTCCTGCTTTATACACTCATGTAACTCTTTCATTGCTAATATGACACTGAATACTGTACTCCTGCTTTATACACTCATGTAACTCTTTCATTGCTAATATGACACTGAATACTGTACTCCTGCTTTATACACTCATGTAACTCTTTCATTGCTAATATAACACTGAATACTGTACTCCTGCTTTATACACTCATGTAACTCTTTCATTGCTAATATAACACTGAATACTGTACTCCTGCTTTATACACTCATGTAACTCTTTCATTGCTAATATAACACTGAATACTGTACTCCTGCTTTATACACTCATGTAACTCTTTCATTGCTAATATAACACTGAATACTGTACTCCTGCTTTATACACTCATGTAACTCTTCATTGCTAATATGACACTGAATACTGTACTCCTGCTTTATACACTCATGTAACTCTTTCATTGCTAATATGACACTGAATACTGTACTCCTGCTTTATACACTCATGTAACTCTTTCATTGCTAATATAACACTGAATACTGTACTCCTGCTTTATACACTCATGTAACTCTTTCATTGCTAATATGACACTGAATACTGTACTCCTGCTTTATACACTCATGTAACTCTTTCATTGCTAATATAACACTGAATACTGTACTCCTGCTTTATACACTCATGTAACTCTTTCATTGCTAATATAACACTGAATACTGTACTCCTGATTTATACACTCGTGTAACTCTTTCATTGCTAATATAACACTGGATCATTTATGTACTCCTTTCTTTTTCTTTATTTTTATTTTTTTCTTTTGCTATCCTAAACTCTGTAAATGTTCGTAAAATTTGTAAATGTTGAGTGATTTTTACACTTCACTAAATATAAAACAAATATTGCATGTACCACTACTACTTAGACTACTACTACTGTACTACTACAACAACTAACCACAATATAATGTTTTTTGCCTAGAAGGAATATAATAAGTCACATTTCATATAAAAATACATTTTTTTCATCAACCTTTAACAATGTTACTGAGTAAGTAAAAAATTATAGAGCTCATAGTAATAAAATAATTATTTGATAT